TCATATTATGGGGAATACACCAGGGAAATGGAAGTCCAACTGCAAATAACTGTACAGTTCTTTGGTTCAATTTTAAAAATTGTAAGACCAAAGTGTGCCATTCCATTTTATGCTTATTTAATCCAGTGTTGCCCTAAAAAATTTGTGGACTTTTCTTTGCTTTTTTAACCCAACCATTATCTAATATATGGCACTCCTTTCGTTTATATAGTCTTAATATAAGATTGATGGTAAATAAATAATTTAATAAAAAATAATTTCTTATAAAATTATCTTGAGCAGCAACAAAATTAGAACTCTCACTGGGAATCCTCTTGTATTTCTACGTGTTATCTTCGACAAAAATTAACTACAATTCTTCAAAAAGATTACCAAACAATAAAAATTAGCAATTTTTATATTCGGAAATCGTGTTGCATACAACAGCTTAAGTGTTTTCAATATAAATTATAGCATTGATATTTATATTGAAAACACTTAAGCTGTTGTATGCAACACAATTTCCGAATATAAAAATTGCTAATTTTTATTGTTTGGTAATCTTTTTGAAGAATTGTAGTTAATTTTTGTCGAAGATAACACGTAGAAATACAAGAGGATTCCCAGTGAGAGTTCTAATTTTGTTGCTGCTCAAGATAATTTTATAAGAAATTATTTTTTATTAAATTATTTATTTACCATCAATCTTATATTAAGACTATATAAACGAAAGGAGTGCCATATATTAGATAATGGTTGGGTTAAAAAAGCAAAGAAAAGTCCACAAATTTTTTAGGGCAACACTGGATTAAATAAGTATAAAATGGAATGGCACACTTTGGTCTTAGAATTTTTAAAATTGAACCAAAGAACTGTGCAGTTATTTGCAGTTGGACTTCCATTTCCCTGGTGTATTCCCCATAATATGAGCTATATTCATTTTAAAATTATTTATTTGTTTATTATATTGTAATATTTAGAATGGCATCTGAAGCTTATACAAATAAAAGCGAATAAAAAGAGCAAGATCCAAGGAAGTCTCATTGCTTCCATATTAATCAGTGAACATGGTAGCCAGAACTTGGGATACGCTGCATTTGTTGCACAGGCTCAATCTGTTGTTCATCTGTATCTAGCTCTACCACCGAAGGAGCTATTACCTCTTGCACTCCACATGCAGAAGGGCAATGGCCACCAGGCTCTCCAGCTTCTCCAGGAGGGCCGACCGGCCCAGGTGGGCCTGGTTCACCTCGTTTGCCTGGTGGACCTGGAGGACCCTAAAAATTATTGTTTTTGAAAATTATTTAATAAAAACTACTTATAAAAATGAAGAAGAACAAAAACTCACCATTTCACCTATCGGTCCTGGTGGCCCATAAGTAGTAGAAGGAATACCATTGGGCCCAGGCGGTCCTTTCGGCCCACGAGGCCCCGGTGGACCTGGAGGCCCTTTTATGCCAGTACCGCCAATTGCATCATCACCAGGAGGTCCCTGAATAATTTTGTTCATTCAAACAAATATTAGGAATTTTCATTTTATTACCGTCGAATTTTTAAATATTAACCTTTATTCCTGGCTCACCAGGCTCTCCAGGAGGACCCTGAGGCCCAGGATCTCCTACTCTTCCTGCTTTTCCTGGTCTTCCTGGCAAGCCAGGATGCCCTGGCTCGCCAGGTACACCAGGTCTTCCACTCTCGCCTTGAGGCCCACGATTACCAGGTGGACCAGCAGGACAAATAACACTGAAAATAAATATGTATATCATATATATCATACAATTTAGCTGAAGATTCAATATATATTTATTTATTGTATTAATATTTTTGCAATTTTGTACGTAAATATAATTTATCACGAAAAGTCAACCAAGGAGCGCTGGGCTCTGGATCTAATGGGATGTCCAAACCATCAAGACCAGGCTTTCCAGGTCTGCCTACTTCACCATCAACTCCTGGTTCACCATCCAATCCTGGTGGGCCTGGTGGTCCAGGTGGACATTGCAGTTTAACACAAGACATACATTGTTGATCATCACCCCATACTGCGCTGCTTCCATAACCTCCTATAATTAACAACTTAAGAAGGAAAAAAAAGCGAATGCACTCATAAAAAATAAGTGGTAAACGGTAATGCCATGAAATATACTAATTAATATAATAACTTTTCCGATCTCCCCTTCAGTGAATTATTTATTGGTCGCTATGTTATTATCCAATTTAATTTGCTTCAGTCCCTTCAATCCCTTCTATCACAGTCCCCTCGTCCATCCTAGAAATTCGTTTACCAAATCCGATGATCAAACACCTATGCTTTTTGTTACGAATTTTAGTAATAGAATTAGTATAATAGAATTTAGAATTTTTTGCAATAAAAATCGAGCCATACCTTGTCTTTTTATTCGCCCATTACTTTGTACAATAATTATATCTTGCCATATACCACGAGATGTATACTGAAAACTAAAAACTTTAGAAATTCCATCAATTTAGAAGTAACAATCCATTTTTAGCATTTTACAAATTTAAGCAAACCGATTTGCTTGCAAATATACCCAAGCATCGATTTCTCGAATTGACGATTCAACCGACTTCAAAAATAGAACAAAAGAGAAGAATAAAGAGAATAAAGAGTTCCACGAAATTATTATTTAGAATCCACGAAAAAAGTCCATTTAGAAGTCCTCAAAGTATTCTTCGTTGATCTACCGTTTTCTGATTAAACTTTTGATTAAACTTATGCAGGAAAAACCATCTCAAAATGTGATAAATAGGGATGAGAATTTTAAGGCTATCCATTCTGAATGTTTTAATGGTTTTTTTTTTTAGATGGCATATGGTGTTCCTCTTAGCTATTCGTGGTAACTATCAAGGTGACTCAATACAAACTTTTGTCGATAACCTTAAAAGCTGCGATCCTTTCTTGTAATTTAGTTTGAGTAGTCTCTAAGCGATAATAAATAATTGGTAATACTAGTATCACTGCGATAAGACAACCAATTGATATTGTTGCTGATATATAAGCAGCACGTATTGTGTTATTGCATATAGGCATATCTTCCTGCAGCTCTTCGAGTCCCTTCATTCTCCTAAAATTGATATGAATATTTAATTCTGCTGCGAATTTCATTATGATTGATCATATCGATATTACTGGATTATCCTCTAATCCTTTCTTTTCAAAAAATGAAATGAGCCATTTTTAAGTTTTTTTCATCACAAAATATATGATTCTATATCGTATATTCTATTTTATTCTTCAGTTAATCGTTTTTCTAATTAATTATTATAGTTTGAAAAATCTATTCGCTAACTGCATTTTTATGAAATACAATTCATTCTAAGCCTACAGGCAGTTTTCCGAGAAAAAATAATAATCGATAGTCTCAAATAGATCGCTAAAAAAAATATATTTATAATTCAAGGGGATTTATTATTTTCGATTATGGCATCAGGCCAAGAGGATAAGGCTACTTTACTCATTTTGCCGATGGATTCAGAAGAATCAACAATGGTACTAGTTATTACAGCAAGAAAGAGATTTTCTGCTGAAAATGATGATATATTTTTACAAAACATTATAGTAATTATTTTTGCAAAAAAAGATAATTTCTTGCGGCAAGAGTAGAATGGGAAATTTTTGGAAAAAAAAAGAAAGTTATTCGAGAATATGGCAAATTTATACAATACAACTTCGCAGCATGACGCCAATCGTTCACTTTGGTGACATTATTCCTTAATTGTGTCACCGAAGTTAATTGACCCGCGGCTGAATTAGTTGAGTGGTCTTAAATCTTCTATTTATTCCAACAAATTAATATTTTTCAAATTTAAACAATTCATCTTATTTTAAGTATGGATTGGAAAATTTTTTAGTTATTTCGTTTTTCTTTGCAATTTTTAGTTTCCTATTCGAGCTAAAATAAGTTTGTTTTCATTATGCATGTGATGTCCGAAAACAGTCACCATTCATCAAATAACTAATAGTAAAATTGCAAAAATTGAAGAAAGGAACCCAAAATGATTGTTGAGCGTATCCAAACGATAATTAGCAAATAATATTAAAAATGTGAATTAAATAAATCATTTATTGAGGTTAATGCATAAAAAAACAAGAAAGAAATATGAAGAAAATTCACAAAAGAGTTTTTATAAAATATGGTTTTGAAACTTAACAAAGAGAAGTTTTGCCAGAACCCTCAAATTTTCTGGAAAATTTTCTGGAAAAAAACCCATTAATCATAGAAATATCATACAGTTTATCATAGAAATATTATAGTTCATTCTATAATAATTTACAAAAACATTTTGTGGACCCCGCTTTGCTTCAAGGGGTATCCAATAAAGGAATTCAGAATTCGCCAATTTAAGAGGACGATCAGTATGTCATTGCGCAAAAAATTGATATTTTCACGATTTTCATTCATAATCGAATTCATGCAAGAAAGAAAGATTTCTTTAAATTTTACGGTGCAATATATATAATAAATAAGGACTACAACCTACTATTTTAATACAATAATATTCTGTTGCAGTAAATAATTCGATGCACACCAAATCGATCGTGGAAAACAGCGAAAAGCACAAAAGTGACCGCATTGCTCTAATTCCATAAAAATCTTTTTCAAGAAATCTTTTAATTTCAATTAAAAACTCGAAAATAAAAAAAGAAATTTTCATACTATCTTATGTTGTTTTAAATTATTAAAGCATTGCAATATCTTTTGATCATTTGATTTGATAGTAAAATTATTTCAACAATGAACGGAAACATGATCGAATATATTTGAATTACTTAAAGTCTCCACTCGATAACCTTTCGATAAATTCAACTGAAAAATTCAAATATTAATAAATATGAAATATCAAAAATTCAAATTTATCAATTATAAAAACGAAATTTCAAAAAGAGTTTGAGAAAGTAAGCCAATTTTAGAAATCAACGGTGATAAAATATTTCACCTTTACAGGTTCCAAGTCTCTAAAGTACTGAGCGCATCGAACAATTATGAATAAGAACCAAATATGAATAACTACAGCAATAGCCAAACTAAATGTGATAATAGCAGCCAAGAGTGGGATAACTAAAATGATCAGATTAATCAGATTACTGCAATCATATTTGGAGCAAAAAATATATTTCAGAATTTGCAATAGATTTTTATTCAGATAATATGATATCTTTATGATAATTATTTATATGATCAGCGCAAAAAGAATATATTCATAAATGTAGGAGAATAAATTCAGCTAAATCAACCATACCATATTGTTGCTCAACAGCCAAAATTTCAGCCGTTTCTTGTAGTCCATCACGAATTTGCATTTCGATATATTCGCTAGCATAGGAATTTGAATCAAGCCATGCGGAGAAAAAAAAGAAACAAAGAAGAATCAAAAAGGACAACGTCAATATCTGAAAAACGGAGTTTTAGTCAGATTCGCATTCTATTCGGAAATTCGCGCCGACCCAAGCCAATTCCCCAATTCCCCATTTATGATTTACCAATGTATAATGTGTTACAACATATTCTACTCGAACGAATCGCTATATAAAATGCATTCCTTTCATTAAGGAATTAAGGAAAATAATAAAATGTTAAGGAATTGTATGAACCTGCTTAAATTTAACGTTAATAATAGGCTAATGTTACTTTTTTGAAATCACTTACAGTGAGCACAACAAAAGGTTGTAACAATGCAGCTTTTTCGAAGTATATTCCACCTAGCAAGCATAATATAGCGACTGAATCGACGACTAAAAATAGCAATTCCCAGTTCCAACCGATATCTGATAATCCGACCGCTTTCAGTACCAAATTACTTATTACGTAAAATGCTGAGATTATCGCTATTATATAGGAACCTGTCTGAAAAAAAAAAAAATTTTGGAATTTATTCAGAAATTTTTATTCCAGTTTGTACCCAAAAAACTCTCAGCCAAAATTTGACAAGTTGGATAGAATTTCGACGGGGGCGTAGCAATTATAGTTTAACTGCTTCTTGATGGGAGTAAATGGTCATTAAAAGCAAAATCCAAGTGGACCCACTTGTATTTCGCTCCCCAAGGCAAAAGAATTCCATATTAATAGCTAATGGAGTGAACCAAACCAAAAATGGTAAATGCCAAAGCTCTCTTTACTATAAGCAATCTCATAAAATAGAAGATAGAAGTCGCATCAGAAAAATAAAATTTAAGAAAGAAAAAATTAAAAATCATTAAGATTGCAAATAGTTACAATTTTATTCTGAAAACAAACAAAAAACTTGTGTGCAACAAAATTAGATTTTTAAAGATTTTTCCCTATTCGCTTTTGCAGTGCAATGTTGATTTTTGAGTTGAAAAAGGAGAAAGTTTCGAAATCAGCGACAACCTTGACGTGCATACCATAACAACAGCATCGATATTTTTCATGGTCATGATCGAAAGGAAGTCCTTCAGTTTCCTTTGTCGACATACTAAAATATTTCATACGTTTCATCGTTTATTTTACTGATACCATAATTTTTTAATGCAGATCGATAACGAAAATTAATTGTAAAATAATAATTGAGAAAACCGATAACTACCAATAATGCTAAGTAAAATTAATTTTCCGGGAGTTTGCATTTAGGGTTTGCATAAAAAAAAAGGGATCACGCCAAACTCTTTTTAAAACTTCCCTTCCAGCCAACGAAACTATTGATCTATCGAAATAATGGATATAATAGCCCTTTTTAATGCAGAACTGATATTTTTTAAATCAAACTGCACAAATGCAAGATTTCCACCAATTTATCACTGGCGAAAATTTCTTATCAATTTTATCATACTAAGAAAATCCAACCATCTTAAAAACATAGAAACCAATAAAAATTTTTTTAGAAGAATATTGGTTGGGTTAAATTAAAAAAGTTTAAAAAAATTATTTTAAGATAAAAATTCAAGAAAAAAAGTTTCGTTCGTTAGGTCGAATAAAATGATTATCTAGTTTTTGTTTTAGTAGAAAAATTTTATTGAATTGTTTTCTTTATGCTAAATCTTTTTAAAAATCGTGGTACCATATGAATATTTTAAGAATTATCATCTATCATCCGGAAAAAATTAATCTAAATTGGTCGCGTTACTTTTTAAATACCTTTTAAAGTTATAAGCCGATGGTTCTTAACCATTTCTCAGCTTAAGAACCATAGCTTAAGAATCTATAAATACTATCGTTTCTTGCTCTAATATGTGTACATCGACTGAATTGAATATTTCTTTAATTAATATTGAGCAACATAGGTTCGATTCTCGATTCTCACCTCTCCAAGTGTCTCACTGGTGAAAAAGCCCCAGCACAGTAGTTAGTGGAACAGGCCAAGCCAAAAATGTTGCTAAAAAAAAGACTAGCAAATAATTCAGCAAATCTTTCATTTATTGGAAATTTATAGTTTAAAGCGATTAATAATTATAGTATAGCATAGGCTAAATATAATATTTGAAAAATAAGAATGGTGGCATTAAACGACGAAGAATTTTGATGTTTTCACGAAAACACCAGTAATCGCAGTAATGCTAACAAATGATTCAGACAATAATGACAAAACGATAAAAAGCGGCAACAATTTGTTAAGAAGACGTTAGTTATTTAGCCATAAACCCGCTTCAATTCAGAAATTTTCGTTAGTAAATTTCAAAAAATGTAAAAATTCTACTAATTTTAAACAGGTCTATAAAATTCTGTGAATATAAAAAATTAACTGCGGGATATATTAAATGGTACTAAGCGGCAAAAAAAGCAGGCGGGACTGGCGTGACTGATAATTTAAAATTTAAAATTTCATGGTTTTATGATTAGTTTTACAATAATGCATGTCGCCACAGTTAAATCATAGCTGATGCTACTAAAATTTCAAATCAAAATAGAATAGTCGAGTGGCAGTTTAAATTATCATATCGAATACGCTCATCCGAGAATGCCATCCGGGCGAGCGTACGAACTATTAAAATTAAAAACCCGAGTGGTGCGTGGAAGCCGCCAATAATTTTAGCCTCAAATGAGTGAATTCTGGCAAAATTCCGCTTTCCGCTGGTCATTCCGCAGGTGATAAAATAAATAGAAATTGTGAGTGCCTAACCAGTTTTTTTGAAGGGTCATGTGCGATGACAAAAAAAATTCGTTAGTTTTTTTGACGCAAAATAAAAAAAATTGCAGGAATACCAAATAAAATTTTGTTTGCCCGGTTTATTTATTTCGATAATGATTATTGCTCGTTGGAATGAACAAATATAGTAGTTATAGATCGTGCAGATCAGTCCATCTATTGTATCGCAAAAAATTTCTATCAAAAAATCAATTTATAGGTAGTTTAGAGATAAATAAATATGATAGATAAATTTTCATACACTTAAAATTATTATAAATATGATGAACAGCAGTCGGCTAAACCCAGGTTTTACTAATTTCAGATTTGATTACTGGGTAAACTAAAGTGATTTTTTAGGCTCGCTACGCTGGCTGTTAGCCCCACTTGGCAGTATTTACGAGTGATTCACTTGGCGATAGAAATATCAACAATACGCAGTGATTTTTTGTCAGTAGTTTTATTTCAGAAGGACGAACCAAACTTTGCACCTCAATACAATAATCTAAACCATTATCCACTCAGCTATCCTGGTTCTTGATTTAAAAGTTTTGTTCTACTAAAATATCTTATTATTTTTATCTTTAAATAATGTAAATAGAGTCTATGCCTAAAGTATTTATATGTACTAATGCAAATGCTTCTTTATATACCTGTATATATTCTCCGCATTTATTTCCTATGTATATATTATGCAAGCAAATAATTTATATACCTTTATTATAAATTTACATATATATATATACCTATAAGAGGTATGTGCATTTATATAAAATATATAGATGTATATTTGTTTGTAAAATGAGTACCTTGGGCGGAAACTGAATGAGGAACGAGGAAAATAAAAATGAACGAGGAAGCGAAATACGTAGCAGAGGAATCATAATCTAAGCAACCAGTAATATACGTAAGCATGCATGACAACAAACACAAAGTATGTCTGCTTAATACAAGTTTGTAGAAAATTTGAAGACAAATTCATTTAGATACGTTTTCAGTACTGTTTAAATTTGTGCAAATAAAAATAAAATTAAAATTATAAAAATTTTTATTTATTTCGTTTCAGGGAAAAAAAAGGTTCATTTAATCGCAGAATGAAAGATTTTAGAAATTTCATAATATTTTTTAATAATAGAGATTTGTTAATATTTAATGGCACAAAAAAATTATAAAAAATTATTTTATTGTTTTTCGAAATATTCTTTAGAGTCGATTGCATTTGGTTTTATTGCATCTTTTCCAGGTTTCCACCCAGCCGGACAAACCTAAAAAATTATTCTGATTTTATTTTAATGGCGATATATGAGCAAAGTGCATGTAAGAGATAAATTAAAGCATGAATGAAGCACCTCTCCATGTGCGTCGGTATATTGTAACGCTTGGATAAGACGAATAATCTCATCCACTGAGCGGCCAATTGGTAAATCGTTGATCGTTATCTGCCGTATAATTCCTTTTCCATCAATAATAAATAATCCTCTACAATTATTTCAATATGAAATTTTTAAAAATATTCCAATTTTTCAGGTTTTGATTCACCATCTTCGATAGAAAAGAGCTATAAATCTCCGCTTTCAGCTTTAATTATATATACCTATAGGGCGAAATAAAGTGTGCGAGATACCTATAGCAAACGCCTTCATCCTCCTTAAGCACCCCATAGTCCTTGGCGATGCGTTGTGTCTGATCGGCAATTATAGGAATACGCATATTTCCAAGTCCTCCTTTCTTTCTGGGTGTCTGTATCCATGCGAAATGTGAAAACTTAGTATCCGTCGATGCGGCAACGACGGCACAGTTCAATGCTTCGAATTCATCGAATCGGTCAGAAAATGCAATGATTTCTGTTGGACATACGAAAGTACTAAAACACAAACACTGAGATAAGTATGCGCAACAGAAGGATATTTTAAATTCGACAAATTTAAAAAAGAGGAGACTTACAAGTCTGCAGGGTAGAAAAAAAGTACAAGATATTTTCCCTTATAATCCGATAGGGAAATCTTCTTAAAGTCTTCATCAACCACAGCTTCCGCGCTGAAAGAAGGCGCTGGTTTACCAATAAATGCTTTACTCATATTATCAGTCTGAAATACAAAATCTTTAAATATGAATTCTAACTTTAACCATATATAGAAATCTAAATAGGGGACTTTTGCTCAATTCTTTTTTCTATGTTAAACATTAATTTCCCATATTGAGTTATCTTATCGTTATCTTTGCAACTTATAATATATTTTATAATTTAATGTATTAATTACAAGCTCGTCAGCTGTTTTCTAAACTTGGGGTTATCATTGCTTATCATAAAGTTTCTAGAATATAGAACTGATAAATTCTGTGATATTTCGGAAAAAAGAAATGATCGTAACAGAAATCTTAAATAAATAGGAAGCTTAATAGCTAATAATTCAGATGTGAAAGATACATAACAAGAATACTATCAAAATTTTCGATTTGGTCTGAGAAAATGCCCGCAGATTATGGAACATTAAGTGAATTTCTGAAATATGCTGGACGATAGAAAAATACAGGAAGTATTTGTTGCTAAACATTTAATCAAATAGAAAATTGCTCACAATATGTCGATACATTCGCGAAGTTGCTGTGCCACACAACGATTCGGTTGCCTTAACAACGCTTCGGGTGTTATAAAAGTAGGTATATACGTATAATTCTTATCAGAGGCTTGCTTTCTTTTAAAAAAAGCTATCAATCTAGGAATGAAAGCTAAGAATGGTAATCAGTATTAATAGTAATGGTAATGGTAAAAGCTAATCTAGGAATGAACAGAAAGCAGAACAGAAAGCTTAAATGATTAATCAAAAAAGAAAAAAAAAATTGGGAAAATTTTGTTGCTTTTAAGGAAATGTTTCCTTAAAAGATGTCTCCGGATGGATGTTTCCTTAGAAAATTAAAGAGATTTTTAAATTGGTTAAGTCTTGAAATGGGAAAAGGTTGTTCTCTTCTTCTAATGGTATTCAGCATTTCTGATTGCATAGACTCTTAGGATGCGCTCTCTTTATTAATCTCAAACTCCGTTAAAATTGGCATAATTAGTTAATTTTAATGTTTAAATTTATGGCATATTTTTGAAATTTAAAATTTATTATTAAAAGTTTTTAAAACATTTTCTCTAGAATTCTTAATTATATTTATCAAAATATTTATTTTTTATTTATTTATTTTTTATTTTATTTTTATTTTATTTTTTATTTTATTTTTATTTTATTTTTTTATTTTTTATTTTATTTTTATTTTTTTATTTATTGCGTGTGTATAAATTGTTTTAAAATCTTTGTCGATACTAAATCCTGCGATATCTCCGCATTTAAATTTTTAAATATTAGCTTTTCTTTCATTAAATTTGAACGAATTTTGTTAAAAACGGCTTTAATTTGCAATTCCAATAATATTTTATTATAATAATAATAATAATAATAATAAATCGCACAATATAGCATAATTTTTTATTCCTACAATTTAATTTAATTTTTCGCTCGTATATTTTCGTTAATTATTAAATAAGTGAGTGGTTAGCGCTCATAATTTCACATTGAACTCGTTTCACTGGCTGTTAATATAGTGAAAAATTTGTGCCAGATGGTTGTATGGGAATAGGGATATAATTGAACCTTCATGAACTGCTAGATTTTCTAATAAATAGGAATCTTGGCGCTGGAAATGGTAAAAAGGTAATCTCAGCATAAAGATAGACTCGGCTACTCTCTCTCACTCTTTCTATTTAATTAACCATAGCTTTTTATACAAAAATCCTTCATAATTTATTGCAAATGAATTATCGAAAAATGCATGAAAAATTCTATTTTTAGAAATCTTTATCGAGTTGGCTTTGGATTCCATCGGATCGAATTTGGCCCAAATATTTAACTCTTTCTTTTATGCGATAGTGTAAGTTCAATAAAATAATTTTTATTTCAATTTAGAGGAATTTAGGAATATTTGGCTTTTATCGCATTTTAAAGCATTAAATTTGCTCTTTCTTTATTGAGTGATTATTTCTGAAGTGATTATAAATTATATCTGTAAATTACATTTCAGTACTTTCGTTTAATCCACAAATTTGGAATATTTATTTAAAAATAATTGGCAATGAATAAAAATGTAAACATTTGCAAAATTTTATTTACTTTTGGTGTCTCTTTTTACTAAATTCCTTAATTTTTATATTTATTTGTCGATTACTCATTGAATCGATTTAGTTAATCACTTTTTTATATTTTCAAATTTAAAATAAAATTAAATTAGAAAATTTCTTATAAATTCGATCTCTTCGAACTTAATTAAACTGATTATCAAACTGATAAAGGAAATGGCCCAAGAAACCAGTTGAATTTTTTGATTTAACCTATAAGCATTTTTTCTAATAAATACTGCAAAATTACACATCGAAACTTATTAATATTTTATAAATTAAATATATTTCGTTGATTTTTTTGAATTCTTTTTTTAAATTGCAATAATTGCGATATTCCTGGTGACCGATGAAATGAGGTTGAAGGTCAGCTGAGTACATATAGTACCACTTTATTTTCACGTTTAATTGCACGTTTAATTGTAAAAGGGTTGCAACCAAACCTAAAATGTTGCTCCTTTGTCGAAGCAAAATACGACTTAACAGAGTGCTGCATTTTCTAACTGAAATTAGCCAGATTATTAGGCTGGCACAGTCATTAGAAAAATTCTGATATTAATATTTAAATCTTCAGAACTAATATTTTTTTTTTTATTTTCCATTTTTTCGGTAAAAATTTGTAAAAATATTAAAATATAATATAAAATTAAATTTAAAAAATCATATTAAAATTATTGTTAAAAGGATGGAGCATATAATATTTCGAACATTCGATGCAGCATAGCCCAGATGATAATGAGCCAAGTAATTTTCAGAGCCCGATCGCTGACGGTGAGCGTTAACCACTTACTTACTTCGAGACACGAAGGATTTCGTTATCCACAATAAATTTTTAGCGAAAAAATTTATTCATCATATATTGCAAACAATACTATAAAAAATAATAGCTGTACATCATATAAGGCACGTTGGGTAGGCCATTTGAATTTTATGGAAAGAAATTTTTTTATGAACCACTCAATAAACATATTCATATGTTTCAGAAAAAATTTATACAAATAAAATAAAGAGAATTCGTTGCGATGAAGCAAAATTTTTGGGAAAAAAATCCTTAAGTATATTTTGAAAAATTATTATTATTATTCAAGAATTATTATTATCACTATTATCAATTATTATCAATATTATCAGTATTTAAAAATTTATTTTTTGAAAAATGAGATAAAATTCGAACAGAAAAATAAGTAAAAATAGTTTTGTATTATATTTAGAAAATATTCATTTTGTAGATAAAAAAATGTAAAATAAAGAAAACATGCAAAAAGGCTGAAATTGCGAAAAGACGAGGACATAAATGCGAATTGCATGCACGCATAAGATATTGGCTTTCATCGTCTTTTCGTAATGATAAGCCTTTGAAATTTGACGAGTGAAAAAATAAAATATTTTTATAAAAATTCTTTAAAATTACAAATGAATGAAAAAAAGAAATATTAGAAAGAAATTATATAAATTCAGCTCAAATGTTCCTCTTCCTCATTCATAAAACATTAAAAAATGAAATATCAATAAATTGATAAAGAAAAGAATTTTGAGAATTGATCTTTAAAAAAAAAAAAATATGTCAGTTAAAAAGTAAATTCATAAATTTTTTCCGCATACTTATAATATTTTGCGAATTAAGATAAATTTACGACGACTATTATTGAAGAATAATCACACAAAATAAGAATAACTGTCCAAATGCCTTCAAAATCACGAAATATGGCAGCTAACCCATTCACTAAATCCAACAGAAATCAGCTCTTTTAGGCTCGGAAGAAGCAATACCAAAGTGCATGAAGCACGGCCGGCAACCAAAAGAAAAAACAGAGAATGATATTTACGATCACATGAATATTACAATCGCCACCATGAATGAATATCGCTAACGGCTGAAAAATAATTTCATATTAATTTCTTATTAATATCAATAAATTATAGTGCAAAAAGTTCCATCGAAGCTTTGTTGCTTTCATATTTTTTATCTGCGAACCCATCCAAGAAAGATTAATGATACCATCGATCATAACATATGGTTGTTAAAGAACTTTTCAGCTTTTTCACAGAAATTTACAGTATCGAGTTGATTAATTGATAATGTAGATATATCTTTTGTCTTCTAATAGCTAACTATTTCTGGTTTAGCTGCCTTTATCAAGAATTCATTGCGAAATGAAACAGAAGCACAGTTGACACTACACTTTAAACAACAGATTTATTCCCGTCGAGAATCAGGTAGCTATGATGGCTATATTTTAGTCGAAGCAATATGTCACTCGCATCAAGCAATATGCCTTCATTTAATTTTAAGTTCCACATTTCCAGTCTATCTTTTATATAAATGGTTTCATCGGGACCTACAGCTCGAAGACAAAAACTGAAGATAAAAAGCCAGCAGACTGAATCCATAAAACTTTTGCTCTTTTAACGAATTCTGAGCTATGAATTTTCCAATAGCAAATAATTCTAAAAATTATCTATTAGCTGTGAATTTAGAGAAATTTAAAATTTACTGGAAGGAATATTGCAAGAATAAGTTCGATAATCTGTTGCATTTCAACCATTTTTGTTGCTTATAATCTGCAAAAATTATTTCGTTATTTTCATTTTAACTGTTGAGAACTGGTAAAATTATTCGTAAAACAGGATTAAACTACGCAAATAGAAATTTCAATTTATGAACGAATTAACAAACGAATTATTTAAAAATTTAAGAAAATAAGGGATTGAAATTTAAAACAAGCAGTTAATTTTTGATACGAAATATAGATATATAACTAGTTCTTAACACACGGATTCACAAGATGTGTGCAAGCTTCACCAGACTACCAAGAGTCCGTAGCACAGAAGATTAGGAATTCATATATATATATAAAGTGAAGGCCTAAGCAGCCCCAGTGGTAATAGGAGCACTAGGGAGTATGACTTCTAAACTAGTGGTTTTAACAGATTCTAGGATTATACTTTAGTTCAGAAGAGTGCACTGCTAGGGAAAGTTAAGACGCTACACAGATCCTTATGCTCCCAGACTTATAATAGAGTACTCGAGGTTCAGGATGACCCACAGAAGGTGAGAAAAAGATTCTATTCTATATATATATGTGTAGAAATATATTTCTAAAAGTGAATATAGCACAAAATTTTTAAAAACCAACAACTGTATAAGCAAAATTATAAAGAAAAAATTTAAAAAGACGGAAATTTCTGAGCTCACATGGGGAATTATTTTTCCACCATAAAAGGCCAAAAATTCTCAGTTTATAGTGAAATATACTAGCGTACCGAATGTGATATCAACCACATTAATGGAAAGAAATGTCTATTATTAGACATAATTCCAAACAAGTTTTCATGGGTTCATTGCTTTTCTAATCGATATACAATCATCCGACTTGTTAATTGTTAAACTGTTAAACTAATGGATGAAAGAATGGATAAAAGAGAGATTTATTTATGATAATTTACGTGATTTTCTAGTTATTAATTCATTAATTCATCGATAACTCAATTAAATATTTAAAAAATTTGAAGGAACTGAACGACGTATTACAGTAATAAAGGAATATACAATAACAATTGACTTCATTGTTTCGTAAAGAAAAGCGTTGAAAAAAAAAATCGGACCTATTGAAAAGAATAAAAAATACACCATTTATGCTTAAAATATGCTTTATGTGGAGAAATTAGCACTTCAGTTATTTAAAATTTGTGAAAATATTTATCAAATATTCATAAAAAAAATGAAAAACACGAAAAAAATTGAACCAAAACATGGTAATGTTACGTATTCGTCTGTGAGTTCATTTAATGAAAATTATCATTATCCTAATTATCATTAAGATTAAATTAATCATCAATCATCATTAATTAATTATCATTAATTATCACCAAGGTATATTATATTATATTATATAGGTATTATATTATATTAGATATTATATTATCATTAAGGATGTAAATCCGAAAATAAAAACCATCGAAAATTATCACGATAAACATCAATATCAACATTATCTTTTATCAGATATAATATAATAATTTTCGAAAAAAACTGGGAAGTTTGGAGAATTTCTGTATAATAAATCAACGAATGGTGTTATTTAATAAAATCAAACAAATAAAATTACCATATTGAAGAAAAAAAATTTATAAATTCGAGCCGAACGAAGGTGAAATTCTTCGATATATTTTTGCAAAACCGGTTTTTAAGCGAAGCAATTTTGATTTTGAATTTTTGTTTTTTTCTCTTTTTATATTGATTTCAGTTTTTTAAAATAAATCAATGAGAATTACAACTATTTATTCATATTTTCCAACGAAAAAAGGATAGAAAAATAGATTTTTAGTAAATTAAATTCAATGAGATGCGATGGCCGAATAGCATATTGCTTAGAGAAAACGAAATTCAAATGGTGCAAGGAGTCCACTTGTACCGCTTTTCTCAACGTAGACGAACCAGAAATGATGAATGTGAATTGTTGTTAGAAGGAGAAGAAGTGAATTTTATAAATTGAACGAGTTGCAGCATTAAGTTGAATAATCGAGTATATTTCTCATAACAAAGCAGTTACTTATTTAGGAAAGTAATTAATGATTGATACAACCGATGAATATTTGGAAAAAAAAATATTCTAATAAAAAAATTTATGTGAATGAAGAAAGTAAGCGAAAATTATTATAAAACTACTTTCGAAAGCGAAGGATGAGAGGGTTGAGATTTTGGATGATTTTCAAATTATGAATCGTATTAATCTTAAAGCAAATCGGTCTCATATTTATAGAAAAATCAAACAAATAATATTTGCCTACAATACGTATCACAAATATTTAAACAAGCTTACATCGATTTTATTCATGCAATCTGAAAATGTGGAATAGATAGATAGACGGCATCGGCATCGGCATCTGCATCGGAACCTTTTAACAACATGTAGCAGTTTTTCTGGCATCTATGACGAGCCTATTTTGGCAGATAATCACTCGCGAGAATGTGACACATATGGCTCTCCAGCGTTATTTAATTGCATGACAGGTTTGTCTCTATACGTGGACTGAAGAAACACTGGCATCGCCGTCCAAAGCAACTCGACCATTTTATAACTGTGTTTATATAAAAGATAAAAAAAAGCAGAATAATTCAGAGCTCTGATTATTGAAAATTATTAGTGATGCTTTGATTATATTATTTTTATTATTTTTTATTTTGATTATATTTATTTTTCCCTCCTTCGAACACTGAGATAGTTCCACAATGAAATGAAGTTTTCGTTTCCATTTCTCCTATTTATTTACTTAAGAAACCATTTCTTCTGTGAAAATATTTCGTTTACTGCAATATAAATACGACAAAATTGATTATGGATTTCAGCAAAACAGGTAAAAGAATAAAGTTGGATTGCCATATAAGATGCAAAAAAAAACAGCTGAGAAAGAAATAATTTGAAGATAAAAATCAGAAATTTGAAGTCCATTAGTTTTTCTACTCTTGAAAAAAAGCAAAAAATGCTTCAAATACCTACTTTGAAATTTTATTTACAATATAATATACAAAGAATATTTCAATATTTTTGGTTTGCTGAACGGAAACACTGAAAAACAACGAATGATGACTAAAAAAAAATAATATCGGTACTTGATACTTGTGGTACTTGATGTGAGCTTTTACAAATAACTAGATCAAATTGTGGTTGAATTGAAAATTGGTACCAATATAGATAACTTTATAACATTGGAGAATTTGGTATTTATTAATCCATAAGAGTGAGGTAGCGGAGTGGTATGTTGCTTCAACTAGGACCATTACGGCTTCGATTCACACTTTTTAACAATTTGCCGTTGAAAATGAATCGGTGGTCCTAAATTCCGACCAAACTATATTTTATTCCTATTCCCAATTGACTCTCTGGTGAATAAATCGCATCTTAACAGTTCATGCAAACTAGAAATGGTGGAGGCTATTACAAAGAAATAAATCATTATCAGTGCTATCAGTTATCAGTGAATATTATCGCTATAGTTGTAACGATAATATCAACATATTTACATATATTTATTTATATATATTTATATGTAATAATAATTGACAATATTAATAATTATTAGTATAATTAATAATAGATTTAATATTAACATTAAGAAAGTAAAATAACCGAAAAATTAAAAATAAATACCAAAATAGTATGGACGAAGCAAGAAAGAACGATAACGATCGCAAATATTTGTTTAGTCGATAAAATTTCATAAACGGAAAAACAATGTTTTTCTAAAAGTACATTTCCCGTTTATTCGATTTCCCTTATTTCGAATAAATGATAAAATAATTTCATTGAAAAAAATAGTAATTATTTTCAGAAATCTCCAAATATTTGCGCCTGTTTCGCCTTTTTTTTTTAAAGGAGATAGGGGAGATTCTTAGGAAGCGTAGGCAGATCTCATGCAGATCGCATGCAAGAGTACTAGCAGGCGCATTGTTGAGTGATAACTGTAATTGTTCAACAGCGAATTTTGCTTTAACAGTGATTAAATGTGAATAAGTGAGCGCTTAATTATCGATGGATTTCGATATAAATATGCTTCGATGATGCTTCGTTTAGTTGTAAATACACGGATTAATATGATCCGCCGTTTAACATTAATAAAAAATTTTAAAACAAAATCATATGGAAAGTTTTTACTGAAAATTAAAGCATTCATCGATATTCGTCACTGATAAAATTAGTGCCTTAAAATATGATAAAAAATCGCAAGATTGAAAATATATTTTATGGAGAAATAATGAGCGATAAATTAAAACCGTTCAGCAAATCGATTTGGAAATTAAAAGAAAGGAAAGTCGATGTATGTCAAAATAAGAATAAAAAACCAAAGAGGACAAGTTTCTAAAAATTTATTAATTCTATAATTGAATGGCATTCACCATTTCTGATTAGATTTACCACATTGCTAGTAGGATGAGAGATTTTAGCCAAGCGATGATCGAGTGCAGAAGTGCAAGTAGCCGCAAATATCATTGGCCAGGAGCATGGGCCAAGCCAAGCCAAGCCAAAATTAATATATCACATTACGCCTTTAGAGAGATGTGAAAGCATGAAATTCATTAGCATAAAATATTTCACTGATATCCTAAAAGATTTATTTTCTCTTCAATTCGCTTCATATTTTTTAAATTATCGTTAATGTGATTTTTTTTTCTCTAAAGAAATGAAAATTTTGGAGAAAAAAGTTAATTTAAAAATCATTAAATTGTCATAACTAATTTGAAAAAAGAATTTAAAAAAGGCCTACGCTAGGCTTCCAAATTTAAATCTCTATTTTTCTATAACAAATATAAATCCATCGCTCATTCCAACTGTAAAACCGTTGCTGACAAAGAAATTGAAATCTATGAAATAATTGTAAGAATAAAAAAGAGGTAACAATAAAAGAGAGGTCGAATCTCGATCCTCGACGAATATTTATTCGGATGGCTACAGTAGACTCGATCCTATCGCTTGGTGAATCTCTCGCAGATTGCTTACTGTGAAAAAGATTGATTAGTGGGAAAATTAAAAATACTTTAGATAAAAAATCCGACATATCAACAAGTAACAATTTGCGGTGAAACCTATCCGAATGGTGGTGGGTTCACCAGTAATTCTCAGATGATTCTCCGGCGAAGATTCCTCTTTCTAATAGCAGTCTAACCTAAGGAAGAATGCTGAGTGCTATCCACTAATGAAACCAGTTGTTGTAAATTTTCTTTTTTTCAGATAAATTTATTGAAAATAAAATTAAAGGCGATTTATTGAAAATAGTAAAATAAATAACAAGTGGTGAATGTTGTATCGACGATGAAAATATAGTTTAATCGGTGAGAAAAATATAATACAACTGCTGAATTTGTGGAATAAAGTAAAAATAAGTGAGGGCGGATTTCATTTCCAAACAATTATATTTTTCCTCAGTCTAATCGACAAAGCTAAAAGAATCTTTTCAGAAATATTTTTATCAAATTTTAATGGGAACAACTAGATTACCATTTATCAATTAATAATAATAAACAATCCAGAAATATTAGAAAAAATATAACGAAAAATACGCAATGAAATAATTGATAAGTAGGATTGGATAATTGTTGCTTAAATTATCGCCTCGAGCAATGGAATTCGGACCTCGATGTTCCCGCAGGAATAAATCTGTTATTAAAGAATTCTGGCAATGCAGGCGTATTGCAAGCCATTTATCGCCTTTGTGTCGCCCTTTAGCAAAAATTTCCCGTCCTAATAGCTTTAATAACGAGTACAACCAGAAATAGTGAATGCTAACCAATCATAAGAAATTTTGCGTAAATTTACCTATTAACAAATATTTTGATAATTGTTATACGAAATATTAAATGATAAAATTTAATAATTTAATTAATATAGAATTAATGATCGCAAATAAATGAAAAACAAACTTTAAAATTTTAAAAAGGGCGTTTCTGAGAAATAAATATTTATTTTATAAAAATTTCATTTTTTACAAATTTTGTAAAACTTTTTGATTTCTTATTTTGTAATTTAATTCATTTCATTTACTTATATCTTTTATTATTTTATTATTTTTAATTTTTTTTATCGAATTTTTGAGAAATTTCGATTTAAAGTGCAAAATGTATTAGTACAAAATAGAGAGACGAAACTCTTATTTATTGATCTTCAAGGCTTTTATTCCTATCTGATGAATTTGCTATAAAAAATTATATTATATGATATTAATATTTACTGGTTAGATGATAGAGGAATTATAAATATTTCGACGAAAGAAACTATAGTGAGCGTATAAAGCGAATTTCTTCCTACACCATTCACGATATTTGGTTTGGCTAGGTCCACTTTGGCTGACGTGATAAGAAAGAGGTTTATTATCACCAGAGAGCCATTTGAGAATGGAAGCACAGGTGGGCGATTAACATCATTCCAATTTTTAACTTGACAGGTTTTGCGCGATTCAAGGCAAATTAAAACCAGTTTTTCCAAAACAATTTCTATTTTTATTTTATTTTTCTTATAAAAATTATTTTGCTCTTTATTTTCGAATATTTACCATTTTGTTGCAATTAGAAAGTGAAATAACTGCATAGAAAAAAAAAGACCAAAATGAAACATTCCAAAAAGCAAATGAAATTTTTTGAAATTTATTTTTTTTTTTTGATTTTTTTTTTATAGGTCAATTTTTTACTAAAAAATTTTAAAGGCCAAAAAATAATTCAAATAACGATATTGTATGATTTATTAATAATAAATATTTCCAACTATGAAGAAATTGTAATTTTCATTGAATTCGAAACGTTTGAACCAAAAATAAAAATGTTTTTGCTAAATATTTCTTTACAAAAGAGCAAATGGTGGGTTTCGTAAAGCACTCAATAACCGGCTTTTGTTTATAAATTAAATGGAAATGATAGATTTCCTATAGAAAATTTTTCTATAGTTCTACAAGACAAAGGAAAGCTATAAAAATGATTCTTCTTCTTGCACCAGCAATTTGGTTGGCTTAACTAATTAACATGGAAAAATTCTTCAGTTAAAGAATCAAATGGAAATAGGAATGCAAACGATTATCTCCGCATGCATCTAGAATTTCATGATTTTTCATGATTTATGATAGGAATATTTGTTCCAGTCGAAGGCAGAAATCAAACAAATTCGATGGCTCGAACTAAATGGAAGAAATCATACAACTATTCTGCTTCTGCGAAAAGAATTCAACTTCAAAATTAACCTTAAAATTGATTTCTTATTGAAAAAGATACTATAATTTTACTTTTGAAAATTTGGCTATACTGAATTTTGGAAAGGAAAAAGACAAATTTTCAATTTTCTGAACCATATAATCGAATTTTCGACAATTTTTCAATGATTTGCTTCAATAGATAACGAATGCCTATGCGCAAAATTATCTCCCTATTTCATTTAACTATATGTACGCGGAACTATATAACAACAAATAAGTACGCGGAAAATTGCCTAAGGCAATTCTTAAGATTGGATTATATTATTTATATATATATATAAGAATATCGAAAAAAAAGAACAACTAATCAGATGATCCGCCGATATTTTTATCTCTAATAAATTTCCGGCGAAAAGGAAAGGTTTTAGTTCCATTAGGAAAATGCAAACGGAATGGAATGTGTGTTGGCAAAAAATGAAAAAAGCTTTACTAAATCTTTATACTCAAATTTATTAAACAATTTATCATTCTATTTTACTAAGATTTTAAGCTCAAATCTGAGCCCAATCTTAAGTCAAGATTTTCTGCATATTCAACTAAGTATTTCTGATAATTTTTAAGGATAATTTCTGATTCTGATAATTTCTGAGGATAATTTTTGAGCAAATAACATAATAGCATATAAACTGATAAGTAATTTATGAAAAGAAAAATACAAAAATTGTCATCGTGACCCCGATCTGAATCGTTTTTCCCGTTAACGATCAATAGAAATATATTATTTATTGGAAAAATAGGTCTAGGTCATCTCATTTGAAAAACTCATGCTGATTCTTCGAACTCCTGCTGCATTTGCATTTGCAGATTTGCCGATTTTTTCGGTTTTCTTCATTGGCGAAGGAATCAGAAGTCAGTTTGAATCTTTCACTTTTTGCCTTATATATATATATATATGTATATAATCGTATGTAGTGAAGGTAGTTGAGGATAATAGCTCTTAGGACAGGTTAGACACTGTTTCGACTTTGGTCCAGCCATTACAATTTCTTTAAAAGAAGAAATCATTAAGAGCAAAGTCCTCGTAATGCTGGGTAATTAGATTATCACAGAAATCCTCTCCCTTGATTGAAGGGAATCTTATCGCTAAAAGTGAAATCTGAACACTACTGGTGATCCATCTCCACTTTCAAGTTCCCTTTTTCATATATCTATTATCCTTTATTCTTTTATTGTTCCCTATTGTGTAGCCTACAAAAATCCTATGTGTGAAATGTATTAAAATATCTTATTTTACCTCATCGAAATATTTTCATTAAATTACTCTTCAAATTACTTTGTATAACGTTTGCGAATCGTTATTTACATTTTTTATTAAGGGACTTAAAATTCTTAAAAAATATATTTAAATCCTATAAATTCCAATAAAAAAGCTTTCAATTTCAAATAATTATTTCAGACTTTCAATTTATTTAGTGTCCATTTTTTCCACAAATACTTCCACAAATTTTTTTGCAAAAATATTTACAAATCTAAATAATTTTTTAAAAAAATAAAATAATAAATAATTTTCATGCAAAAAATATAACTGTACAAAACAATATATTACATATAATTCCATAAAAAAGAAATATAGCACACATATGAGATCGCAAATATAATCACAAATAGTAAATACATTCTTCATGATATATTACAATGCGATATTTCTACAATATATAATACAAGCACAGTATTTCTCAAAAGCTTATCGATAAAATAAAATAAAAAAAATGATTGTTTATCATAATCTGAAAGATGAAAAATAATAACAAAAAAAAGGCAGAAACACCAAAAACCAAACCATCGAAATGAAGCATTGTAAGACTTATAAAAGCCATGGCAAAGCGAAAAGTTCGATGAATTCTTAAAAGATCATTATATTAAAAGACTTTTGATAATGGAAAGACAAAGAAAAAAGAATAAAATAAAGAAAAATAAAACATTTGCATCAAGCGTACATGCGAAAAATAAACCAGTGAACAACTGTTGCATTACTAATATACTTGTCCCTGAAAAAAAATTTAATTAAATCAAAAAAAACAGAAAAAACCATTTATCAAATGCTAAAAATTACCCTGAACAAGTCAACGCCAGTGACATTACTCATAAGCTGTGGAATTTTCTCCATTATACTGACCATCTGAAACTACATAAAATAAAATAATACAAAAGAAATGTAAAAAAAAGAAACAAAAAAAGAAATAAAAACATCATATAATTTTGCAATAATAATGAAAACTAGGGGCTATAAACTGAAATAATAAAATAAATAATAACCTCTCCTGTAATCTTTGCTGCACCAATATCACTCTGACCTGTTGACACCATTTTTATTTCATTAACACCGTCAAGCATTGACTCACCTACTTTATTGGCCAGCTAAATGATCAAAACTCATAATTTGGATAAAAACGAGTTTGAAATAAATTTACTTCAATTCAGAGATAAAATGCTAACCTTTGGAAGCATATTGATAGTCATCTCAGTAATAGCTGCTTCTTTGAATTCCTTAAAGGCTTCAGCCTTTTCACGGATTTGCTTTGCATCAGCTGCCGCTTTTACTTGAATAGCATAAGCATCAGCTTGGCCGCGGAGCTAAATTAATTAAGATTGATTAATTAATCCTTTTAATTAAAATTAAATTAATTTAAAACTAAATTTTCCATATAACAAACATTAAAATGTGAGATTTTAAAAAGCGAATCATATTAGCGGATGAAACCCACTTTCGCAGCCTCAGCTTCAGCTTCAGCATTCAAAATAATTTTTTCTTTTTCAGCTTCTGCAATCTTTTCCAATCGAAATTTTTCAGCTTCTGCAGGACGCCTAACTGTAGCATTTAATTCTTGTTCTTTTCGAATCACTTCCTGAACACTAATTTATGATGAATTTTTCCCAAAGAACTAAATTATTCTGTCGTTTCTTGTAATTTTTAGTGAGTAATTATATTTATTAGAAGCATATGGGGCGAAATGTAATTACTTCTTTTGCGACTTCTATAGCAGATGTACGTTCGACGATTGCCACTTGCATATTTTCTTCCTTGAGATTCTGTTTCGTTTTAGCAGCCTAAAAAATAATATACTTATCTATAAGGCTCGACGGGTTCAGGAGAATTTCCCATCAGAAATAAAACTAAACCTGAAGTTGATAGGCAAAATCAGCTTTCGCTTTGTTAACATTAACATCATAATTGAATGCCGCTTGTTTTAATTCAAAATCTCGTTTGGCTTTAGCGATTTCAATATCATTTTTGTATTTTGCTATCATACGTTGCTCCTCTGCTGCAACTTCCTTAAAAGTTCGGTGATAAATAAAATAAAAAAAAAATATTAATTTACAAGGTAAAAGTCACTTTCTAAAACAATTGTTTTCGAAAAACCGCTTATGTTATCGTATAACTTTTGATATAACTTTTTTTAACAGCATTATTTTTTTTTGGCTGATTCTACTACACTTGCTTTAAACTGTAGCAAAATCATGAATTATCAGTATTTAAAAAACCGATAAACCATCACTTTAATTATCTTATCTCTTGTTGCTTGAGCTTCACCAATACGGGCATCCCGCTTTACTTCAGCCGTCCGCTTCATACCCAAAGCTTTCAAATATCCCTTCAAATATTCATTTAAGAAAAAAATAAAATGAGAAATAACATGAAAAAATTTAAAATGGAATGGAAAAAATAATGAAAAAACGATAAAAATATAATAAAGAAATGTTTTACATGATCATCGCGTATATCCTTGATAGTATACGATACAACCGAGATACCCATATTTATAAGGTCACATTTTGCCACTTCAAATACTTTTTCGCTGAATTTTTTACGATCTTGATAGATTTCCTTAAATAAAATAAATAAATAATGATCAAAGTAAATAATGATAAATAATTTTTCCCAAAAAACAAAAAAATTAAATGAAACAACTTAAAAAGAGGGAATATAGTTTTCAAACAAAATCGACCGCTAGACAGTGATTAAATGAAATGAATAAATTTTTTGAAAAACCATGAAGAACCTATAGAAATTACAACATACTTCAACAGACATTAAACCCATAATTGCACGTTGGTGGCCTTCCAAAGTTTCAAGAGCTATCTGAAAAATATCTGAAAACTTTTACCAAACGTATCAAGAACAGTAACTGTAATAAGTATTAATTCTTTAATTATTAATATTAATATTAATTAAGTAAGTATTTCTCTTAACACTATTAGAACTCAAAATTACTAAGGGTATCATATGTATATTAATAAAAAAATTTTGGTTATGAAAAGTTCAATAATTTAAAAATTTTGTTCAATAACTAAAAAGTTTTCAAAAATTTGATGGTTAAAAAATGATTGAAAAGCAATGTAATAAAACAAATTCGAAATATACTTGTTTTATTTCTATTTCCGTCTTGCCTAAGAACAGACGACATGCTATTGCTAATATTTCTTTTTTTCTCGATTCAATTTTTATCTGGAAAATTTTTTTTATACTATACTATGGGAATTATTGGCATGTATATATAGTATGTAAGTAGACGGATATTACTAAAAATAAGGTGGAAGTAGAAAGAGAATTAAATAAGGGAAAGGCAGCAAAAAAAGAAAAGGAAGTAAAAGAAGGATAAAACTAAAAAGAAAGAATATGGATGAGACAATTTATAAGTGCGAAACTTTTACAACAAATTTCAGACAAATTCTAGATTATTAATGAGATTAAATGATAATAAAACAAAATGTGAAAATGCTGCGAGAGGATGGAGGAAAGCAAATTTAATCAAAAACCACTAATAAAGTTTTTCATTAATATTAAAGAGTTGCATAATTATCTTACTTGTGCAATACCAGTAACTGATATAGGAACTCCTTTCTGAGTATAAACACGAGGACTTATTACTTCCAGTGTAATTGTATTTAATGGAATTCGCTGAACCATTTGTATAATTGGAAAAACAAATGCTCGACCACCAATAATATATAGAGGAGATGAATGGAACATACCTAAACCATAATTAATTTATTATTTCGAAAAAAACGAAATAAAATTAGAAGAATAAAGCCAAATCAATATAAAGGAGTAAAAGTGCTCTTTTTTCGGAATACGAATCTCCGTAGGAGCAAATCTGTTCTTCAAAAATCCGAGAGACGTTGGTAATCCGTCTTTATTTTTATCACAAAACGACTCTCTGGCAAAAATTTTCAACAAGCCAGAGGAGTGAACCTAATCACTTTTCAATCAAATCACTATAAGTAATGAGGAGAAGGAAAAGGACTGTAGAAACTGTGGTACCCTATCAAACTTGTACTTGTTAATTAAAACAATACCCTAGAAAGAAAACATATAAATATAAATTTCTAAATTGTGTGGACAATGGGAAGAGATAGGAAAACGAGAAATCATGTAAGCATATCTTATTCCTATTCTTCTCTCTTTTATTTTTCATTCTAATAAATATCCTTTCCCATCACAGAACTATTCATCAGAATGGATTTTTTAACCACTTCCTTCCATAATTTATAATAATTTATGTTGTCCGTCTTGCATCTTAAGAAAAATGATCATTCTTCATCATTTTCCTCTACCACAAGCTTCTACTATTTCCTTACAGCAATACGTCAAATTCGCTATAAGTCAGATAATACAAAATCAATGATAATAATTTTATAAATAAAATTATATTAAAATAAAATTATATAAAATTAAATTAAAATAACTAATTAAATTCACTCAAAAAAAAACATAAAAGAATATAAATGGCCATAAATAATTCACATTTCAAAGAGTCCATGCTGAGATTACCGAAGGGTGTCTTACAAAAATCCATGCATATTCGTACTTGTTCTGGCAAGCCAGCCAGTCAGCCAGCCAGTCAGCCAGCCAGCCAGCCAGCCAGCCAGCCAGCCAGCCAGACAGCCAGCCAGCCAGCCAGCCAGACAGCTAGCCAGCCAGCGAAAAATGGTGGATTTTAAGGAAAAAAAAAAAAGAAAGAATTAACCTGATACAACCATAGCTTCGTTTGGCCCACAATTGTGAAAGAACTTCATCGCTTTTTGTTGGCTAAAAAAAAAGAAAAATTTGAATCTAAAAGAAGCTGAGGCATTTTTCTCCTTCGCCGACTAAATCAAAAGAACGCTAATGAGCAAACCCTTTAAACGACCTCAGACGACTCGTTTTCGCCCCTCGTGAGAACGCTTTGCTGTGAATATAAAGGAAGATTATCAATTATCAGTGCCATTATTGATCAATCAGTGGTTATCAATAATCATTGATTCTTGATTTGCAATCACTTAATGTTTACGGATGTCTATGCAATGAAAGCAACAGCGCTTCGTTGTTCACTGAATAACACTATAGCAACGAAGGCTAGGTGGACAGTCTTATTTTGTCTTACAAATGCCATTTTTTTCACCTATCAGTTTCTCGCATATGTGACATTCCCTTATTTCTACTTTCGAGAATGAAAACGCTGTACTCATCTGACAACTTTTCATCGGCTCATAATACTTTTGCACTAATAACTTTGTGATAATCGATAACTGATAATTGATTGCGATAATTGTGATAAGCGAATATCTTATATCTTTTTCTTAAACGCATATATGAAACTCCTTCATTTAGCCACAAAAACCATAAACTGGCCACTACATTCAACAATTATGGGAAATTAGTAGGCGAGCAATTTTTGTCCAATTCACCTTATAGTAAACATGTTATCGTTCTAGGACCAAGGCATTTAAAAGGGCGATATGAAAACAAAAACAACTTTGGAGAAATACTAATAGTATTCATATATAGTCCGTCTGTCGACAAATGAAAAGGGATGGATGATGAGCAGTGTTTGGCAAAAAATGCTTTAATAATAAATAAAATTTTGCACAATCGACGAAGATTATCAGTTATCAATGCCATTATTGATCAATCAATTGTTATCAATAATCATTCTTGATTTGCAGTGAAAAAAAGAAAATATATGTCGTTGATTACACCAAAAAAATCCAGCATAGTTGAATTATTTAATTATTTACGATAATAATAAAGCGATCCATAGATTTATCCATTATGCCCCTCGATCAAATTCATAATTTAAGCAATTGATATATGCGACAGAGATTTGTGCAGCAATCGTAAACGCCGATTCTCCGCTGTTCGTGAGAGCATTTTTGTCAATGTCTGTAAAAATTTATCGAGTTATAATGGCAATAAAATAAATTCGATCTTATTTAATTAAATATTTTCGAAATGAACTGAGTCGACTTGGCTGAGCACATTTCGAATCGTTGAAGGTTCGGTTGCCTGGATCGGTAAGAACGGTTTCTAAATTTTCTGGTGGCATCTATACTTTTGCCACTTTGATTAAATTCTCGAGTCCTAAGGCCTATTAATCCTTTTATATTTTTGAATGCAGGAAATAATACTCATAAGAGCCTGGCGGAAATAGTAATAGGTAATAAGCTATAAAAAATTCCTTAACGAGCTATTTATAGCTATAAAAAATTCCTTATTCCTTATGTTATTCCTATAGTGAGCTATTTTTTGCTACAAAAAATTCCTTATTCCTTATGTTATTCCTATGACGAGCTATTTATAACTACAAAAAATTCCTTATTCCTTATGTTATTCCTATGACGAGCTATTTTTTGCTACAAAAAATTCCTTATTCCTTATGTTATTCCTATGACGAGCTATTTATAGCTACAAAAAATTCCTTATTCCTTATGTTATTCCTATGACGAGCTATTTATAGCTATAAAAAATTCCTTATTCCTTATGTTATTCCTATAGCGAGCTATTTTTTGCTACAAAAAATTCCTTATTCCTTATGTTATTCCTATGACGAGCTATTTATAGCTACAAAAAATTCCTTATTCCTTATGTTATTCCTATGACGAGCTATTTATAGCTACAAAAAATTCCTTATTCCTTATGTTATTCCTATAGCGAGCTATTTATGCATGTTTAATTGAAGGATATATTGATAAAAATTCCAAAAAGGAATGATAAAAATGATTTTTCTCCTCAAAATTTGAAGGATCCTTTGAAAATCTTGAGGATCTTTGTAAATTATCGATGATGATGATGAATAATAGAATATATCACATAGTTCTTTCGAGAAATCGCGTTTAGTAGAATTGCATAAAAATTTTTAAATGAACTAACTTGGTTGAATTAAAAGTAATTGTATGGTGCAACATGATTTTTTCGACACATTAGGATTGCTTACGGCTAAATGCAGCGGTGTTTCATTCGCATTTGTTCTACAATTGACATCAGCATTTTTACTGAGCAACAGTCTAACACATTTGTAATGCCCTCGAAAAGCAGCAAAATGCAGTGGTGTCCATCCAAGTGGCGTTTTCGAGTTTATATCCGCATTTGCCGCAAGCAAAATCTCCATAAATTCCACCAGGCCTAGAGTTGCAGCTCGATGAAGAGGAGTGTGCTGGTGGATATCTAGAATCTGTTAAGCAAGAGCTATTTTAGAGCGATTCACAAGTCTTTTAGGCTATTAAAAATATGAATATTGCATTATTTCTCCTGCTTCTTCCTAATTTCTTCTTTTTTCTTAACTACGAGAATCGCAATCTAATTGTCATGACATCGCTAATTTATCCATATTAGCAAGAGACCACCTCTTATTGGAGTGTTGCACTAAAGAAATCTATTCTTGGGATTCCCATTCCCAAATGACCTCTCTGGTCGTTTATTTAAAAAGTTACCTTAGCGAAATGTGGAGACTTATTTACAATTTTTCGGAAAAGGCCTATGTTACGCGTTTCGAAGCATTTGTAATATTCATTTTCTTTTTCCGCATAATACGGCTTGAAATCTAGAAATTTATCAAATTCCCATCCACTTGGCTTCTTATCATCTGAGTCAATATCAAGCGATGCGTGAATTTCTTCGTGTTCGTAATCGTTGATAAATCTCTAAATTTTTTCGTAAAAAATAACAAATATTATTATTATTGATTTTATTTTTTTAGTGATATGGTCCTTTCTTTTTGCATATAATTTAGTGGAGAAGTAGTTGATTTACCGCCATAAGAAAATCAGAAATTTAGAATTGTGATCAACTTGAAATGATGAATTCAAGTTAAGTGCTGATTATATTTCGAAAAAAAAACTTAGTTGAACTTATTTGTGGTACAGTTAGAGAATGATAGTGATAAGAGTGATAATGATAATAGGTAGTGTTGATATGCATGCATGCGTATATATATGCGTATATATGCGAGTTCCTACTACAATATACGGCAATTTAGCTTGGATAATTAGCGAAAACTAATAAGACTGATATATGAGATGACTATAAGATGGCGAAACTAAAAAATTTTACCTACCAATGTAAATGAAACAATTTGCAAAACCCGCATCGGAAATCATTTTGAAGTCTTAAAGACATTAATATTGGTAGAAATATTGCGGAATGTTTCTTCCAAGAAGCAACATGGCTATTGCTTGAGGAATATAAATAAAATTCTTGGCTCTTAGGGATATAAATAAAAGGCTCTTTTTCCGGAAGCCTGCAGAGTCTGCTAGCCAAACTATGAATGGTGTGTTCTTTTTGGAAGAAGGCAGAGCTAAAATATTACGGTATGGAATTCTTCTGGAGATTCCTGCAGCGGTAGCAGTGATTCGTTGCTGGATTCAGATTCAGTAAGGCTTTCACGCTCGGCATCATCATCGTTAGGAATTTCCTTATCATCGTCTTCATTATCAGCTGCATCCATATTTGCTCTAAAACCAGATTTATTTTCAACTTTATAATTTAGCCAAAATTCTTTTAAGCTTTCTTATTTTCAACTACCCAAGTTAGTCGCGCATTGGTTTAGTAAAAACGAACATTTTTGAATGAAGGTGATATTGCTCTATGACTTCTTGGTCAGTTTCGAGTCTGAAAAAAGCACCAGAGGGTAGAACCGTCCTCGCTTGTTCACTCGTAGCCAACTGCATGGTGGCGCTAGGAGAATCAAGGCATATAATCAGTCGACGAGGTTTCTTGTCCGGTAGGCCATGACGTTGGATTGTTTTAATCTGTGATGTTTCCAGTCCAGCTGCTCTAATAATTCTTCGCCATATGATTCGATCGTTTTTCTTCGTTTCTTCTTCAGTTTTTCCTTCAAGAAAACCAATGCCAACAATATCTGCAGCTTTCTTTGATTTCTTGAGTTCATTTTTCATGAAATCAATATCACCGCTAATCAGTTTCGCCTCTGTTAAAGAGAAATTTAGAGGAGCTGAGTGAGGCTCCTTATGGACCATTTCTTCTGCGAAATCTTCGTCCTCAGAGAGTTCTGAGAGAATTTCTTCAAATTTCTGGTCTATGGCTGATTCCGACTGACTAATCCTTCCCATGAATTGTTCGTAGGAAGACTCTGCTTTGTCCATAGTTTCGACTGAGTTACTAATTGTTACGCGAATAATTCCTCTTTATGTTAAATAAATAATTTAAAAATTAGTCGTCGTTTTGGACATTTGAATATAATAAATCTAATTGCGACATCAATGAATTAATTTTAATTAATTAATTAAATTAATTTTTAATTAATTTTTATTGATTTTAATTAATTAATTTATTAATTAATTTTAATTTTATTATTATTAATTAATTTATTAATTTTAATTAATTAATTTAATTTTTTATTGATTTTCATTAATTTTAATTAACTAATTTATTAATTAATTTTGATTTTATTATTACTAATTAATTTATTAATTTTAATTAATTAATTTAATTTTTTATTGATTTTCATTAATTTTAATTAACTAATTAATTAATTTTAATTTTATTATTACTAATTAATTTATTAATTTTAATTAATTTTTAATTAATTTAATTTTTAATTTTAATTAATTAATTTAATTAATTAATTTTTAATTTTTTTAAATTTTTTAAATTGATACGACAACAAATCCAACGTAATTTATAAAAATTTCAGATATTTCCTTTTTGATGGTCCCAATTTCTAGTCAACAAGTCACCTTAAGTTAGGTAAGGAGGGCTGATTATCGTTCAGCTTGTTATCAAGAGTTCTAGGATTCTTTAGCTGGAGTAAAATAGTCAAATTTAAAAATTCAAGAGCGAAGGATCAGTCTATTGCAGTTTGGCTATTCCCTTGGTTTCTTATATTTCTCACCGTACTAACTGCCAGTGGAACTCGCCTAGCCAGAAATGTTTGAGCGCTAACGTCTTATTTACCATGTCTATGACAATTAGTTTAATTTTTTTTCTCCTTTTTCTAAGAAGCTTTCGTAAAATGAAGATGCAATAGGGGTCTAAGAAGAAAATGTGATGTTATTTCGTATTTATTCATCTTAGGGAAGGGACTGTCTAAGATTCTCCGAAAAAATATTGTTGGAAGCATTAGTAAATAACGCTGACCATCATATATTTGGCTGTCTTCGCTGACAAATGAATAGAATTTTTAGCTCCGTGGTTAGCCAAGTGAAACAGAAGTATAGGAGACAAACCCCCCCCCCCCCCCCCCCCCCCGCAGACTTCTCTTATCATGATAAATTTATTTCTAGCATGGAACCAAATGCTTCTTGACCTCAGCGCAAATAATATAGCATTTCGCTATTCATTAACTGTATTATAAGAAATAATTTCCCAAGAAGATTTCCCAAGAAAGTAATGCGACAAAAGCAATCTTTTTAGGGCAGTCGGTTGGGCCAAGTTGGCTCAATGTCTGATAACTTTTTTTCCTAACAACTAATATGTAAAACTCGAAAGGAAAAGACAAAAATTTTTTAAAGCCTATTTTGCCTATCGAATTATTGAAAATAGATCAAAAAAAATGATTATGCGATTTCTCTTGGCGGAAATTTTTGATGGAACAATTTGATGTGCGTAGTCCAGAAATTAATGCCATACAATGGCTTTTTTTCATTTTTTTAATCTTTATCCATAAATCATTATCAATTATCAGTTTTGTTATCAGTTTGAGAAAAAGACTTCATTTTTTTGTGTTTTGTCAGTTTTATTCTCTTAAATTCAATGTTTTGTGGATACGAATATTCTCAGTAAGCTTGGAACTGACCACAAACACTGGTTTCATATCTCGGGAAATCTTTTATTTTTAGCCATTAAGCAAATCCCTCCAGGGGCTGCATAATTTCGCATTAGCTGGCCGTTACCACACTTCATTGTTTACAAAATCGTGGGTGGATGGAATGGATGGAAGCAAAGCAGGATTAGCAAACTGAGTGAAGCGGGGTTTTTCGGGCTGTAGTCTAAGATTGTGTTTGACCTCGGGGTTAAGTGGTTGAGTGCCCTATGGGTCCACATTTGGATATGCTGGAGTTTAGCCATTCTCGATCCATTCTGGAAGCTATTAAACCATTACTGCCTTGAAGGTTCAAAATTTAAGTGAATTTCCGTTTTTATGAAATTTACAACTAATCTCGTAATTTATAACTTGATTTCTACCTAACTTCTGAACTCTAAAGACTCAATGAGGAAAGATCGCAAAACAGATGGAAAATACTGCAATGAATTGGCGAAATATGTCTTTTAGTAGTCAAACTGATAATGATAATGAACTGATATCTGACGATAATGAGGTTTGTTCTTAATTTTTTATTTTATTTTTATGTTTTATTAGACTGTTAGGGTAGAAACTCGTGCAGGCCCAGTGGAAAATTTTGTGAAAGCTTGGTACTTTTCGATCATCTGGTCCACCACAAGAAAATAGGCGGTTGCTTCCATATTTCCGTCGATCTTTCCTTTTCTCTTTTTTTCCATCCTTTTCTTTTCCTTTTAGCTATTCTTCAAACTGTTTCATTATCAATGATTAGCCCCTCTTTGTTTTTACCGCTCTTTTCTTTTAACAGTTTGCCTATGATTATAAGGTCTTCCTTTTTTCTTTTCCTTCACTCTAATATTTGTTAGCCAATAAATATATTGTATTTATTTTTTCCATATTTATATTTTATTTTTTCCCCGATCCATATTCTTTAATTTGTAATCTCATTTCTCAGAACCTTACATGTTGAGCCAATATTAAGTTAGGTTCGAGCTACAAATGGATTACGGCTGAAAGTGTGCGATAATAGAATAGCCTATGATAGAGACAAAATATCGAAATTTTCTTCTTTAAAATATTAAAATTTTAAGAATCTCACAGAGTTGGTAAATAATTACAAGAAAAGTAATGAACCATTCGTCTCTGCATGGGAATCGTCTGGTGAAAATAAAGAAGCTGCAAAACAAGTACCAAAAACAGTTTTATCTGTTGCTGAGCGTGGTGACTTAGAAGCACTTAAAGAAATGATAAGTCGAGACAAAAGCTTATTAATGGTTAATAATATTATTGATAAATTTTTGTAGTTTTTATTTATTTTTTACTATTTTTGCTTTTTAAATATTTTTTATATTTATTTTAATAAAATATATAAATATTTATTTATCTATAAATATAAAATATATAAATATTTATTTATCTATAAATATTTGTTTATAAATATTTATTTTTGTTCAGGTTAAAGATGCGGATAATTATACGGCATTACATCGTGCTGCATATAATAATCATGTAGATTGCTTATCATATTTGTTGTCAATTGGTGCTGATCATGAAGCACGAACAGTTGATGGTTGGACTCCGTTGCACTGTGCATCTCGTTGGGCTTCAGCTGCTTGCGTTGGAGAGCTTATTTCACATGGCGCATATGTGAACAGCAGAACTAATAACAATCTTACTCCATTGCATTTAATTTTAAATTCAGATGAACCTCTCGATAAAATTCATGAGACATTTCGATATCTCTTGGAAAGTCCAGGTTCATTTTTTTTATTTCGTTAATTTTTATACATTCTTTTTGTTTCGAAATTGTCCTTTTTTTTTACAGAAGCAAGCAGAAGAGTCCCCTTATATACAGGAAATTGCGAAATTCTTTTAAATTTTGAAACATCTCGAGTTATAGTTATTATCATTAAAGTCAAGATGCATCGAGATAATACATAAAACTGGATGATCCTCAAAAATTTTCAGAATTATTTTAGAATAGAATTATTTTATTGTTTAAAAAATTTTTCATTCATTCTTTTCATTTATTCTATAAAGAGGCTTTGAATTTTCTATAATTTCAAATTTACAATTATAATTACAATTAATTAATAATAGTTCCGTGGATTCAATTTTAGTTGCAGGTGTTGATATTAACGCAGTTTCGAATGCCGATGAAACGCCGTTGGAGCTTGCGAGGAAGGGTCCAAAACTGATTGCGAGTACAATCGAAAAATTCATCAGTAGACCGTGATCACTTTTGTAATCTTTTAATCAATCAATTTTGTAATCTTTTTATCAAAGCTGTTTTTGGAATTAATTACTCGATGAGAAATCAGTTATTTGTAATTATTTTTTCTATTTCCTTTTATATTTTGTTTTCTAATATTCAGAATTTTTTAAAAATTATATTTTTGTATATAATTTTCCATGTATATTTCTATTTTTATTATATTTACATAAATTTTTTATGCTTTTTTTAAACTCACCATTGCCGGTTAGATACGCTGCTTTGGCTTATAGCTAAAAGTAAAAATGTATCGCTCGCATAACCAGGATCGTTGAATGTATTTCTGCAGGGAGTAGAACCTCAGCATTGGTGCTCCGAACTGATCAATAAGATTTCTTATCTTGTAAGATTTATGCCAATTCTTGTGGTGGGCGGCGAAGCCGACGGAAGCATTCTATAAACATGCTGTCGACGCTTGTGGTATATGAGCGTTCAATTGAGATTTTGCGTTAATGAGCAATAGTCGATAGCACATTGGACAGGGGTGGCTCGACTGTCGTACTGAAAGGTAAAAATTCGCTGCTGTTGAGGAAACCTCAAAATATCCCCGTCGTATCTTAATGTATGTGCAGTTGTTTTTTGCATTTACGAAGTACATGCGAAATTTCGTTTGGAGGTTTTACAATTTTGCGAGAATTGCATATTTTCGCCAGTTGATGAAAGTGGATTTTCGTCTTATTGCTCAATGATTGAATCCAAATTATTCAAAAATTTTAGTTTCATTAAAACCATTGTGTTTTTTTTTCCCGGAAAAAAGAATTTCTATTGTTGTTTGTGTTGTTAAATAAATTCGTTTCAGATAATTTTTGTTCATTTGGCGCTGATCGTTGCGGATTTTCCTATTAATCTTTTCGTAATTTCATAAGTAATTATCTGATTAAGCATTTGACTGTTTACTTGAACAGGAAAGCTGTGCGTGGCCTAAGCGAGGCCAAAGGACGTTGAGTGCGTAGTGCAAAATGCGGCTGTGCAACTCGTATCAAGCGGCCAACATAACGGGTATTCTCTACACGGTTATCGTTACAGCCAGTATTATAGCAACGGTTTTGCTATATTCGTGTCCGGCAACCTGTGATCGTGATGTCTGCGAAATCGTCAATTATTTCGGTGTTTTCATAATGTTGGAATTAGCCATTAATCTAATATTGTTCGTTTTTTATAGTAGGTTAGATGATTTATTTTCTTTTATTCATTTTTTATTCATTCATATAATTGTGCTTAGCAGAAAACTGAGAAAAACTATTGCAAGAATATGCCAGAATTATGAAGTTATTGCCAGGAAGATTTGATATTTCAGGAAAAATGATCCACAGAATTGGATGAATAAAGTTACTTTTGTGGTAAAATTCGATGATTCCGGTAGAAAATATTGTATGGAATGCAATCGTATGGCACCTAAAAGAAGTCATCACTGTTTGCTATGCAATATGTGCGTTCTTCGCAAAGATCATCATTGTTTCATGACGGGAGCATGTGTCGGAATTGCTAATCAAGTAAAGAGTTTTTTTTTTTTTAAATTGTAAAAATAAATGAAAAAAAAAGTGTATGAGCTGGAAAATGTGCATTTGCTTCAGTAAATATATGAAAAATATATTTTATATTAATAAGATTTTTCCTGAAACGGCAGATTTCTTTATAAAACTGCATACTGCTTGTTATTCCGTCAAAATCCATTGTATTTTCTGATAGATTATTTCCAAGCCCACCAAATTCTAAAAATTTTCTCTTAATACCCCATTGACCACAACGCTCCATTGATATCCTCGGCCTTCTATTATTTTTAACTAATGTTATGGCAAAAGTATTCAGTTAGGTTCGATAGGACATTAAGGAATCAAAAGAAAGATTGGGTTATATCAAAAAGCATTGATAGGAAGAAGTACAATGTTAATTTAATGTAAATTATGGCAAAAGTTCAGTGGGATTTTTGAGACTGTAATCGTATCTAAAATGTTTAAGAAATATTCGTATTTAAAAAATTGTTTTCGCTGAGATATGGCTGAATTTATATTTAATATTTAAAATATTTATTTATTAAATATGTAATAAATTTTATCTCAAATATTTACACATTCCGACACATTTGACTTTTTTTTTTTTAATTTTTTGAATTCATTAAGGAATATAGGAGGTTTGTTTTCTGAAAATAAGACATTATTCTACTTTTTAATAACTGATAATGAAAGACTAATTTAAATATTTAAATATTTTAAATGTGCAAATTTCAGAGATTTTTTATAGTATTTGTATTATGGGCAGGCGTCGGTGCTGCATGTGGCGCTTTCTTCTTGTTATTATATTTAATAAAATTTGTTGAACCAGATGTTCTGCCATATGGCTTTCTCAAATTTATTGCTCCATTTGCATTGATAAGGTGGTTTATGGCTTATGAAACATTGACAAATATGGCAATGTGCATTGGATTTAGCATTGCTTGTGCTTCTTCAATTGCTGCATTAATTTTTTTTGTTTCTCAGGTTCCATATTTAAAAATTTATTTATTGAAATAAAAAACTTGGTATTCAACAACACCAAACTCAATTTGCACAAACCTGCTCTGCTAATTTTCTTCAATAAGCAGTTATAAATTTAGATGTTTTATACTTTGAATGGTTTTACAATGTACGATTATCATACACTGAGTAGGAGATGTGAACTTAAAGGAGACGGTGAATCATATAAAGAAAGGTGAGACACCATTCATCAAAATTATAATTCAAATGAAATTTACCAAATTCTAATTTTCTAATTAAGTTGGCTCGGTCGCTTTATTCGAACCCTTTCTATCAATTAAGCTCCGCGCGAAATTTTTGAGAAAAATATAAATTTATTGTATATTTTAAAAGTTCTCTAATTATATAATTATAATAATTTTAATGCAGGCTGGAATTGATTTTTGGACCATACTGGTTCCTCAATTTCATATTTCCTCAGCTGTGGTTCTGCAATCGCTTAACGCCTGATATAGCACGAAATATTTTCACTGCAAGTTCCAAAGAACTCTAGTAATTTCTTCTCCAAATCTGGACCTGTGATCTCTAATTATCGAATATAATTTTTATTTTATGAAATTATAGAATGTAAATTAACTTAAATTTATTTATATAAAATAAAAATAAATGATTTAAGAATAATACAGCTGTATAAGACAAAGTAATATTCAAATTCTATTATCGAATACTATTCAAAATACTATCAATATTAGATATCACCTTTCAAAAGCTTTACCAAGCTGTCAATATCGGAATGAGCAATTGTTCGCAAATATCTCTGTAAAAAAGAACAGTCCTATTTAATGTATTTAATAAGCTACTTGCTACTTGTAAAGGAAAGTAAAAGTGGAAAATTTTCTTTAGAAATTCTCTTTAATGGAAGTTTTTACCTCTGTTTCCCATAAGAATTCAATAATAATCTCATTTTCCTTCTCATCCAACTGAACATCTGTTGATAATGGAGGCGATAGTCGGAAGAATGGTATATTTAAACCATGGGCCCATGATCTCGCACGTCTCACGCATTCCCCATCTGAAGCTGTTATCTAAATTTAATGACTATAGCTATTTATAACTAATTATAACTAATTTAATTAAAATAATAAAATGTTTGAATGCGGAATTTATGATTAGTGAAAAATTCATTTTTTTACTCATTTTTAACTTCAAAAATTTTTAAAAATTTCAAAAAAAATTGATTTACACGGCAAAGATCATAAAAATGTTTTTAAAAAAAAACAACAACCTGTTTTATAAGGATGCTTTTCATGTTTAGGAAATCAGTTAGCATTGATTGTCCTTCTTCTAAATTTTGTGGTATACCAAATTCTAATTTTCCAAGCTTAATCTTTTTAGCCGGAAGTACACCGGTTCCCAGCGAGACAATACAATTAATGTCAGCTTTTTCCATATTCTGGAAAATAGGAATATTTTTCTAGAATATCGTAAAAACTTATTTTTAGTTGGGAATTGTCGAAAATAGCACGAAAAAAAAAGCATTAAAATACATACAGCTTGGGCATGTGTCGCGTTATATTCGTGAATATCTGATAGCAAATCTAAAGTAGGATTATTTGCAACAAGACCACCATCAACATAATCATCCTTCGGAGCAAAATATGTTGGAGCAGCACTAAAAACTATGCAAGATTTTTTATATCATCTATAAAAAATTTTCCTTGCTTTTTACCAAAGAAAAATTCCTGTAACAAAGAGAAAATAAAAATAACTAAAGGAATATTACGATAGCGATCCAAAAACTGGTTTCTCAAAAGCATTTTTGAAGGCCATTTTCGTAAAGAACCAAAAGGAAATATAAAGTATATATTAAATGTTATCACTTTTTATGCAAATTTTAAAGAAAGTGCGTTGACTGAAGGTGGTTTTGATCGATAAATTGGTAGAAAGCGAATATAAACGAAGGATTCGAAAAAATTAAGAAATACCTGGAATATCTTGCGCATTTCCAAACAAGAAGATTTGAGGGATCGTCGTATCCTAGAACTTGATTATTTATTTCAGAAAGAGGAAGGCGATAATTACGAAACAATTTTAGCTGAGGGACGTTTGTCTTCACAGATGTCGCAGTTATCATAATCCTAAATATCACCAATATTGAACCATTTTTGTCTTATCTCAAATGCAAATATCAATATTTTTCAGTTGCTTGAAAAACCAACTTTTTACTTTCAATATGAGCCATAACCAATGAATCACCAAAGTAACGTTTAAGAATTTGCTCGAATTCTTTATCCGAATAAGGTTTTTCACCAATAAACACTTCTGATTTTAACCTGATATACAGACCTTGGCATGAACGAGGAGAATCGCCTAAAATAGCCCAAAAAAACCTAGAAAAAAATTCCCTTTAGACTTTGAATATATTACTTTAAAATTAATTTTTTTTTTAGAAGGAATACCGCGAGCCAAAGCTAAAGCAATAATCGCACCAGTGCTTGTACCAGCCAACCAATCAAAATATTCGATTACTGATGAACCAAGTTTTTCCTCAATATGTATGAGTATCTGCAAAAAAATTCTGATGGATGAAGGTGACTTTAGAAATGAGTTTAGACGAAGATGGCGATTCCAACTCCATACGAAAGACGGGATGAATTTGTAGATCAAAAATTTTACTATCTTATTCCATGCCAAGTGCTCCAGTGGTAGCATAAGCTTATAGCGTTAATATTTTTAATGTATAAAATGAGAGAAGATATATGAGATTTTTGTTAATGATATAAAACTTCTGCGGTTTGCTCTTTATATAATTAAAGGAAATATTAAATTTCGAATTGCGATCACCAGAAAAAATATAAATCTTTTTCTACCAAAATTCAAACCTCCTTCAAACCTAGCCTGGATCCCAGGTTTAAGAAATCCTTTTCTGGACTAATCCAAGTGATTTTTTAAAAAATGAGTTATGCAACGTAACTTTCACGATTCGCATCATTGGATATTCTCTTTATAGCAGAAATTTCCATTATTTTAAAACTATGTGGAAAATTACAAATAGATAGATATATCACGATAAAGCCCACATTGGTTAGGTCATGTTCTCCACTACGCCAGGAATTAACGGGGGCATATCTCGCTTTGTTAAGTATTGTGACCAAACGCGAGAAGGACCAATCAAGATCAGGACCAGTCAGAATCGATTTTAATGCGTGAGTTAGATGGTGGAAGAAGTGGCTTCAGTTATTTTACTCTCAAGCATGGCATCGGATAGAGTGGCTTAGAAACGTCGAAACTACTAGAAGAAAAAGAGGAATATATAATGAGCAATTTATTAGGGAAAATATTCCAATAGCTGATTTGGGTCGCTTCACTAACGATTAGGTAAGACATTGCCAAGCCTCCCGATCCGACACTATTCTAGTAAATGAATATCACCTATACGTTCTCTCTTCAGAATCTCTCCTACCGACCTCATTTTTACTAGCCTTCCTCGCTTTTGGAGCCACCCATCATAGGATTTGACAAGCAAGATATGAGTCAATTCCTGATGGATTACGAAGAATATGAAACCAGCGCAAATTGACTATTTTGATAATATTCTTATTGCAGATGCTATTTGAATGAAGGTGGACGCAATCATGTGAGACTTTCAAATATGGTCAAAGGCAGATAAGGCAGATTCCTGACGCCTTCCACTTTTATCTGCCGTATTTCGGAGTATAGTAGAATTGTGAAAAAAGAGGAAATACCTGTAAAAGTATTAAACCACGAATGCCGCCGCCATCAAGCGATAAGACATTGATTGGCCTAGTTTCATTTTTAATCATAATTTCACTCCGTTTCCTAATCGCAGCCATTTGCATTATATCGTTAAAAACTAAAAATGAAAAGTTATCAATATTATTTGTTTAGCATATAATAGCTTTTTGCTAACCAAACAAATTCAGAATGAAATAAATAAATAAATGAAAAAAAATAAGTAAAAAATAAAAAAAATAATAAGAAGTAAATAAATAGAAATTTAAAAATACATCTGGATTTGGGGCTCACAGGTTTTGGAGACTGGAGAAAAGTATTAATGCATTCTATCATTTGTTCCCTGAAAAACACGTCTGGATAAATTAATATGACTTTAAACATTTATAACACTTTGGAGATTTCAAACAGATTATTAAAACAGATACCTGAATGCATTTGACGATTTTTTGGCGATATCGATGGGGCGTAATCCACCATTATTCAAGAGTGTAACAGAAGCTCCAAAGCATAAAAGACATTTGACAAGTTCGAGCGATCCTATCTATAACCGAAATGCATACCAATAATGAAACTAAAATTAAACTGAAGAAATAAATACCTGGACAGCAATATTAAGTGGAGTATCTCCATTTTCGTCTAAAGCATCCACATTAACTTCAAATGATAGTAATGCCAGAGTTTGACTGAGATTACTTCTTTGAACTGATCGATGTAAGGGAGTTCTTTTATTTTTATCTTCAGAATCTTTTACTTCCTTCGTCACTTTGCTCATGATAAGAATGAGTAGCTAAAAATCTCCAATTCATTGGACTGAAATTTAAATATCAGATTTGCCAGTAAGTTAATTTATCGTGGCTTTTGTTGAAATTAAAGGGTTCAGAGAAAATGGAAATGATATTGAAAGAACAATAAACTTACAGGCGCATCCAAATCTTGGTGCAATATAGAAGAACCATCGCATATAGGCTCACAAAGAAAATTTGGTTCGTACTTAAGAAGCAAATTGATAAACCTGAAAAAAGAATTTATTTATTATTGCATTTATTTTTACCAAAATTTACTAGGCTCTGAAGAAAAAAATACTAAACTTCCTCGGTTTGATTCCAGCATAATTTTATTTTGACTTTTTGATATAAAATCTTATTCAAACGAAATGCATAAAAATTTAAAATAACTACAAAATAACTACGAATAACTACAAACCCTTCTGTATCGACTGGAACGCTAAGAAAAATTTTACATAATGGACCAGCAGGAAATGGCCCTCTGGAACAACCAGATTCGAGAAGGATTTTTGCACATTCTACATGGCCAGATTTCATAGCCAAACAAAGTGGAGATAGACCATCGCTATCGAAGCGATTCATTGCTTGTTGAGATCGATCATAACTCATTAAAAGCTGCAAACTGTTGTTATAAAGACTTTTAGTATCTATCACACGATGGGAAATTACTCTGTGGAAAACGAAATAAATCGAGTTGAAACTTACGAATTAGCAAAAAGTATAACTGGAAAAATCCAAAAAAAGCTTTTTAATGTTATACCTACAATCATTTTTATCCAAAACCAAAAATTTACATGAGTAAAAAAGAAAAAAAAAACTAAGTACTCGAAGTATACTTGGACTTTTCTTAGCAGCGTAATGAAAGACATTCCTCATATGTAAATCTAATTTATGAATATCAGCACCATATTCGAGCAATTTAATAACTACATTATAATTATCATTATTTGCAGCTATTTGCAAGGGCAAAAGACCATCAACAGTTGCTTTGTTGACAACACTAAACGATAAAATATATTAGATAAAATGCATGCATTGATATGCAAATATGATAAGTGATAACGATAATCAACTCACACAATGGGATCAATAGAAGAATTTAAACAGAAATTTTCAACAACATCATCAAATCCACAAGAACAAGCATGATGAATTTCGCGATATGTTGCATTCTTTTCAATGCTTATCAGTAGGCAGGCAACGCGATTCAAAAATGTATTTGGCTCCAATACATCTGAATATATTTTATTAAAGACTAGAAAAAAGTATTGGTCCATGGAAAAGTATTTTAATTGAATGATCGCTTAGCGATTTATCAACAATATAACTAAAAGAATCACAAAAAAAAATGAATAATTTATAAGAAATTCTCAATTTAATATTTATTTTATTTATTTTTTTTTAAATATTTATTTTTAAATATTATATTATATTTTAAAATATTTTTTTTATCAATTTTTTCTCAATTTTCATAAAAAATATGTTTAAATTTTTCATTTCAAAAAAATCCAATCCATCAATTTGGAATGCCGAATTCATCAAATTTTTGTACTAAAAAAGCTCTCCAAAATTTTGCGATTTTTTCAATAATCCACCAAACAATGATTATTCATTTTGCAAATTAAAAAAAAAAATAAAAATCAAATAAAAATAAATAAACTAAAAATCAAATAAAAATCATAAACCGAGAATTTCGATCAATCTAAACAAGCCATTTAATATTTTTTGCTTTCTCAGCGCTTCATTTCTGTTCGACATAACTGATAATGCTACAAATCTTTGTACATAAACAATATAGAATAATGTTTCTTCCTTATTCGAGTAGATGGAAACCGATTTGAAGTCATCACACTTAACAAGCGAACTTAGCTGCGAAGTACTAAGAAAACAGATTTTTCGATCCTGAAATTGAGATTTACTGGCATTAGGCACCTACTAATTGCAATTATTTAGAATCTCTGTCACCCATTCAATTCCACAAATTTCGTAAATTCAATCATCCTATTAAGGAAATATTTTGGATATTTAAAAAACACAGCCGACAATAATCACCTCCGGAGGTTGACTACTATTCCACGTTATAACATTTCGCACTTCTTCAACCACTGATCTACAAGCTTCCGTTGCTGCAGCGGCATTCTTGATCGTATTAAATAAACCCGAAATCATATCGATAACACCTTGAAACTTCGTTTATAATAGTAAATAATTATTATTATAACACTTCCTGGGACTCCTAATTTTATCAGATTATCAATACTTTATTCAGCTGCACTGCAAACAGTGCGAATCCGATCTTTACGATTTGATATGCGTAAGCCTACCATTAAAAATGAAATGAACTGTTTTAACTGGATCTTACTAAATTGTAGGAAACATATTCATATTAATCATAAAAAACATAATGACGAAAGCAAAACATTAAAATAAAAAAATAATTCTCATATATTCCCTCGAAATAAATTAAATAAGTCAAAAACACGAAAAACAAAAAAAAAGCCATAATTAATTTTCAAATTTTATGACAGAAATGAAAAATCGAAGTGAACAAACGAGTGAGCAAACAGAATAACAAATATGTAATTTCCCTATTTTTTCTATTTTTATTCTTTGTAAATTGTAAGCCAATAATGACGATTATAAATTGCTAGTGTTTAAAGAGTGGAAAATATGACTATCAGCATCAACCAATTTCAAGTTGAACCGAAACATCAGAAAATATAGTCTAAAAACACTTCATTCTTCGATTAATGGAACCATGCAAAGTAAAAGGGACATAAATTCGTATTAAAACCACAACTGATAAAAAATGAAAGGATAATTTCCCATTCTAGAGTACAAGTATAATTTTCCATACAAGTTTAATTAATTTTTGTCATATTCGTTTACAAATGGAACAGTCCACAAGAAAGTCCATGATATACAAAGGATAAGCAATTAAGAAATATAATCATATAAAAATACTTATTTTATTTTCATAGAATAGAATAAATATCAATTCCTCAGGAACATCGGTTGAAGTAACCGCAAATTTTCATAGAATAGAATAAATATCAATTCCTCAGGAACATCGGTTGAAGTAACCGCAAACATCGTTGAATATATAAGTAAGAATCACTAGCGGCCAATAATAAAGAAGTTATTAATTCATCGTCCTGAAATAAATATTCACACATTAAGATAACATGTGGAAAGAATGTGGAAATCACAAATATTATGGGAAATTGAAATATTTTGAACCACAAAAGATATGCTAAAAACTAATAAGTTTAGATAAAAACTATGATTTCCTCATTAATACCAACAGCAACTCACTCTTTCGTCCAATTCATCTGTTGAATTGAACTTATTTGCATACTGATTGCTATAAAACGAAATTCGCCGCCCGATTAAAAATAAAAAGTCCACAAAAGGCTCCGGACTGGGTTTTTCATCAGTTATTAACATTAGCTGTGCTAATTTATGGAACATTTTGACGCTATCAGCAGTTAAATCAGCAATAGTTTCTAAAAATACGACCATTACAAGATAACTGCAAAACAATACAATATAAAAGATAAAATATAAAATCAAAAAAGAAATTAAAATTTTCTCGAAATATATGAGATCGCAAAAAAAGTTCTCTCATTAAGAAAAAAATGTCAAAATAATTGGATAATTAAAAAACGGCAAAGTCATGCTGCAGATATCTAAAAGATAACTAAAAACAATGAGAAAAACAAAAAAAATAAAAAAATTAAAACAGAAAACTACCAAACCCAAACAATCATTATAGGCCAAAAGTGAATCTTTTGAAAGATTTGAACAGCGATCGTTACACTGTGATTCGCAAAGTAATAGTGATGATCCCTGTAATAATATAAGGTGTAAATGAATTAGAAAAATTAATTGTAATCGTGAACATTTTGATATAATGATGACTGAAAATTCCATGCTCCAAAGAAATATTTAGAAAAATTAAATACTTAGGAAAAAAAGGGTTTAATAAAAACTACTAATAATAAAAAAGGACGAATAATAAGCTAAAACTGTGTAATAATCCTTTCTTATAACAACAAGCATCTAGATTTTAGCTGGCTATATTGCATTTAAATGACCCTTCCGCCGTATGTTCCGTTGAGGAAATACAGATTTCCACATAAGCATCAAATCTTTAATTCGCATTAAAATAATTAGCATTTTTATAAAAAATGTACATCGTATGGTAAATTAATATCAGAAAGAATACGATTCAACTGTCCAGCGAAATCTTCATTTTCACAACAATCTTTCAATTCCTCTGATAAAGCTTTTGCCATGATTCCATTCGCACTAAAATATTTATAAAAAATTTATAATATTATAATATTTATATAATATTTATAATAAATTTGAATAGCGATAGCTATTAAAAATACTTAATAATGTTAAGAATACTTATTAATACTTAAAATAAATTTGAACAATGATAGAGATGTTATTAAGAGATTTTTTCAATACTACCTCACTATTATTAAAATATCGTTACAAACAAATAAACAATTTATAAAAATTATAACTACAAAAATTCAAAATTATACAACCGATACAAATTTTTATTATTAACCATGAACACTGATGACTGAAAATTCCATGCTCCAAAGAAATATTAATTTTTAATATTAAATTATTAATTTAAAATTATAAAACCGACAAACTTTACTGCGATAAGGAGAAAAATGGAAAAAAATACTTCACTGTTTAATTTCGGCCTTAATATTCGTTCTTCAATATAGTCCAAAAAACTGACACTTTTTCATATGATGAAAATTTCATCGCATAGTTTCCAGATAGCATTTCAAGCCCTTCCAAATGAACAAAACCGCCGCTTCGCTCAAATAAATCAATTAAATTTTTTCGCTTCGATTTACCAAAACAATTATCGAAATGGTGCATTTCATCGATTCGCTGTGCTTCTTGAAGCTCTCTGAGAATCTCCGACAAATTCTGATCATTATGGGATTCGAAAATAAATCGCCGCCTTTTACCCTCCTTAAAAAGCTTTAATTTAACAGATTCTGATTAATTCAGTACAGTATTTATCTCTTAATTTTCGAAAATTTTTGAAAAACTAAAACAATTGCTTATCATATTATGATGTCTATGTTAATCTATTACAAATTGCAATATTAGAACATGATTACCTCCTGAGATACTGTCAATTTTTCAAATGCCGTTTTACCCAATGACTCTAATACATCCAGAGATCCTGAAACCATATTCGAGCCAAATCCTGATAGCAAATTACCAAAGGATGAAATCATTGCATCCGAATCTTGCATGACCTAAATTTGAAAATAAAATTTTGAAATTTTGAAGCGAAAAACGAATTTATAAATTGTCACCAGTTACCACTTTTTACCAGCTCAACAAAAAAATTTAATTCGCTGTTAATTTAAAGTTCTAATATGCACCAATAAGTTCGAATATAATAACCTTCACTTTTGCAATATGTTGGAGAAATAATAAGCAAGAAAAATTGTCGAAATAATCTTTTTCTATAATCTCAAATGGAAGAAATTTGTGGAAGAAATGGAAGAAATATTTTTGCAATCAAATATTTTTTATTACTAAAAGGCCAAAATTTAATTTAAAAGAATTTAAAAACACTTCTTTATCCTTCACGAATTCTTTTTTCTTTTCATCTGCAGCCAGTTCTTCAGGTTTAGGAAGACCTAAACTGGATTCAACAACATTTGATATTCCGCCACCTAAAAAAATTGAAAAAATTAGTCGAAATACAAAAATTCTCGTTTTTGATCGGCGTATTTCCAAATTTTTTCATTTCCCAATTTTTGATGAATTTTTGTAAAACTATTAAAGATACTGAGCAAACATCAAAATAAAACTAATTTAAAATGATAAAAAATGAATGAAAACTACTATTCAAAAACAATTCCCAGCAATTCTTTTTTTGAATTACTGGAAATGAGAATAGACAATTTCAGAAAATAATTGCAAATGCAACATTCCTCGAAATTGTTTTTATAATAAAATGATAATTATAATATATGAATAAATAAATCGAATTTTTGCACTAATATCAAATATTTAAAAATTAACCAACTGCATTTAGCACTTGAGAAAAATTATTCCATTTCCAAAAAGAAAAATCGTTGGTTATTGTTGTTTTCTGTAAAAACATATAATTATTATACCGTGGATTTTACTTACTTATAAAAGCCAATAAAGAAAAATCTTTAAATTTTAAAATTTTACCATCTTATAGAACAAAAATTTCACTAGGAAATTCAGTAATTTTTACAATTTTTCAATGAATAAACTGCTAATCTGCTAATTAAAAAATATCAAAAGAAAGAAAAAATTCTCAAAAAAAAAACGATTTATAAGGAAATTTACTCCAAAAAAATGCTTATTTGCCATATTCGTTTAAAAGAACGATTGTTATATATAAAATATTATATAAATAAGCAATAAAGCCAACTGGCTTAATAGTAATTCAAAATAATCTATTGTATTAGAATATAAAATGATTTGTAAAATCTGCATTTCAGCGAAAAATTATATATGACTGAATTATGCTCAACAGTTCCGGTTAAACTCGTTCCACTGGTTCTTAAAATTTTCCTCACCTGGCAATTGAACTTTAAAAGTGCCTTAAGTATTAGCTCGAATTTTTACGATATGCAGTAGCCACAAATAATGCTTGAAATAAAAGCCTTAGCAATAAAACACTCGCCTGAACCTAGTAAATTGGTAAATTTCTTCAAATATCTCAAATAAATATTTCGAATGAAAATTGCATTAAACCTTATTCGCTTGAAAAAGATTTGTGAAATCCTCTGATGTTGAATTTTCATCTGCAATTTTTTCAGTATCATTTTCATTTTTCTCCATTTCGATATTCCAATCCTCCCAGCCATCAACATCCATGGCCTTGTTATTCGCTTCCGAAGAAGCCCCTTCAAACAACTGCGTATCTGTGGGAAATGATTCAGAAATTTCAGTATCTTTGTGGAATTCTTCTCCAACATCGAACGAATCTTTCGCATCGCCAATCTCTCGAGCTCGAGCCAATTTTCCAGTTTCTTGATCAGCCTGCTCTGTTAGTCGATTAGACGCGATAAACGAGCAAGAAAATTTTGGCGATGAACTGTGACTAATAACCAATTCATCACTGGAACAATCATTTCTGCGCGCAATTTTCCCATTCCAGACGACTACTTCTTTAACTGATTCGATATCATTATCGACGTAATCATTACCACTATCAAAACTATGGAATGATTCTGTATCCGAGTCAGACATCGCCTGAAATATCGAAAAAGGACGGTCAAAGGACAATGTAAAGAAAAGCTCTCCGTCGCAGCGCAGCCTCAGGCAAGAGATTGAACTCGTGGCTCGAACTTAAATCGCTCCGGGCGTTGACCTCAGGCTCGAGCTGCGAAGCTCGTCCGACCTCAGCTATCAGTCCATTTAAAAGTGAAAATTCTTAGGAACTTTCTAAGTTTTTAACAAATAAGTCAAAATTTCTCTATTTATAACAATAAAATCGAACTAAAATCTTGTCTTTCAAAATCCAAAATGTCAACAGTTATGCGACACAATCCGATTAATTTCGGATATACTAAAAATCAGTCTCGGCTTCGGCCTTGTTCATTGAGGTTTCATTCATCCTATTTCACTATTTTGATGGACGTTTGAGGGAGATGATTTAATAATTTTGATGGACGTTTGTTTGCGAGGATAGTACTTGGTATAATTGCTGTTATATATGTAATTTATGCTTATTTATGTATCTACAAGTTAGATATGTCAACGTCGCTTATGCGAGTTCAAACTCACCGAGGAAGTGATAAGCTTATCAGTTGGACTGATAATATGGGTTCCTTTTTGTGCTGTAAATTTTCCGTCTTTTTCTTCTATTTCTTTAAACAAGTTTACTTTGTTCTTATCTATTTCATGCGAAGTTTTTATGCGTTATGAGGTAATTAACCGTATAATGCGTGTGTTATCTTTTATCAGCACTTCAGTGTCAGCTAATCTTTTTTTTTGCAGTAACACACTTCTTCTTCTTAGCTGTTCAAATGATGGAGAAGAGAGAGTTTAAATTAGAGTTTAAAGAGAGAGTTTGATCCTTTTTCATTCGCTTTTTTATTTGAAATTTATTTGCGTTATTAAGTAATTAATCAGGTTTATATTTTATGAAAAATTTTATGAAAAACTGCTATGTGAACGTTTTAATTTTCGTAGCAAAATTAAATTATCCTTGGATTATTTCTTCTTTTATTCCAGAAAGCGAAAGGTCAATGAAGGTGACCTTTAGGAGAAGAACGAAAAATAAGATCGTACAAATTGATTATGACAGTGGCTCTCGATGAGGTTGCTTCGCGAAAAGAAAAACGTCGATAAGATCGATGATAATTTATTGATAAAATTTTCATCATTGAAAATCATTATTTGAAATGGTAAGTTCATTATTCATTTCTATATGCATATTTTCTAATATTTTACCGATAACATTTCGTTTGCTGAATTAATATTCATAAACGTGGCGTGGAATGTTTCCATTAATAATTTATAATTTTAAATTATTTTGTGATTAGATTTTGGAACAATTTTATTTTATAAGTTTGGAAGTGATGGGCAAACGAAATACGAAAAGGCACAGCTTTGGCGTAGAATTTTTTCGCCATTTTTAAAAAATGGAATGACGCGTATTGCCAAAATTGAGCGAAATTTGTCAAAATTATGTCGTATAGCTTATCATATTTGAATTTAATATTATTTAAAATCTAATGTAATGTAATATTAATATTAACATGAATTAGAAACGAAAATGCGAATTCCACAATTTTATTTATTTTCAAAAGTACAAACTTGTTTAAAAATGAGTAATTGATCGTTTACTTGTATATTTCCATTAATGGTTTCGTCATTTTATTTACCGACTTATTTGTGACAAATAGCTGTTACATAAAAACTGTATGACATCGCTGAATAAGCGCTGTAAGTGATAATATCAGTAAGTAATTGTATTACTGCGGTACTATTGCGACTTTTGCGACAGTATTTATATTTTTGGCTATAGTTATAACGGACAAATTTTTGTCTTTAGTACTCTTTTTTCAGTTATAAATAGTAATATTAATAACAATAGTAATAGTATTATTAATAGTAATTGAAGGTATTTTCGTAATCGCATTACTTTCCCGTTTTGCTTTCATTAAAATAGAACATAAGGGATCTATTTTGTGCAATTTAAAGAATTATTAAGTGAGGATATCCGTAGTCTTTGAGAAAAGGTCCGTGGTCTTTAAGAAAGGATCCGTAAACTAGGGTATAGCATTGCTAGAGGAATCCAAAGCATAAAAAAAGAACGATGAATTAAAAAAGGCCGATTTTCACTGATAGAATTGAATCTATAGAGAGAGCTATTGGTGGTTTTTCTTAGGAAATTGTCGTTTCGTTTTTTTTTTTGCAGTTCATTTGGAAATTAATTTCAAGTTTTTTTTCTTGAAACATTTTTCTCCTTACAATAGAAAACAAGTTGCGGCATTGATTATTAATTTTTGATTCTCTGATCTAAGTAATTAATCAGCAGTAAAATATTTATTATTTGCATGTTCCTATAGAAGACAAAATTTTTATTTTCTTTGATAAGAAAGGCATTCTTTTTTAGAAATTATTTCTCGATGATACATTTTGTATAGTAATATACATAATATTTAAAGCATTTTTTCAGGCGATCTGTCTGATTCAACTCTTTTTTTTATTTTATCGAAGAAATTCGCGTTTTGTTTGACGAAAATCGTGCTTTAGAATAATATTAATTTGGTTAGTTTCATATATTTTTTATATTATTCATAATTTTATAAAAAGTAAAATTATAAAAAATTATTATATCAAAATAAAATTATATCAAAATTATAAAATTATATCAAAATGAATGCGGAACGAAATTTCTTTTAAGAATTACTTCTGCAAAATTGAACAATTTTTACGAAGAAAAAAAGAAAAAAGAAGGCATTATCCAAATTTCTTGAGTTTGCACCGGCTAGCTGAGAGTCTTTAAACTTTTTTTTTACATTAAATTATGAAATTCCAATGCTTCATGACCATTTTGAGAGAATTTTCCGGAACTTCCGACCTCTCTTCTGTATAATCATGGTTTGCGCTATTTTCGCTGGTTTGTAGGATTGGATAAACTTTGCCAGGAAATCATTTGGCTCTATGGGCGAGTTGTCAGCGTAATCCGATTAAATGGCCGTTTTATTCCTGCAACTATGGTATCGGAACTCCGAAATGACCGATAGTCCACTGAGCGATTGTATTTTCTTTGCATTCGTCGTTCTGCAAAACGTAGCGTGGGTATTCCAGCTGAATATGAAAATCGAGTTCTCAATTCTTGTTGGCAATCACCTTGCCATTATGCTATGGACGTTTCTCGTTTGAAATCATGTTGATTGTAGTGAAATAATTTATCAAAAATTCAAAAGAACGAAAAGATGATATAATGAAATTAAAACGAAAATCTACGAAAAATGAAATACAGTAGAGATCGTACTGAGTTATGCCAGGTATGATAGGGCCTGAGGGATATTTAGGAGGCTAAGATTTCGGATTAGTGTAGAGAACCAAGCCTGAGAGGACTTGAAAGGTAAAGAGTAAGCTTTAGTCTCGCATTTGTCCATTTCCACATTCATCATTTTCACTTCTCGATTTACTGAAATTATTGCTTAACGGAGATAAAAAAGCGTGCTGTCTATTATTTTGTAATCTTTCTTTTTTCTTTTCTAAGTCAATGATGAATATAAACGAGAAATACTGAAAAAATTAAGCAGAAATTTTCTCTCATCAGTTGTCTTATTGCTTTAAAAAAAACGATTGAAATTTCGGAAGAAAAAAAAAATAATTTAATTGTGTTGTAAAAGTGAAATTTCTTTCCTATCAGATAAATTTTTCGTTTTAGTCGATATATTCAATAAATATTCACAAATATAAAAATGGATTCACGACGTGGAAGTTTGTCGAGAATCTCGATTGCACTTCAGCGATCGTTTCGAAGATTGAAACGCGATGAACGACGAAGTTCACGAGGACTTTCTGAATGTGCAGGTCAAATTATTATTAGTGCTGCCTTTTTTTGTTCTTTTTCTCTCTGCGAAATGAAATGAATCGTAATTTTTAAAAAAGCACTTTTAAGAATAAGTTGATAAGTATTTAGTTTTGGAAAAGAATTTTTGCCACACTATTTCGTTTGTTGTTTTTCGGTGAATTTTAGTTTGTTTTTTTCTTTTTGATTTTTAACTTTTAATTTTTAGTAATTTCTGGATTTTTTTATGCTAAAAATATTTTATGTTTGATAAGTTTTGTGTTTAGCTTCGTTAGTGTTTTTTAGTTTCATTATCATAGGCGATCTAAATATACAGATTTTTTTTATTTGGAACAACCATTTAGCGAATTACTTCGTTACTATGTCCAATAATTCAAAGAAAATAGTTCACTGCTGAGAAGTGATAAATGAATTTCATTTCAAATTAAAGCAAATTTCTTTTAACTGGTTAAATTTTTTTTCTATGCATAACTTCTCGAACGTTACCTTCCATTGCATTTATTATTAGATCGATTAATTCAATGAAAAGCTAATAAAGTTTCACTTATTCACTTATTTTATTTCATAAATGCATCATTTAAATATTTAATAAATTTAATCATTTCTCAGTTTTGTCGATTTTAGAAAATTCTGGAAAAAATCAAAGTGGTAGATCAGTTGGTGGAAATCGAGAAATGCCAACGCGCGAAGACGCCAATTCCATTTTGCCGGCAAAAGTTTTAGATATTAAGTTGGATAAAAGTGAATCGTTCGAACTTTTTAATTTGTGTAAAAATATGGAAAATTTGGTTTTGCATTCTCGAAGGGTTTATGAGGTTGTTTTTTTGTTTTTTCATTTGTAATGTATTTTAATGTTCCATCTTTCCATTTTCCACTGTTGTTTAAATTCCACTGATTTAATGAATTGGACGTATCTGGTGGTTTCTTTGATTGATAAATATTATTTAAGGGCATTTATGATAGCCGAGAACCAGATCAATCCTATTTTTCTCCGTATACAAACTTCAAAATTAATGATTTTTCAAACAAATATGATCGACAGATCGCTACACTGCAAATGATGGAAAATTGTATCGGAAATCGTGTGGTATGAGTATTTGGTTTTTTACTGAAAAAACTTTGGTTTTTTGGTTTTTCACTGTTTTTTTTCTTATTATAATAGTAGTGTTTCTGATGTCCAAACAGATTTCTAACTTGTTGAGAATAATTTTCATAATTTTTATTGATTTTTTCCCGAAAAAAGTTTTATTAATGAAGAAGCTTTATTGATCATTTTTTTAGCAATAATAGCTAAATCTTATGATTAGTCCATTTCCACTGTTATCATTACGATATTATTTCTATGCTACGAAGATACTGGAAATTAGATTTTGTAAAAAAAAAATTTTCATCTTATTTTTAGGCGAAAAGGTTAATGCGAAATAAGGATATACCAGTGGATCATGAAGCTCGCAAAGTATTGTGGAAATCAATATACAAAGGGAGGCGATTCGAAGATATGAAATCTTATTATAATAATAGTGTTTCCGATGTCCAAACAGATTGCGAAGGTTTCTAACTTTTTGAGAATAATTTACATAATTTTTATTGATTTTTTCACGACAAAAGTTCTATTAATGAAGAAGCTTTATCTTGTTTTTGTTCAAAAATATATTCTCAGGTCGTCCTTTGTTCGATGAAAAAGTGTATTTTTTAAATACAGATGGAACTGCAGCACTTGGGAGGCTTATGGGTGTATTTAAAATGGGTCGTCTCAGTGAATTTCCAGACTTTGTAATTTTTCAAGTTTACGGACTATTTTTCTAAATTATTTTTCTTTTAAACAGCTTTCTTCGATTTCCGTTGGTATAAACCGTTTTTTGATTTTATTACTTAAATATATTTCTTCGGATTTCTTTGAATTTTTCAGATTTTATCGTCATTCGGAGCAGTATTTTTACACTTCATGGAGGAAGATGAAGCTTATGCTTTTACCGAACGTGTGCTTTACGACTCCCTCTTTAATATTTCAATATCAGCGGTCTTGCAACGATATGGCACTTCACGAGCGCTCGTTGATATGCTTCATTCTTATAGGGTAGGTATCAGACTTTAAAAAGAATTTATTTTAAATTTATGAAGATCCTATAAAAGTAAAGACATCTTTTTGTTATTGATCTTTCCCTTTAGTGTTGGTCATATTAAAGGGACATATAAGGTAACATCGCAAGACTTTCAAATAGAATAATGAAATTTTCTGAATGATCAAGGAAATTTTTTTGGAAGTCAGATTATGCTAATGTCTATTCTGTATTATGTTGGTATTGTTTATTATTTATGTCTTATTTATGTTGGTGTTATATAATAATTCTTCAAAATTTTAGCCAAGAGTTTATCAATATCTGCGACGAAAATTAGGGAGTGATACGACTGACGATGATTTGGCTTACCTTATAGATGACTGGAAACGCTGGTTGTTTCGTTTGTTGCACTTCAATCATCTTGTTCGTGTCATCGATTGTTTTCTGGTTGAAGGACCCAAAATATTACTCCGAGTTGTCATTGCTATTCTTTGTATTTGGCATCATTTTAGATGTTATCGAGTAAGGATTTAAATTTTATCGAATATTTCTCTTGTTGAAAATTGTCTATTAATTATCTTGATATTTTTTCGTATTTCCACAATTTATTTCAAATTATCTAATATTAAAATTTTAAAAAAGTGGAGATTTTGCATTTTTTTCGTTATTTCATGGAAAAAAACTTATTAATCGCTGTTGCATTTGCATATATCTTAATTTTATGATTATTTTTTTTAAGACTTCGGGGTTAGCGCGTATAAATAGGAGGAAAAAATTGCGGGAGTTGGGCAATCACATCGGAGCTGTTACGTTTGAATGTCGTGTTGGAACAAAAGGACTTCTGGATTTTGCTTTCAAATTACGTAATTTCAAGAGTGAATATATTATTCGAGTCTTGCAGAAATATTCTAATGAGGTGACAGCTTTACAATTATGAAACAATTATGAATTATGCCCAAAATCTGATCAATTTGTAAAATTCATCATAAATCGCAGCATATATTTTTGTGGGCCATAATAAACATTTCAATGCTAATTAAGCATCTTTCTTGACATTTTGAAGGTATTGGTTGGAGAACCAGAGGAACCAGTTGTGCGAGATTGCATAGATGGTGGTTTTATTGGTGTGATCTCAGATGATGTTCGTGGGCGCACATTTCAATCGAAGCTTATTAGTCCTTATGTTGCTTCTTGTCTTATGTCATATCTTCCGAAAAAATATATTCATGTAACACCTGTGCTTTTATTTGATGCCATTCAAGATGGAATAAGTTTTAACACACTATGGAACAGGTTATTTTTATTGGTTTTTTAATTTTTTTCAATTTTTCAATCGATTGCATGGATTTTAACCAATATATTTCATTATTTGGTGGTTTCAATCATTTAGCAAAATTATCAGGAATAAATTCTTTAGGAATCCAGAAAAAAAATCCTTGTCTTAAAAAAATATGAATAGTAGTACTAGAATATGGAATACAAACTGTTTTAAGGATTGATGATGCACAAAGTACCATTATTATCATCAAAACTCTCTCGCATGAAGTTTTTGGTGCTTACTGTTCTTCTCCTTGGAACTTACGTCGACGGACCGACCGATTTTTTGGTACAAATGAGTGTTTCCTTTTTAAAGTGAGTCCTTTACGAGATGCACCCATAATATACCAATTTATCGAAGACGAATTGGAACGATCAACTTATTTTATGTGCGGCAAACAAGCGGTTCTTGGTGTAATTTTTTATATTATGAAATATTTTTTTTTATAAAATTTTGCTTCAAATTTCATAAATCTTCTTTCACTTCTAGCTGTAAATCTTTGAAATGTTCTATAGTTAAGATACTGTTGGAACTTCACTAAATTCTCTTTGTCGAAAATACTTTAAAGGATTTGTATGGATAAATCCCTGACATAAATAGTAAACATCAGGTTTCACTGTTAAAAAATAATCTATTCAGATTTTTAATTTTAGATTGGTGGTGGAGGTGATGGAATGGCAATATATATAGAAAATGATTTGACTTCAGGAACCACTGCAGCTTCAACAACATTCGGTAATCCAAAACTAGCAAAACCATTTTTTTTTGATATAGAGGATATGGAAGTTTTTGGAGTTAGCGATTAATAATTTCGCTAGTTCTTTTATCTACTAAAATTTTTTATAGTTTTGCATCACCGATCTCATTAAACCTATTTTTTTGTATGTGCATTCATATTTGTATCGTATTGTATATGTTTCTTGTAAAATCCAATTCTTCGAAAAGAATTTGGAAAGTTTTAAGTGACAGTTCTTTCTTTTTTTTTCCAGAACATGTTGAAAGTCTATCGGCGATCTCTTTTCAATCTTGAATCTCAGTTTTTAAGCGTATCATATATTTTTCTAGTATATCGTTTATTGTATTTCATAATTTAACATTTATCAGTTATCAAAACGATTGTTTCTTCAATTTTTGCATATTACCTATTTTTAGAATTCTACTTATTTGATTTAGCGTTTTATTGTGTTTGATTTATAAGGTATTGCTGGAAGGAGTCCAGAATTCACCTGGACATTTGCAAATTTTCAATTCAAACTTCTTTCCATTAATACTTGCGATTTGCTTTATGATAAAAATGTTAGAAGAACACAACTGGCTATATCTATTTTAATTGCTATCTCTAGGATTATATTCTATTGTTTACGACATATTTTAATTCAAAATAGACTTTTGAATATACAGTTTTGATTCTTGTTAAACACAAGTTCTGCCAAAAACCAGCATTATTGACTATTTAAAAATGCACTATCTGCCATTAAAATGTTTTTTAGAGATTATGGATTCGGTTTTCTTGTGTTAGGGTTTGTCATTTTGGAAATTTATTATGTAAGAAAGAGGGAGGATTTCTTGGCATTCGCTTGGTTTGCTAGAAATATAGAAATATGGTGTGTTTCAGTTTGAGGACAAATGTCCTGATTATTTTTGTATCACATAGCAGAAATAAAGTTAAAATTAGAAATGCTTGATGATTTTTTGGCCTTCCTGTCCAAGCGACTGACTGCAGAAAGTCTGATCTGATTCTAATAACTTGTGGAATTTAAAGTAAAGCCTAAAGGGTTGTTGTTTTCGAAGTATATAATGGATAGGTTTGGTTGGAATCTTCTGTCTGAAGCAGTGGTATACTTTTTTTTCGCAGATTTTTAGGAGTTATAACATTGGAGGTTTTTCAGGAAATGGCCGTGAGATTCGCTCATCGAATGTTACATTTCATTTTTCCAGAAAATTGTTATGATGAAATGTTGATCGAATTTAATATTTTCGACCGTCAGTTTTTGTCTTTCTAAAATTTTTCAAAAAACTGAAATTAAGAATCATCAAAAAGAGGCTATTTTTTCATTAATAGGCCGTATAAATGTGAGTATGTTAGTTGAATTGGTGGATTTATAGGGCATTGTATATCACTGGTTATTTCTCGCCTGCTTGGGCTTTTAATCACAACTGGTTCTTTACTGCTTCTTGTGCCACAGATTATCAAAATCCATGTAGCACGTACTGGATCTGGAATATCTCTCGCATCTCAGCTGTTTGGACTTCTTGGATGTTTCGCTAATGCAGCTTATAGCTATAGAAGCGGTTTCATTTTCAGGTATTTTATTATAGTTTAAAGAATTACTCATGGCAACTAATAAATCATTCTAAGTGACTATTGTAATTAGATAAAATAGATGTTAGGGAAATAATTCAACAATTATTTATTTTATTCTTTTAGAGAAGTTAATTAAGAAGAAGGCCATGGTTTTTAATGTTAGCATTTCATTCAGTTATAAATATAAACAAAAAACGAAGGGGGTAGGATAGCCGAGTGGCCTATTGCTAGACCAGATAGGCCACCATAGTCCGATTCCCATTCCTCCACAGAGGTACAGCTGGAGATCTGCTATCTGAAGTATTGCATCCTGATTGTCTGGTCTGCAATGCCAACAAATTTATAATTTTTTGATCAATGTTTCTTTGTCGAGTTTATAATGAAAAGAATTAAATGAGAATGTAAAAAATTAAAATAGAAGTAAAATTAAATAAGGAAATTTTAGTGAAATTTATTTACTGTTGATCTCAATATTTTCAGTCAATGGGGCGATTCATTCTTTGTTGGAATACAAATGGCCATCATAATCATGCAAATACTCTTTTTTTCAAGGCGCTCAGCTCATGCTTTTTTGTTCGGTATCGTTTGTTTCGTGACGACAATTGCGGTCGTGACTGAATATATACCATTCTCATTTCTTACAGCATTACAGGCTTGTACGATTCCCATTACTGTAGTCTCCAAGGTTTATTTATTCTCTACTTTAAGTGTTAACTGGGCAATCTTATGCATTTTTTGTTGCGAACTTTAACAATTCTCGTTTTACAGCATTTTTTTGGCAATTCTATTTTTTCTTGTTTAATGCGATATAACTTTCTAGACGTACAACTTTTGTTAAATAGAGGAATGCTAGGATTTTTTAGTATTACTAGGAGTTAGCTTTTTGTTTAATTTGATTTTGAGTTCTTACTTGTTGTAGAACAAAATTTTAGAAAAGCAGCAATTTTTTTATTAAAAGTTCATTTATAATGTACCGGCGAATGGCTGTTTTAAGAATGTGCCTATTTACCTTAATTGCTTTAATTTTTTTTTTATTGCAGGCCCTTCAAATAAATTGTAACACGCAAGCTCAAAGTACGGGACAGCTCTCACTGATTTCGGTCTCACTTCAGTTTGGAGGTTGTTTAGCGAGAATATTCACTTCATTTAAGGAAACTGGTGATCCTTTGGTGATTATCATTTATTTTATTTCATCATTTATGAATGGGATTATTTTTGCTCAGATATTTGCATATTGGGGTGCCAGTAAGAAAAAAGAAGAATAGTTATTATTAGTGTATGCTTTATATAATTCTAAGTCTAAGATTTTTTTTTGATTCAGGCTTTATATAATTTTTTTTTGATGGAAAAATCCATTTTTCGCATCAAAACATGAACGAGAAGAATAAAAATTATAGACCATGAGGCTTACAATATGTAAATCTGAGCTATTCTATTTTATTATCTTCATAAATTTCGAGTATTATCATCCATATTGAGATTTAACCATAGCTTTATTTACTCTATCTGTAATAATTTAATAGAAATCTGTGATAACGAATTTTTTATGTATTCCTTTAGTCTTTTTAGTTATTTCAAGGCTTTAATTATGCTTTTCTTTGTTAATTTTAGCTGAAATATTTTATAAAGTCATAAAATTTTGCAAAAAAAATTAGAATTTATTTATAAAAATATCCGAAGCGTGGAACCATTTGTAATTATCAGCAATAAAGTAGGTAAAAAAAGATGAGAATCAATAAATTTAAGTATTTTAGATGATCTTCGAAAGATTTTTCCTAAATTTTTCTTAATATATGGTTCTTTCGACTTAGAAAAAATGATTTATTTTAATTAAGAAAAATATTTTTTAAATTTTCAAAATTCATCTAAGATTTGTACATTTTTTATCAAAAATCTTTTATTTGAATTATTCTTAAAATTTTTTTTAAATTCTAAGGATAAAATTTTTTTATGAATTAACAGTATTAAGGAATTTTTCATGGAAATTTTTTATGATTTTCATTTAAATTAAATTGTTTTTGAAGCATTTCAATTGTTTCCTTATTTGGAATTTTAATTGTTAATTTTTCCAATCTTTATTTTTTGTTATTTTTATTATTTGCCAATTAATTTACTAATTGAATTTATACGAGTCGAATGTTGAAATATTTTTATAATATTTTAAATAATATATATATAATATAAATATATTTTAAATAATATTTCATGTATTTATAATAATATTTCAAGCACATTTATTTTTTATTTTTTTCTTTCTTGAAGATGATTTATCTATTAATATTCGTAAAAAAAACTCATCTCTGCTGGTTGTTTTTTCAAACCTTGGGATAGCCTTTGATATTTCTTCAAAATCCGCTATTCTTCTTAATACTGCCTTCATCCCTTATTACATTCCCTTAACTCTCTTATCCCCGCTGAATTCCTTCGATCTGTGCACTGAGGTCTCTTCTCAACTTGAGTGATTTTATATTGTGGGGGCATAGAAAAGAATTTAAAATGATTTCAGCTATGGATTAAGGCAAATGGATTATGCAAAAACTAAGTAGAAGGTGATATTTAACGGAGTTTGGGAATGTTCTCGCGAAAAGGTACTGTTAAATGCAGCGAAGCGAGATTTCTCAAGCAGTTATGGAGAGTTTTTTGAAGGAAATTGGCGGGTTATGGTTCCACAGTGTACCAGATTTTCACTGCAAGGTTAACGTGGCGCGAGCAAATTCGAGAAAATATTATTGTCTGGTTTTAAAAAAAGAACTTAGATCAGTTTAATAGGGTTTTAAAGAGAATTTGGATTTAGGATTTAGAATGTTTTAGGGTAAAAAATAGAGGAGAATGGTTATGAAAAATTAAGATAATATGAGGCAAGGAGGTTTATAAGGTAATGGTGCGGAGGAGGTATAGGAAAATGTTACAGAAGTATTATATTACAGGAAATATATTAAATATTATAAAGGTATAAACAAAAAAATCTAGAAATTTGATGGAGCATTGGGGAAATTAGATGGGCTTCTGTGGCATTCTGTGGTATGTAACAAATTATATGTTAGGAATGGGTTTTTGAAATATTTAAAGGGTTGTATGAAACCTGAAACCTAAAGAAGTGTTGTTAATGAGTTGGAATAAAGTGGTACTTGTTGCAAATGAGATTATATGTGGTTTTAGAAGGTTTAGGACACTATTTAATGGAAAGTAATGGGGAAAAGTTTCGCAAAATACGGCCTATTTTGGAGGAAATAAATAAATTTTTTCCGGATACATACACTTACCTAGGCCAGTATAGCACATTATTACACAGATATTATTAGTTTTTGTACGGTTAAATCGTTTATTATTGTGAGTAGGGAGTAATAGCGCGGATTTTTGTCCCTCAAGTGTAGTAAACGACTAAAAATAAGCTTGACTGAGGCTAATGACCTATCTGTGCCTTCATCTTTTCGCAACCTTCTTGGAGAATAACAGAACCAATCAAACCATAAATGATGTTTCGCTCCTAAAAGAACGATAAATAGGTCACAATAATAGCAGAAAGTAGGTTATGAACGTTGATGGATCGTAATGTTGATGAATTTTAGTTCTATGAATGTTTGCGAGATTTCGTACGAATATCTTCGAATACGGCAAGACGATAGCAAATGATTATAAAACTGTTTTTGTCGATGCTTTTGTGGAGGCTCGCAGGAAGCCAGTGAAAGCTATGCTTATCTCAGCTTGCTTATGTGGCCTTGGTTATGCTTATAAAACGAATCCTTCTGAAAGGTTGATTTCGTTTTATCCGAATCCGGATTTTATCCGAATGGTTTAATGGTCGATCGTCTAGGAAATTTAGTTGATTTTTTCCATAAAGTTTTGTGTTAAAAAAGAACTGAATTTTTTTGTTCGCGTTTTTGATAAACCACTTGCGGTAATTTTTCGTGGATATAATTTGATTGCTTATCATTTTAGCGATTTCTTGGAGAGTTTCGTTGAAAGGCGAGTGCAATTGACTTTATTACCCATTGCAATACACAATAGGAAAACAGATGAAGCTATGCAACGGCTCACGAAATATATCCAACATAATCGCTTGGAATATTATAATTTTATTTTTTTTTCTATTGTTTTGCGTCGTGAATATGGAAAACAAGTTCGTTTCACTTTTTATTTTTATAGTCTAAAATGAAATATATTGTTGAGAAATTATCGTTCTCTTATCATTCATATCATTTGATAGGAATTTATTTGCTTTTATTTTTATTTATCTGGAAATTTGGATTGCAATATATCTGATTTGAAAAAAAATTTTTTTTTTTTCTCATTTACTTTTAAATGAAAAGGCTATAATCTTGTCTTTGCATAATTAAAGTTTGATCACATCATTAAAATATACTTATCGAAAATATTTAGCATATAAATCAATTTTATTGCAGATGGGAATTTATTATAGTACTGATCCGAATTTGAAAGACTGGTGGTGGAGAAGGCTACCAAAAAATTTTGTCGATTTTGGAGCTTTTGGTCGGTGGTACAATTTAGAAAAATATTTCGTTGATTATGATATTAATGAAAATGAATTTGAACAAAACGATAAAATTTCTTCGAATCGGATCAACTGAGTGCTTCCTTCGTATCTTTTTGATGATTTGATGTAATAAATTTTTTCGGTTGATTTTAAAAAACTACTAAAGAAATTTATTATTTTTCAAAGTCAAAATATCAGAAAAAAAAGTCAATGAAAAAAAATTGTTTTGTCTGCTTTGAATTTATTTGATAGCATATTTTATCTGAAAAATATCGTTTTTCTGAGGGGAATTTGAGGAACGCTAAGAGCACCGAGCAATAAACTGGGTTTATATTTATTCACTATCCACTAAGTTTTTTTGAATATTATTCAGATTCTGCTGAGGTTTGAATAACTGAAAAAGTGTCGAAATTGATGAACTAATTAAGACTTTATTCATTAATAATTTATCGTTGATATGCTAGATTTAAAGGTTAATTTTTTATTATTTATAGGGAAATCGGCGGATATCGACCGAAATCAGTGGCTTTAAATTTACATGCATTTTTTTAAAACCGCATCTAAGCAACATGAAAGGAGAAAGAATCATTTTCGTCGAATAACTTCCTGAAATTTGTGATTTAATCGGAAATTTTCTAAAATTACTTCATTCATATTATAATTAGTAGTATTCACCTGTGGTGTTCGGTATAAAATATATTTAGGACAAAAGAAATCACGGTTTGGTGTATTTTATATGATAAATTATATCTTTAACTTCTTTTTTCTACTTTCCTTTTTAAATTTGATTTTGAACCTTTTAAATTTTGAACCTTCTAAATGCCCCACCACATATATTTTCAACAACGTTTCTTCTTTCATATAGTTTCTTCCTTCATAACGCATATTTTTTCGCTGAGGTTGGCTTTTTATCATAATGGCTAATGCCTAGATCATACCTTCCAGATTCTCTGGTGTCGTCTAAGCTGTCTAGAATAAGCTTTTTTCGCCAGTGAGGACGACTGGGAGTTATTTGTTCATTGCACGAGTAATATAGATATATACTTAGTTTTTATTCATAAAATAATCTCATGAAGACTCATAATCAAAGCCATTTTCTTTGTTATGTATTTTATTGATATTACGAGGTGATATCTCCTTGTTATCATTGGAGAAGCCTAAGATAAAAAAGGTTTTTTGTGAAATGGCTCTTCGAAAAAATAAAATATAAGTTTATTGAAATATGATACATTTTAAATTCGTCCTAAAACGAAATGCGGGGATTCGCTTGTAATTATCTTGCTTTTTTTTAGGTCCTCTGGCAAAAAAGTCGTACCATAACAGGCAGTGCAACCAGCTCGAGTCGTAGTGAAACATAATATTTACAACATTTTTGGAAACATTTTTTGAGAGACTAAGAAAGGAGTCGTATGACGCTGTAATTTGCAAATAAATTATAAGTCATTCACATGGAAAAAAAGGAGGAAATTAAGTAATTTTGACAGATTCCTTCTGAAAACGACCGATCAAAAGGAAAAAAAGCTGTCAAAATCAACGATCGAAATTAATTTTCGGCTTCCTTAACTTTGGAATCTTTTGGCTCTCCCCTGTAAAATAACTGTCACATCTTGCTATATATATATAAGAAAAAATTGGATCTCTGATAAAAATTAAACGTTCTCGTCGTACTAATAATAGCCAGTGAAGCGAGCCTAACGAGCAATGGTGACAGCTAACCACTTATTTTACTTTATCTTCTAAGTGCTCGCACCTTGGCTATGCTGACTGCCTTAATTGCAAAATTGAGACATTGCTTGGTTCATTCGACAACGTTTTTACTATTTTATTGTAATATAAGAAGAAACATCGAATTGAAACAATAATAAGAAAAATCTAAAAATTTACAAATTAAATAAAAATTTAAGAGGTTTTCTAATTTTTAAAATATCCCTTAATTTCTGGAAATATTCAAATTCTCCTTTACGGAAGACGAAAAATGAATGTCGATGAAGGAAATTTTCAAAATATTTGCAGCTGTCGAGAAAAAATTGCTTTTTGCTTTTGTGCATAAAATTTTCTCACAATATAAATGCAAATAAATAAATATTTGAGGCGATTAATTTCCTTAGTTTGATTCCAAAAGATTCTCCTAACAACTATTATTGGCTTCTTTGGCTACGAGGTAAGACTGTTCTCCAAACTGTTCGATCGCTCATATTAATGGAAGCCATTCCTTTTTCCATCGTTCAAATCCATAAATCGCTGGTTCACCTATACGTTTAAAATCTTTCAAACTGATTATATCAGTTCAGATTTTGGCTGATCAAAATTGTTTTTAGTTTTTAGTTTTTAAAAAAAAGAAATAATAAGTCCACCTTGCTATAGGTTGTGCATACAGAGGCGATTACGATTGCCTATAATTCATTAAAAACCAAAATTCATTAAATGATTTTGATAAAAAATAGATTTATAAAGCAAAAATCTTTATATTATTTCATATATTTGCTAAGCTTTACTCCGTCCTTTTTTATTCATAATTTATCAACTGGCAAACAAAAAAATGATAAAAAATATTAAACGAAAACAAAAAATATTTGCAACGAGATTTCATAATTTCTTCATTATATTTGTAAAATTCATTTTAACAAATTTCTATTTCAATAATGAATATTTATCAATTAAGGAAGAATGTTTGCTTCTTCAATTGGCGAACAAAAATTTATATTTATTCTTATATTATAGGATATAACAAAAATTTGGAAATTGTGTTTCCATAAAAGGTAAAAGGTTAAAGGTCAAAGGTTAGTGATAAAAGGTTAGTGATAAAGGTGATAAAGGTTAGTGGTTTATAAATTTATAGTTTATAGTGAAAAATCTGTGCTATATTAAAAGTTCATTAAAAGTTTTTTCCACTGCTATAGAGGAATCACTTCTGGAATTGCGGCTATATTATTTCTTTATGAATTCTTTTATCATTAGACAACAAAGAGTGAAGTGATTCGAGCGACAACCACTTTCTCGAACATTATTCGAGATGCACCATTATTCGACGTGATTAAGCAAATCAGCAGCGACGCATTGTTCAGGTAAATGGGAAGTTGGTTGTCACTAAACGCTCATTCGATATTTAGAGGCTTAATCGTTTGCTGAGATAGGACGAGGAGGAACGAGCTGAATGATATAAAAGCGATACGCACTGGGAATAGGAAGGACGAACAACTTAATTGTGCACTGTGAACGATCCTCGCGGCGAACAAAAATTTCCTTTTTATCGTATTGTATTTCTATCGTTTCCACCCTGTGGTCAAGATAAGAGAAAGCGAAGATCTACCATTGCCTGATAACTGAAGTGGGTGGCAACATTGAAAAATTGTTGCCGGAAAAAAAACTGAGCTAAAATGCCGCGGATCATGCCAGCGCATTAGCAGATAAATAGATATTGAATGTTAGAACCATAGAAGCGGGAGTCTACTACTCCAGGCAAGTCCGAGATGCACACTAAACAGAGACGCTTCAAGTACCATCTAATAAATAATGCAAAATGCAAGAAGGAACAATATACATTAAGCATTGCAAGCAACTGGCAGTCGTTTGAAACAGCAATTCTACTGGCTAGGCTCTGCCAATGCTAAATGGACAATTCTGCAGAAAATCATTGAAATTTATCTATATCCAGAAAAGTAAGGAATTGCCATACAAGACAAGATTTAAGGCGCAAACTGTAGAGAGATGAATCAAGAAGTAAATAGGACCATACAGTAGTATTTGCAGGAATATTTGCATAGTATATTGGCTATGCTTTCAAAAGGCCAAATGGAGGATTATGGAAAATAACAGGCCTAAGATCTTGAGAGATTTCCCGCTCTAGGTGGACAAGCAAGCACGGACCCACAGGAATCGTGGCAATAGATAATAATACTAACAATACCAAATGATAAGAAAATTAGCATGAAGGAACATAGAAAAAATTAGAGAAAAAATATTTGAGCTGGAAGAATCAGAGAAGGTATAATAACTGAAGGTTAAATCGATCGGTCCTTATGGTGGTAATACCACTGACAGCTACGATCCCTAAGTTGAAAAGAAGTTCCAACGGAATAAATTTAAGTTTATAAAAATATAAAAAGTTTATAAAATTTTAATCGAAATAATTTCTGTTTTCGTTCGCTATTTTTTATCGTTTTTTTGTTTACCAATTGATAAATTATGAATAAAAAGGACAAAAGCTTAGCAAATATGAAGATTTTTGCTTCATAAATCTATTTTTAATAAAAGCATTTCAATAAACCATTTAAAAAATTTTAATTTTTAATATCGTTAATAATTCAATTTTGCAGAAATTTAAGGAAATTTTGATTGCTTTTTAGATTGAAAAATCCATTGAAAACAATTTTTGGATTGAAAAATCCATATAAAAAACCATATAAATCCATAAGCAATAATAATATTATTCCTAATAATAATAAAAACGATATCAGTGGATTTATCACTACTAATACAGTAAAACTAAAGAAGCGTAGAATAGCTATATAATGGTATTCAGCTGGACTAATGCACGCCCTCTTAATAATTTGACTTAAATGATAGCATAAATACATCGTACGGTGGTTGCTATCAGTAGTTTTCCTCGAAATGAAATACATTCTGGTAATTTTTTTTAGTCTTGTGCAAAGGGCTGAGTCAGGCCTTTCGGCTAACCTTGATAAATGCGTTAATCCTGCTAGTCCCGCAGCCATGCCTCGTCCATTACCACCTCCTACTGCTTGCAAAAATAAGGATCCAACTATATGCACCGCTGTTTTCGATCCCATAGGTGCAGATGCAGCAGACAATGCAAACCCGTAAGTGCATTTGAATTTAATTTGTTAATTTTATTTTTTTTAAATTAACCTCTTTGCAGAGCAGCCGCATATAAAGTAAATATAAATTGTCAAAATGTGACGCTTCAAGCAGCAGCTGAAAAATTATGCCCATCATCCTGCGCAGTGTGCTGCATGGCACCTGAATTTAATTGCCAAAATGGTACACCAATATTTTAAATTTGTTTTGAAATGAAGTAAAATATAAAAAATTGTAATATTATAATATTAAAATAAATTGCATTTTTAGCAGCAGGTGCTGATTGCAAGCCATTTGAAACTACTGCAAGCTTATGTACAACTCCAGGACTTACTTCAGTCGCTTTAGAAAAGTGCCCCAAGCCATGTGGGCTATGCAACGTACCTGGTGCGGCGGGTCGTTGTCCGGATGTTTCTGATAATTGTATCTCTTTATTGCCCATCTTAACGTGCAATAATACATACATGCAGCAAAACTGCATGTTAACGTGCCGAATTACAACTTGCATATGTAAATTTTTATTTTTATTAATTTCTCATTAGAACGGGAATGATTTCTAAGCCAATTTTAGTGCAATATTCAGTAGAAAAGCCATGTCTGATGTATGTATCGTTAATCCTCAAATTTAGCTACAACAGCAGCAGGTTCTTCTGCATGTTCAGACAGTCGAGCTAATTGCGGACAACTGGCAAACTACTGCACCATTCCACCATATTCAACTGTCATGAGAGATCAATGCAAAAGAACATGTGGCATATGCAGATAAAAGTATTCGATTAATTCGGTCAATTTGATTGGGAATTTTTTAGTTTTTTTGGTGTAATTTATTTATAATTGGTAAAAAAATAAATTTATTTATTTATTCATTATCCTTCATTCTATTTTCTTTCCACTTTTTTTTGGATAAAATTATATTCTTTAAGAATTTTGCTTTTTACTCTAATTGGAAAAATCAAATGAGCATTGTAATTTACAACTTGAAAAGGCAACAAGAAAGAGATTAACGAATAATACTCGTCTGTACACCAGCAACCACGATGAGAAGGTAAATTTTTTGTAGAATAATTTATAGCCAAAGAATAAGGCAAATCCTGAAGGGCCAATGGGAGAACAAAGTTCATGCCACAAACATTTATGCTCTATCAGTCATCAGATACAAAGCTGTCATAGTGAGGGAAGACATGGAGGTTAATGGTGAAGATCCGGTTACTTTCTCACCACAAATTTAACAAACAAAGGTTGTACGCCAGGCGGAAAGAAGGAAATCCACTGCTTTGAATAGAAATCGAAGCAAACAAAATGACACCAAAGAATAAGCTGAAAATACCTGAAGCATTTACAATGGAGAAAGATCAAAAAATATCATCGCAAAGCAAAGTTTTATCATCGAAAAATAGCTGAGGTAGCTGAGAAGATAATAGTGGGAAATCCTCCCAGTGATTAGAAAAAGGGATTAAAGGCAACAGCAAGATATTGGTCATAGCAGCACAAGAGGGGTCATTAAGCACACCAGATCCAAAGAAGTAAAGATCTACCGCACTAGATAAGACTCAAGGTGCAGGTTATGCAAAATTAGTCCAACACATAGTGGCAGGATGTAAAATGCCTGCATGAACAACATGATGAAAGGCATAACCAAGTAGTTGGCATTATCTATAGGAATATTTGCTCAATATATGGCTTAGATCCTCCAAAATCTAGAAGTCAATCGACCAGATATTGTAGCAGTAGGCAAGAACCGAAAATCAGACTAGTGGTAGATATAGCAATAACAAGTGACGGAAATATTAGGAACAAGGAATATGAGAAGCTAGAGAAATACCGGGGGCTAAATTAGTAACTAGAGAAAATGTGGAAAATGAAGGTTAAAAAAATCGGATCACCAGTAATTGTATGTAGCCCTAAACTAGAAAAATGGCTTCAAAAGATTTTGAGAACAATGCTAGAAACCTCAGTCTAGAAGAGCCCGCTGCTAAAAATAATCCTATCCTCAGTTTTCAGAATCCTCAGTTTCCTCGTCCTCTGGCAGAGGATGAGAGATTGAGGATGACCGCTAAGACCCACAGGGAGTGAGAAAAAGAATTTCTTTTGAATTGGTTACCATCTGCCCGTTGGTATCTCTTACCATATTCAAGAATTCCTTCGGATTTAAAATTCCTTTGAACTTTTCTTATTTTTCCATGTTTGATTCTGGCATCAATATCTTTACAAATAATATTATAAAATTGCTTCTTGATGTTCTTTATCAAAATCCTCTCTGAGATCTTTGCCTTTCTTGCCTTTCGCTTATCTTGGCTATTCCATGGTTTCTTCAGATATTCAACTCTCTTCCTTAATTTTTTTTTCATTTTTTGGTCAACACTTATTTTTATTCCATAATTCCTCTGGCTGTGAGCTTAAGGATTCCAAAGTGATTCCTACTGTTCCATTTGTAAATGGTCGGTAAAAAACCACATCGCGATAGCTGATTGGCTTCTTTTTAACTTAACTCAGACCTTACATATAAGCATTCATTTGTGTTCTGCTGGCATTGTAATTAAATTCTTCTACTTCCTTTTAGCAATATTCTAGGCAAACTTGAAGGCCATATTAAATGGATGTTCACGAAATCTCATCGATATTATTCGGTCACTGATTGCATTTTGGCCAAGAACTATTGTTGCTATGCCCATCTCAACTATAAGAGAAACACCATTTTGCATGTACGCTCTTCATACCTGTATGAGACTGCATGTACGCTGCTAGGAATATATATACACTTCGACTCGTCACTCATCCCTCTCAATGGCAGTTTTTCTAAGAAAAATTCGAATCGGAGAGACAAGCCAGCATTAAATTGTGAAATTTTTAATAAATAGATAAATTTCTCGAATTTTTTAAAATAATTAAACGCTGTTAGAGGATTAAGAAAAAGTTGATCTAAAATTAATTTTCTGCCATAACAGTTCTTTTCGTAAGTTCCGCATAGGTAAGTTATGCATATTCAAAAAATAGTTGGTTAAAATTCATTGTCTTTATTTTAATTTTTCTTGCATCTTTATTTCGGTCGATTGACTTTGCCACTATTCAAAATAAAGCAAATCTTTTCAGTACCATACGATGTATGAAGCACGTGCTAATAATAGTTTGTAATTGAACAGTCAAAGTGATAAAGGACTCTAACTTTAAACATAAGGTGATCTCGGAAATAGAAAATCTCCTAACGCATCAACAAATAGGGAACATCATAACAACGCTTACTGTTAACCGTTTATTATTTTTATAAATAAATTAAATAGAAATAAATTTCTCGAATTTTTTAAAATAATTTAATCCGACTAATGGTTCTGACTTTAGGTCGCCGACCTAGATTAGTTTCAACAATCTGCTAATTTATAACTAAGGATCAAAGGCTGTGGACCAAATAACATTCTGGATTAAGTATTTCAAAAAAGGCGTCTGAAACCCAATTAATATTTAATCAGATGTTTATTCGAATTAGTCAATCTAAACGAATCTTATGCTATATTCCAGTGTGCATCGATTAAATTTCTTATAAATAAATGATTTTGATTTAATATTTATGATGCACGCATCACTTTTACCGTTAATCCACTTCGAGGATAGTTCGGCAATAATTTTTAAGTCAGAATGGAACGGTGGAACGTATTAGCGGAGGACCAAGGAGAGGAGAACGATGGAAAATGTGAGTTTTAGATTTCATGCCATATAAAAAGCCATGCCATGTGTGATAATGTAAATGCCGCAGAGTTCCCTTTATCTGCCAATTTTATGCACATAGCCCAGCAATCTTTATTAAATATACCATTCTCTTTTTTGCTTTCTAATGACTTTTTCAATCATGCAAATAAGAAAATTTCTTAAAAAAAAAGCATGGAAGCATGAATAAAATACAAAAATACTAACAAATGGAGAATAATAAAAGAAGAAACGATGTCCGCAGATGTACGCAGTTAGCTCGACTGAACATGGCAATGAACCTGCTGGTGTTGCAATTAAATTTGAGGATATAATTAAATAGGCAGTTAAGCATTAGCAACACATACGTCAGATATGGTCAGATATGGTAAGCAAGTTGTAATTTGGCATGTTAACATGCAATTTTGCTGCAGGTATGTATTATTGCATGTTAAGATGGCTCAGAAAGATCTGGACAACCACCTGCCGGACCAAGTATGTTCCATAATCCACATGGCTTCAGGCACCTTTCTAGAGCCACTGAAGTAAGTCCGAGAATCGTACATAAGTCCATAGTGGTAATGTAAATTATTATAATTATTATGTATTTTAAATTATTTTTTATAACAATTGAATTAATTAATTTAATCTATTTAATCTATTATTTTTATAATAGGTAGTTTGAAAAAAAAAATCGAAAAAATCTTTTATTTATAAGAAAATAAATTAAATAATAATAACATGTAATTTTATTAGGAAATATAAATCAAATTAAAATATTAAATTATTGAATTATAAATTATTGAAAGAATTTATAACATCAAAATATAAAATATAAAAAAATATTTTCAATGGGCCAATTGTTAACAAATTTATTGTACAATAATTTTGAATTTAAATTTATTAAAATAAAAATAAAAAAATTTTTAAAGGATATTTAAGAATTTAAAGGATATTTAAAAAATATTTTTAAAAAAATTCTTAAATAATATAAAATAAACTTTAGAGCAGTTTTGCCAATTAATTTGTATTAAATAAAAAAGCTACAAAAAAACAAAAAGACCACTTCTTTTCGCGATCAAAAAATACCCCTTAAGTTGCCTAAATCAAATATTGCACAAAACATGAAGTAAGTTTCAAAAATTAAAAATTAAAAACCGCATTTAAAAGTCGACACTAATTTGAAATGGGTTTCAATCGTCTGGTACTATACCATTGTATTCAAATTTATTTATGAAAGATCAAGCTAGCGACAGATTGTCCTTGGAGATCCTTTATTTATTGGAGTTGAACGACATTATGGCATAATATTACCATCATATGGCAATAAGTTAATTTATTTTACCCTATTACTTTTGTATAGTACTTTTATTGGAATTTTTGATATAAACCACTCCCACTTTCAATGAGATATGAACCCTGTTGTGTTAAATCAGTATTGTGTTCTTACGGAATAAAAATTGGTGTATCTCGGTTGTGTCTTTTACGGAGTAAAATTTGGTGTATCTCGTTTGGTTCACAACTTGTCCCAACCTAACACCACTCAATTCGATTCGACTCAACACAATAGTCAAATCGCTGGTGGTAATCAACTACGACATCACTTCACTATATTACTAATCCACGATGTACCATCGATAACTGCAGCGAAAGACATCGTTGCAGTCGCTGAATGTTACAATGTTATAATGTTACAATTTTAGGAAGATATTTTAAAAGCAACTGGAATCTGCGCTTTTCCTTATATTCCAATTAGTACCATACATTGGTTGATTCTCTTTCGATAATTTAAAGGTACGAAGTTTGTCCAAAAAATTTTTTGAAATTCTGCTAAAAAAAAATGATAATAAAAGGCGGAGTTGTCTCAATGATGATTGCCTGAAGCGATTTAACAATTCGATGATAAATTAACATGGATGCTAAAATGATTTTTGCTTTACTCATAACTACATTTTCAATTATTAATATTCCGAATTTTGACACATTTGAATTAATAACCGAAGCGAAATCATCTCATCAAATAACGGTATCAAATTTTTTTTGCATAATTTCTTAGTCGTCCATGATTTTTATTTCTTTTTAAATAATTTTTTCAAATTGGTTATTTCTAACAAAATCATTTGGTCTGTGAAACGACTTCCACGGCGATTTCCAAGCAAAATTGATAAGGTTGCTTACTGGAACGCATTCATTCGTAATCTCCTATCTATCGTTTTTCAAATTTATGGTAAACTGTGCTATTCCCGAATTTGATTAATATATTTCACGGTGCGATCTTAAGATTCGCTATTTGCTTCATATTTTCACCTATATGAATAATTAGAGTATTTCAACAGCTCGCAAAATTATTTATCCAATTTACCTATGCAAATTTAGCCGATTTTTTATAATAAATATGGGATAGTTGAATAAAATCATCTGATCCATGTTTTTTTTTTTACTAAAAAGCCGGGTAGTTTCACTGAATTGGCAAAAAATTCGATGAGAGTTTAAAGTTTTGCACCATTGCTCTTTATAACTTTACACAGTTATTCGAGGTGAGTTGTTGATTACTAAACTAAAGTACTCGATTGATTTGTCACATAGTTCGAGTTAGCTGAGAGCTGAGAGAGCGAATACGTGTCGTTAGAAGTGTCGCCTCGATAATGTACTTATTTATAAATATTCTTCCATCTACGAGCCACAACCAGCAATTTTAATGTTTATAAACCACTCAATAATGGCTATCGTTTCCGAAGTGAAAATGTTTAGTTATTAGAGAAACATTACTTTATAGGAACAACTTTATCAAGAATGGATGAATGAACGCCGGAAAAATATGTTGGAGAAAATCAAAGCTGGTAAGCTAAGCAATTTTAATTTAATTTAATATGTAAAAAAAAATAAATATAAATAAATAAAAAATAAATATAAAAAATATATATATAAAAATATATAATAAATATAAAAAATAAAAAAAGAAATAAATTTTTATTTTTTCTATAAAATTTATAAACCAATTTATGAAATTTAACGAAAGAAAAATGATCAGAAAATTGAAAATTGAAAAATCAGCGGTTCGATCGGTAAATTTTTTTTATTTTATAAGAAATTTGGGAAATTTCAAATAAAAAGTGATAAATAATTTATATTTAATAAATAAATAATCTTTTTAAAACAAAATATTATCCTCTTATACTCGCAAAATTCATTCGATAAATTGTCAATTTGGGCAAAATTCCTCGTTATTTTATAAAATTTGCTGTTTTTTTGCTGATTTCGTTCGTCATTGATAAGAATGATATTATCATAGAAATGAAACCAGCGAAAAATTCGATGAGACTGTCAAATGTACGATTGTTGAACTGCACAATGATCCGATTTCCTCTGAGAACATTTCAAATCTGCTGAAAACGAGCAGCCACGCAATTAGGATTCCTTTTATCCAGTTTATCTCTTTCATTGTTCACTGCAACAGTTATTTCAATAAACGATTTTTTCCATTTTTTAAAATATCTAAACATTCCATAAGTTCCATTGGAATTGAAGCATAAAACAAGGATAAAATCTGCTCAAATAACCATCAGATAAGTGAAACTTATTGAAATAAACGAGCACAATGCAATTCTTATTATGGCCGATAACAGAAAATTCTTTTCATATGCAATATTTTGGTCGATTTTCGTAACTATTTTTATTTGAGGCATTTATAGATGGATATATAGTTGAGGCGATAGCAGTTGGACTTCACCTTCAATTATAGGCTCTCAAAGAATAGGAAATCCTCGTTTTCTAGTAAAGCAATTATTCGGCCCACATTTCACTTCGGCATTCTTTAAAAAAGCATCTATTCGCATTATTTAAGAAATTTCTCGGATCCTACCAGATTTAATCTCAATATTATTCCCTATTTCGAACGAAAGCTTCATTTAATTTGGACTATTTGTAATGGATATGACTGGATACCTTCAAAAATAAAAATATATATTAAAAATATTATAATATCATTCTTATCAATGACGAATGAAAATAAATAAATCCTAATTGAAAGAAAATAAAAATAAAATAAAATAAATAATAATAAATAAAATAAAATAAATAAAATAAAAATAAATGAAAATAAAAAATAAAAATAAAAACGAAAAATTCTATCGAAACCAATTGATTTGCATTTGAATCTCTTTTCTTTCAGAATATCTTGAATTTGTTGAAAAAAAATTATTTAAAAAATTATTTAAATAAATTTAAGATAAAATACAGTTTCGCCTTATTATTCAGCGAATTTTTCATGTTAGCCTCGTACTACTCGAGTAAAAACCCGATATAATTTCTGCCGATCTGATCGTTCATATTTACTATTCCGAAAATAAATGAGGATACAATGGCTCATTGGGTTGTTGCTCAATCAGAAACGTCAGTGCTGAAGTTCGATTCCCCGCAGGGGCAAACTTGTTCAAGAATCCGGATGATGCTGACAATTCACCTGTATTGCTATCCCCAAAGGACTTTATGGCATATTGCCCAATTGCGACAAGCCAGTGGAACAAGTTTAACCAGTAATAGACCAGTAATGAGGACTCTTTAAAAAAAATTCCGAATAGAAAGAAGTTTAATCTGACCTTTATCACTTTTTTTCCAATAGCTGTGTACTTCAAAATTAATTTTGCAAGAAATAAGAATACATATAATTTACTAAAGACGACAATCTTTTATAAAAATCTATTTTTAAATATAATTGATTCGGATAGATAAATTTACAAAATTTCAAGAAATATCCGTAGTACGACTTGATACGATATGAAGGATTTGTTTGGCTGAATCAACACCATTAACCAAATATCTCATAATATCAGCATGCATCAATAAAAATTTTTTTGCTGCACACGTATTCAATTCCACATATAAAGCAGTGACTTCAGAAAAAGCACAGATAAGATCCGGACAATAACGACGATTCATCATCTGTTAAATATATAATATAATAATTATAACTATAACAAATACAGTACAATATTTTATAATTTTCACAAATTTACAAATATTAATGCCACAGAAAACCTAAATTTTGAATTAGACATAGGAACAAGACAAAAGTGAAAGTAAGTCGTCAATACCACTTAGATTTTATTTTAATAAATTTCCTCAAATAAAAGGAATTATATTTGCACATGATCTTGAAAGTAAAAAAATAAAACGCGATAAAATGGTACGGATTTTAATTTAATTGACGAAATTGTAGATAAATGCCAGCTGATTTCACAGCAAAAATTTTTAATTTTTAAAAGTAAAACCTCAAATAAAGTCATCATGGACTTCAAAATCGGTTCGATGCTTGATGCTTTACCATTTAGCTTTGGAATAAGATTTAACAGCATTTTAAGAATGACTAGCAATATTCCATGGTATTTCCTCAATTGTCCCACAGGCAATAATTCTAATGATTGCATATAAGATGATAACAGAGGTAAATGTCTGCAAAATGATAAAAGAAATTGAAAAAACAGCACTATTTTCTCTGAATTAAGTAAATTATCTAATCAGTAATTTACCTAAGGATAATTTGTGGCCTGGTTTTTGTAAAAGTGTTCAATGTATCTATGGACTGTTTGATAAACTCTTGTTCAACATCAGCTATAATGAACAAATCTGAGATCATGTCAGACATAAATTTATCCAGCGTATCAACGGTACGAAGAGAATGAAGAATGATCTGGTCCTCCTTTATTTCTATATCTGAAAAAAAAGTAGTCACATTCATAAAAAAAAATGGTTCACTGCTATCAAAATAAATTTAAAAAATAACTCCATAAAAATTTTTTTAAAAATATAAAAAGATACTTAAAAAATAAAAAATATAAAAATATAACTGACCAGGAAAACGAGTAGCGAAAGCCTTCGTGACCGAAATAACACCATTTTTTCGGGACTTCGAAGCTGATGATGATAAAATTTTCGAAAACTCAGAGAAAACACAGAATATCATATTTTCTATAATTATTTATATATTCCACATATAGGCAGAACCAAAAAGAGGATAGCATTCTTGATTATAAACTTCATCTTTTAAATGTATAGCTCTACAAACCAAAAGCATAAAAATAAAACATAGCAAAATTTTAAAATATTCTTGCAAAATGTTTACCATCCCATTTCGATACATTTTCCAAAAATCTTATAAGAGCCTTCACACATGATTCATCTCTTTCAACTTCATCCAATATATATTCAATCAACACAGTACATCGACTACGATTCATAACGGGTGGATTAGCTAAATGAAGATTCTCCATAACGGCTCGAATTACGGACGAAGCAGATATTCTAAAAGATTCTGAGCCAATGTTTACTTCAATACTTCAAAGTTAATCTATTAATTTAAAAACATACTCAGACCGGTGGGAATACAATAAATAAACGATAATTTTCGAAATCGTTCCAGGAGAACATACAGTCGGTATCAATGATATTATACGATCAAGCGAAGAAGAAGAATGAGAGAAAAGTAAATCCAGTAATCGACACGAAGACAAATTACAAGCACCATCAGTCGACTGATTAGAGAGAGGAATAAGTTCGGGGCAAACAGAAAAATATTTTTCAATTAAATCGGCTTCAGCATCCACCTACAAAAAAAAAAAACTATTTCTAAAGTATATAAATAAATTAAACCGAAAACATAATATTTACCACAGTATTTGTAACATTTACATTTTAAAGAGAACCATTTATGATTTAAAAACAACAAAAAATGAATAACGAACTGAAATTTTAGAATCGTTCAGAGCTTTCAAAATACTCTCGGCATCAAGTTTAGTCTTAGGTTTTTGCTGCTTGTCGGTTGTTGAGCCAAATCCTGAAAAATTTTTATTAAATATAAGCGAAATAATGAATTGTTTATCTTTTTATGAGCAAAAAATGATCAAAATGACCAAAAATATTTCGAAATTTCATCAAAGAATTCATAAAGTTTACATTAAATGTAATTTTAAAAATCCATTTATGATTTAAAAACAATAAAAAAATAAATAACGAACTGAAATTTTAGAAAAACTAAAAATTACATTTTTTCTAGTATATAAGGATTTTTTAAAATTTTAAAAAATTTTGTGAGCAATTTAGATTATTTGAAGAGGATAAATAAAAACGGATAAATAACTGAAAAAAGCAACTAAATAATGATAAAAAATGAAATATCGCAAAAGTATCACATAAATAACTCACCACCTGTAAAATTTTGCAATATCTTTTTAATGGCATCAGGAACACTGGCTTTTTTTTCTATGCTAGTGAAAAGAGAACGAATATCATCGCGTATACTTGGATGCTTAAAAATTATATCAATTATAAAAATTAAATAAATAAAATAAAAATAAAATACAAATTATAAAAATATCAATAACATTAATCAATATCAATAAAATCAAAAAAATCAATAAAAATACAAAATTATGGAAAAAATGGAAAGGATAGAAAAAAAATGAAACTACATCAACAATGAAGCACAGAAAAGAATACAATTGTCGAACAAACCTTTGAAATAAGACTCCCAATAGCTATGAGAATACTTGAAGCAACTAGCGAATGCGACAGAAGTAAAGGTTTTCTTTTAAATAAAGTAAGTAAACGAGCAGCACATACGGCATTATTAGATATAGTTCGAACTACTTTGAAACAATTTTTATCCATTGATTTAATCTATAAATTCAAAATATTCAATAAAATCTTCAAATATTTACAAAATGAAAGATTATATTATGAAAGATTTCATATTACCAGATTTAAACTTCTTATATATTGAACGATGCGGATTAAAAAGATATTAATGGCATATAGTGAGTATATAATATATATATATATTTACATAATAACCTCTTATGAAACAAAAATCATCAAGGATTGGCCTAGGATTGATCAAGGATTGACAGTTTTTATTCCTATATTAATTGTAGGTTTCAGCGTAATATAGCGAAAAATGTATTATCACTAGCTTAAACTGCTGGAAATATCGCGACTTTCTCGCTTATTTTAATTTATCTAACAAATTTTTAATAAATCGGAAATTAGATTCGTTAAAAAGTTAAAACGTATAGCTTAAGAATGAACTTACATCTTCAACATATTTCACAACTTCTTCAACTGATAACTCAGATGAATATAATTCGAGAGATGTGGAGCCTGTTGAAAAGGAAGGTGGTGGATCGATGGATACACATACATTATACTCATCTACTTCCATTTTAACGTTGGAATTTTTCTGAAGCCCATCCGCTAATAATTGCAAGAACTGAAAACATAGCAAAATAAATAATATAAAAATAATTTCTAAAAGAAGAAAATTTAATTATAAAATTATAAAATAATACTAACAGTAATACACGAATATTTATTCCACTTTAGAAACAAAATCTTATATTTTTGTTGTTTTTAATCTTATTAAATAAAATCTAATAAAATCTTATAAATCTTATAAAATCTATTATAATTATATATTTATTTTGAATTTAAGCAATCCATATTTTAAAAAAATTTGCTAAATTAGAAGAATATTAGTAAACAAAATATTAGAGAAATATTTTCTCAATATTTTCTCAACCTTTATGAAATTTTAATTTTATCAAGTGAAAATCAAGCGAAAGCTGCATCAAGTGAAAGTTTTAATTTCTACTTTTATCCCATTTCAATCTTGCACTCAATTTTTTCTACATTAAAATTATCAAATTATCAAAGCATTACCCAATTTTTCTCGGAACCTACGGAAATTATATTGAAAGAAATTGAAAGAATTCATTTTCACATAGTTCACCTTATCTCCTCCCTTAGCGCCTCGTAATTTGTATGCTCTGATATATGCAGCCGCATTATTTCCTTCATCCAGAATCTCGCCACAAAGAGGTTTATCAATGTTATCCAGTATCGAGAACAACTTTGAGCAGCTATATGAAGTTAAAGCAAAACACTGCACAAATTTTAAAGCATCAATAACTTGCAAACCATGCAGCGCATTCTAAAAATATTTTTAAAACTGAAAGATTTATTTTATTTGTTGAAGATTATATCACATCAATATTTTTTTTCATAAGAAGAAAATATTGACCTTAAAAAAAATTGACTCTCATTTCTATTTGTCTCTAATATATTAAGAAAAATCATGAAAAGCCATCATTCCATATTCAAATTCCTAATTCTATAATTAATAACTCGAAATATTCCTCAAAAAAAATAAATGACAGATGAAAAGATATACCCGCACAATGCGTTCATCGCTAGTGCTCAGCATTTTCAACTTCAGCCATGATGGAAGAACCTCGATCCCCTCAGTATTTGATACCTTCGAAAATTAAAGTTTGCCAAGTTCTAATGCAAAGTTTAAATAAAAAATATTTTTAATATATTTTCTGATTTCTTTATTTGCAAAAATTCTAATAATTCTAATATAAACCTTTGGCCCTAAACCATCAGATGGAAACCAAATATCCATAAGATCACGTCGAACTTTATCAACGTTTTCATCAAATTTTCCGCATAAAAGTTGCAAAATTCCAGAAACTACGCATGAAATGGTCTCAACAAACATTGTTCCCTGTAAATATTATTCTTGATTATTTAACTATTTTACAACTATATTTTACAACTCCAACTATATTTCTATAAATCTATTCCAGAGAAAAATTATTATTCATAAATCATTATTTTAGTAGAAAAATATTAACCAAACACAAAACAGTTTAACCTTATGCATATCTTCAAAGCGTACAAGAACTCTTCGCGCTTTATTGAACGATAATGATTCAAATTCCGCGGGCCATATGCCTTTGTCTATTTCGATTCTTTTCATATAAGTGTCGTAAAATGATAGCGCTGATGTGCGAACTTTAAGTTGTGTTTCATCGTCGTTCAAATGTTCTACCATTAACGAGAGGTGATAAGCTATCTAAAAATTCCATAAGCAAAAGAAAAATTAAAATTCGCTGAGAGTACATAACCAGAAAAACAAAATCAAATACGTACTATCTATTATAAGTTCAAGATTTTATTACTGAAATATAGCAATTAAAATAAATAAACCAAATGGAGAGTAGATGAATCGAAATTATTGCTTAAAAAATCAACATAATCCGATAATCGGCACGCATGAGTTTCAATAGGGCAAAGTTTAGCAATTATGACTGATATTTTTGCCTGAAATTTGCACCAGAATGAAAGGGAATTCCATCAAATAATAAATATAATAAGTTTTTGCGTATTGCAAATTGATAATAAAAAAGATTAAAATCCAATATTTTACCTTCAATGCTTCAAAAAATGCTACAGAAGATAGAAATGGTGCTGGTGAAGCATTCCCATTCACCGGAAAAATTGGCGCACAAATATCTGCCTGAAAAAGAACCATATATTTGCTATTATTTAAAATCTTTTGAAATCGGCGTTTATAGGGGCTCTAAAATTGCTAAAAACATTTTGCAAATAATTAATAATAAAAATTTATTTTAAAACAATCCTTTTTTTGAATTCATTTTTTGACATATCGATTTTTCAACAAAAAATCTTTGAATGAACCTTTCAATAAAATCTTTATAAAACTTTAGAAAAAAGAAATAAAAATAAACAAATAAGAACTGGATATTAAACCTGAAGCAAAAGAGTCAAGCAATGCGCTGCATTATCACGTTCTGAAGCGATAACTGAAGCTAATCGAGTAGAAAGACATCCAAAAGTTTCCATAACGGTGGTTTCGGTTGCAAAGGGCCCTTTTAGTGAGTTATGTAAACGACATCGCAGCTAAAAATAATTTTAGACTCTAATTTTAGATTTTAAACAATAATATTAATATTAATAAAATCAATTTAGATTTGAACTGCTGTACTTTAATCAAAAACATAATGAAAAAATTTTTTCGACGAAAATATATTCTTCAAAGAAAAAAATATAACCGTATTCAGCTTCTCTATATTCGGTGGTTTGCTACCGGATTGTGCGCTAATATAATGTAAAAAAAGTTCACATATGCATTCCAGAGGCAAATGAACGATTGCGTTTGCATTTGAATCAACTAAATTAATTAAAGATGGCAATGCTCGCACGCTTCCCTGAAAGAAAACAGGCACAAACATAAGGAATACTTTTTCAAGGATCGCAATAATAAATTGCACCTTCAAAAAGGAAAATTAATACAGCAAAATTTAAATTAGATTAAATAAATAAAAAATTTAAAACAAATTAATCTTCTTTCGTAGCAAAAATTAAAAAAAAAACCTGAGATCGAATAATATCAGCAAGTAAATCAGGCTCTCTACATTCACATAATAATCGCGATAAGTCGAAATCTTCATTTAATTTTTCCAGATCCCGAAGAAAACTATCCGGTGAACGACGACAAAAGCCACTGAAAAAATAAATAAATAATAAATAATAAAAATAAATAAACATAAAGAAACATAAACATAACAAGAGTGAAAATTTTGACAAATCAACATGTTTTAAAGATTTAAAAACTTACGTAGGATCAAGAGAGCACAATTTACCAAGCAATTTTGAATCGCGCTCACTGACTTCACCGCCCGCAAGTCTAGTCTCCAACTGTTTGATCATTTGCCGTTCTTCCTTTAATTTTTGTTCATCATTGGCGATAAACATTTCCGCTGTCATTTCTTCATTTATACTGGCAGAAGGAGGAAAACGATATTCCCTAAATTTAAAGCAATTGATCAAAAGATTTTCACCACTATTTGAAATGAATCAGATTGGTAACAGTGTTTTGATGCAAATAAATATAATCCACATTTTAAAAAAATCACGGGTGGTTGCTGGGAAGAAATAAATAAACAAATAAACTAAACAAGATGAAAAAACTTAGCAATCATGTTTTAAAGATCAAAGTAATAAAAATCCATATTTTGAAAATATCCAATATAGAAAGAAACAGAAATAAAAAAGACTTTTAAGTATAAAATAAGAATATAAAATAAGATCAGTAAATAAATTGCACATACCAAGTAAGTATCATCTGGATAATTATCTTCAGAGTTGGAAATTTATAACAAGCTTCTTTAATTAACTCTCCTTTATTGAACGATACCCATAATAAAGCAATAAGCCATCCTTTCCAGTACAACGTTTTCACTGCCAAATTAGGAGCATCATCATCGTAAATACTAAAATTCAGCAAAAAAATTTATGCTGATATGAATAAAAATTTATGATTAAAAATTCATTTTTAATCTTGAAATAAAAACGAATTTTTGGATAATTTTATCTTTAAAACTAAAAAATTCTTCAATAAAAAAAAATTAACATTCCCCCAATCTGATATTTAGAGTAAAGAGTAAAAAAAACTATGTCGATCGATAAATTTTAACTGTTGGAATCTTAAACTTTAAAATTTTTATTAATTGCTTAAGACCAACTCCTTAAGCTGAAAAGCTGGTGGTGGTCTATAAGCTGCAGCTTTGAACAGTTTTTCTATCGACGATTGCTTGCATATTGGTAACATTGCCATTCCTTCTAGAAATTTAAAAATATATCGTGCAAAAAAAAAAAAATGAATCGAAATGATTTAAAAGATTACCGATCACAGGAGTACATAAAAATGCTCTTTTAGTCAAATTTTCCACCAAATCAATAGCATCCGCACCATCAATAGGAACAAGTGGATCCCATCCAGCTTCTAATATAGAACATACTAATGTTTCACTTGATGGAGCTTCAGATATTATCCGCAAATACTGAGTAAGATCAGCTTCGATAGGCCAATTATCAATAAGGAAATAAAATTCAGCCTATAAACTTCTAATCAAACCGGATGTTTAAAACTTTGATATTTCAGTTAGTATAAAGACTGATATAAAATAATCCAAGTAACAATTATCATTTTAACATAACAAAAAAAATTTCTATCAAAGGGCTTAGAAAATAATCTCATTAACAAAAATTTCAAAAAATTCTAACCCCGGCTAGATATAAAAGGCGGTAAAATGAAAAGACAAAAAGTTTTTTGTCGTTGCATAATTCATGACTTGAAATAAGGAATTTAACTGATATTTCGAAAAATCGCCGTAAATCTTTGTAAAACCTACAATACACGCATAAAATATTAAAAGAGAGATAGCAGATTAATCTTAATTTTATTTTTTGTTATTTTGTTATTACTCAATTTATTATCTATACCTTCGTTCTAAAGAAATTCTCAAATGAAAGAATAATAAGTTTAACAAGATAAAGTAAAGATATGATGCCAAAATAAAATTATTATAAAAAGTTGATTTTCATTTAAAAAAATGAAGGGAAAAAAAGGGAAAAGAGAAATTTAAACGATTTTCAAAATTATAAAATTTAATATTTAAAGCCTTAAATAAAATAAAATTTAAATAAAATTTAACATTTAATATTTAAACGATTTATTGCAATTTTCAGCATATAATTTCCAACTATTGCAACCAAATGAAAAATAAAATTATGGAGAAAAATAAGTTCAATAAGTAAGTCTCACAGAGAAATTGCACTTTCCTTCTTTCCTTCGATATCTCAGACTATTTTAAATAATACTAGGATTCCAGCTATATAGAAGAAGAAAAGATGTTCCAAAAAATTTTTGTTTTCACCAAAAATGCCTTTTAGTATCCTCGATTTTATTAGAAATTACCTCAATAACGTATCTATCTGAATTTGAGTAAGATTAGCATTTGTTGATCGACGAAGTTGAGCGGCTTCTCGGACGGTCGCTGATATAGCTACGAATGGAAGCATAACACAAAATTCTATTAGCGATTTGAATAGATAATTCTAAAGTGGAGATGATTAAATAGCAATAAAAAGAGAACAAAATTAACAACACTAAATGATAAAATACAAAATACATACTGGTACAGTGGCAGGAGTGACATGTTCGACGATAGCTTCGAACAGATGTTGAGCAAATAAAGCGAAATCAAAATCGAGACGTAGTAAAGATCGAACAAATTCTCTGAGAAATGTACGAGAGATCCGTAAATATTCTTCCTTAGCTCCAAGTAACTGAGATAATTGATGAGCAAGCTCCTAAAATAAAAATGTACCAAAAATCTATTTGAATCTATTTATTAAATTGGCTAATAGTGAACGCAATTAAATTTCAATATATTATAAAAACATTTAGATATATATACATATTTTCAGTCAAAATCGAATTTCAGAAAAAATCGAATTAAAGAAAAAATATTTTCAAATAATTGGTAAAAAATTATCTTAGAAGCCGCAGTATTATCGAAATTGAAAAGTGAATGCATTATTGTCATATTATAAGGGAGTCGATTCGGACCAAACTCATTCGATAATAATAGTTTCATGACAGCGCATATAATTTCCTTGTCATTATTTAGAATTTCTCTTAAATTAATTAATATAACGACAAAATCATCAAAATAAAACAATTAATTTAAAAATAATCGAAAGAAAACGAACTTTAAGGCGACATTGAACAGAGTGTTGATTTGCTTACTTTTAAGTGCACGAAGTTTGAGTAAAGCACTTAAAGTTTCTGTATCATCTTCATTATACTCTTCGTGTCCCATATTACGAGCAATCCAAAGTAATAATTCCATTGCATATCGTTGAAGCTAAAATAAAATATAGCCAAATAAAGCCAAAATAAAATCTACTGATAATAAATGCAGCAACTTAAGAAGAACTAATAAGTATGCTCGTTATTCACTCATATAATTAGAACATTATTTTCCATTATTTCCATCATTTCTCAATATTTAATATAGTAAATAGTATTTACAAAGAAAAAATTGAAAGGAAAAGAAAAAAACCTTTCCATTAAGTAACCAAGAATCCATTTTACGCGCAGCAAGTAGACGTACTTGACTAAGTCCAGAACATGCACACATTGTTTTCAACAAATTTCTCGGACTACTTTCAGCTTTACGTTCACATATTTCTCGTATTTGTGAAGCAAAAGCCTCTAACTTTGCAGCATTTTTCTCGAAACGATTTTTGATAGTCTGAAATTTGCAATATTTAAAGTTTCATTCTAAATATAGAATCTTCCAATTTAATCCAAAAAATTTACAATCCAAAAAATTTAACATACCGAGGAAACACGAAAGTGCTCCGGGTAATTAAGTTCGCATACTGAATACATTGATTCCGATGGTATTCGAGTTCCAAAAGCAGTTAATATATTACGAACAAAAACACTGAATAAAGAATGATCAACCCAATGCCTTTCATGCAAACTGTCATCAATAAAACAATCAACCAGTGACCAATTCCAATCCGTAGAATTCTTCAGAATCGACTGTAAAACTGCAAACCAAACCCTAGATTATTCCTAGATTATTTCCTTATCATTCAAATGCTAATATAATTTCAAAAAAAACTTTATTAAAAAATATTTACTTGAAGGAATAAAAACATAAGAAGGAGACGTAGACGGGAAATTTGTTGATAAAACAGAGCACAGAGCACTGATAACTTCACTTTGCTGAAATTAAAGTAATAATCTAATATCAGCCAAATATAAAATATATAAAAATACGTTTAATGGAATTAAAATTATCAAATTAAATTAAAAACGAATGACAAATTAAAACAACCTGCGCGAAAATTTCGGAATTCTCTTTTATAAAAATAGCAATAGATGAAAGGATCAACGGTTCACCACACCATCCACCTGACGATAAACGATGCTGAATGATTTCGCGTAGTGTAGCACATATTAATTTTGCGATTTTCTGAAATTTTTGCTTCTCTCGAGCCGATTCTAACGAATTGAGAATTGTTCTTGCATCAATTGTTACCTAAAAAAAAATATATGTCAGCAAAGTCTATAAAAAAACTATTTGCAAAATAAACCTAAAAGCATATTACTTCATTAGTCGAATTATTAAGTATAAAACTCCTTAACGATATAGTCTATGGTGAACTTTCACATTTTTGAGGAATTTTGAGGAATCTCTTTTTTTATACTTTGAATTTTATAATATTTACTTCATAACATTGCCAATTACTTATACTACTTGCTTTCCTTTCATAATTTATATCAATATTACCAATTCCTTTTCAATTTAAACCTTTCCTTATTATTCAAAAAAATAAAACTAGAAAAAATTTTTTCACATTACAAAAGGAAGAAGAGAAACAAACATCAGCGCAAAATTCACGCCATTTTGTCTCATCATGCTCATAACGTTTAAAACTGGAATTAATTGATGAAGCAACAATTGTTTTAGACGAAAAGTTCAATCTGGCCTTTTTTAAAATACCACCAGAAGCCTGAAATTACCAAAGTAAATATAAAGAAAAAAAGCCTCGGAAGAAGAAAATAGATGGTTTTTCCTTAGAAAAATGCACTAATACAAAGTAATATAGAGAAATCTTCGCTTTGCAGTACGAAGCAAGAAAACCTGAGGCAAATCCCTTTTCGTTCCAAGTGCTTTAAGTCGAATTGAGTCTGAAGATGTTGATGGACCTTCACGACCGATTGCAACAAATCCACCAGCTGGCTGATTCGCCTTTCCTTTAGTCGTGTGTTTATTCATCTTTCTACAACAATTCAGCGAATTCGAAGGCAACTTTTTTTTTGACCTGCAAAAGTCCAAGAAGATAAAATCTATTTAAAACGAAAAACCGAAATTCTCAGCAGAATTCCCTTCTTCTTCTTCTTATTCTAACCACTTATATGACAGCTGCTAAAGTCCTCGCCAGAGAATCATATGGAAACAAATGAGTACAAGTGAATATCCAACATTAGCGCCGATTTACTCCCAACAAGGGATCGCACTAAAATTGGTTGCCCTCAATCGGAGGAACATGTCACGCAACCATGTCGTCCCTCTCTCTTCTTTCCTCCCCAGCAAATAAATATTTGAAAATAAAAAATATAACTTAATTAATGCATCGAAATAAATAAAGCAGTTAAGATTAAAAAATATTTGCAAGTGAACTTTTTTAGCTCACAAATAAATCCCTTTTATTTTTTTCCAAATTAAAATAAAAATTTTTTACTGGCCAAATAATTTCTTTTTGGCACTTTTCGCTTAGATGGTCCCCATTTATTGGCGATTTTGAGAAGAGTCAAACAATGGAGAAAAAAAGGGAAAAAATGATTTCCTTTCCTAAAGTTCCAAACCTCTCCAAAAAGTCTCCAAATTTATTTATAACTTTTTTTTTGGCAATAAAATATCTGCATTCACATTAGAAACCGATCTGCACTATAGAAATGCGGCTCTCTGATGATCCGTGGTTCATCTATTTCTTTCTTTTGCCAGTTTTTTTTTTTTTGTAAAATTTTGCGAGGAGGGTTTATTTGTTTGTATTTTCTTTCTAACAAAATTGGCCAAAATTTCTAGTTAGGCTCTCTCTACTGGCTTGTGGTACCAGAGAGATTTTGCCAGGGAATCACTCCTTTTTTTTGAGAACGGCTGGAATTTTCTCATTTCTCAGAAATGAAAGAAAAGAAAGAGAATCAGTTGCATAGCTAAGAAATTTTATGTCGATCTGAAAGAATAACATTCAAAAAACAGTTAATTTCAGTTGGAACTTCTCAGAATGATGGAGTGCTTTTGAACATAAAAGAAATACTGTCATGCATATCATATGAATGGCGATGATGAGCTGTCGAATCGAATCTCTCCAACATTTTTAAGGATTCAAGAAGGAATGGTAGGGTTAAGAGGAAATTTCATAGCTGTGGTGAATAAGAAGGAAATGGTAAAAGAGAAAAGGAAAAGGCGAGGAGCACGTAAGTATGCGACCTCTCACTTTTAATGCCTTCAACTATTATCCACGAAAATTGTTGTAGTTCAGTTCAGCCATTTTTGATCCGACACAATCCGTTCGAATATACAAATTCCCTCTGCTTTTTGTCTTAAATTCAAGTTATTGCAAATCCTTTTCAAGGGAAATCCAGAAAAAATTAAAATTTCGCAAATATTTATTTTACAAATTCCATCTGTTTATTTCAAGAATGGCTTTCGACTGTATCTTCGATAATTTTCATTACAGCTTTGGTTCGGGGAAGGCAGAAAGAAGGTCACTTATCGGTTAAGTCGGCCAAGAAGATTTTGGTAGTGTTTTACGATTATCAAAAATTTGTGCTCATTTAAATTTGTCGTGACTTTATTAAGCATTTATTAAGCACTCCGTTCCTGTTCATTATGACTTTAACAAGAAATTTAAAGATTTTTGCATAGAGAGGAAGAAAGTATCAAACATTATTGCGCCAAACAATGAAGGAGATGCTGAAGTTATAGTCCGAATAGCGTCAGCTTGAATCGTACTTTCTTCCCTCTTCTTCAAAGTTTTAGTGGAATCGCGTCGAAATTACCATCAAAATGAAAGTCATCTATTCATCCACCTAACTATTACTGCTTTATGGTACTATTACGAAGTAAGGTCAATAAGTATGAAAGATATTAAGAAGCCATCTACGTTTGATTATATAGTGCCCGATGTGCGGATGGGATCCCACATGGTGGTCCTCGTTCGTTATTCACGCTGATTGGGATCATCTTCGTTACAGGAATTGATGAATCGCTGCGTGCTGTTAGAATAAGGAGAGAAGAATATTTAAGCTTCAACTGATAATTGTTATTTAAGATGCCTATTAGAAAATCTCGCTTTTTTCCACTTGTGATGAAATTTTAATGAACGAAAAATGAACATAGTGGTACCACAAAACCGAAGCAGTGTAATAGGAAAATTCATTGTACACAATCTAGTTACCTTTAATATTTCCAAATTATAAATTATTTTGGTTATTTACTGGTTATGCGTTTGAATGGTTCAATGAGTTGTTGCTTCGTTTCGGTGCTGAAATATTGAGATGCTTCACCCGGAATGGATAATTCTTTCCTCTAAAATCTTTCTTGTACTTCCATCGCAAAGTGAGCCCTTCAGCAAAACTTTCCTGGTCTAACATGCCAGCAGAAAAAGTTTATCCAAAAGTGACGAGTGTTTTTGAAAAAAACTACCATAAAAATAGAAAGTGGAAAAAACAATGAAAATTTTTTCTTTCAATTTTTTTTGCAATTCTCTTATGAATCAGCTAAACACATTTATTTCGAAAACGGTAAATTTTTGCAGAAAAATAATCTTTGAAAAATTTGCAAAAGCTGTGGTTAAAAGGAAATTTATTTGCCAAATAGCAATATTATGGAAGTAAATATGAAATAAATATAAAATGGGAAATTATTTTATTGGAAAAAAGATATGATCAATTTCTCGGCTAAAAAAATATTTCTTCGTATAATTAACGCAGCACCACTGATGGATATATGTGGGTGAACAGCCTCCTTCGATGCAACAATTTGTGAAGATATCTGTAAAGATTTCTGGAAGTACGTCGAGTTATTTATTTTTTTATTTTATTGTATTAACGTTTTTCATTATCCCTTTCTCAACTATGAACCAATGTTTTGAAAATTTTCCACAAACATACCATATTTTGGCGTTTATCGTAGACGTTAGACTATAATTAGACACAAAATGGTATAAATTCCATCAACTAAGCCATTTCTTTTATTTTGACTAATATAAATAATCAAATGCTTGTTGCTCATTGATTCTCCAGCACTAAAGTTCTGCCTCACATAGAAGTTAACCTATTATTAATAAAGCGGGGTGGAGTGGTGCCGAAGAAATCCATCTGGATTTCTGCTCTTCTATTCCCAAATTTCCTCAACAAATATTCTTCATCGAACCATCTGTAATTTTCGGCTCATCCGCCCGAATTAATATTTAAACAATGTTTGAATGAATATTATTTATTAAGGGAAATTTAATATCATACTTTTATCAACGTTTTCAAAATCGAAATTGTCGGCGTTAACGTAACGGCAGTCAATTGCATTACAGACATCGTGAATTTCCTGAGCTAGTCGAAACCCACACAAACGCTGACCTTCCATAATTTTTAAAGTTATTAAGAAAAATATTGCATTTATTATTGACATTTTCTCCTTCCTAAAAATCTGCATTATTTAAATTCGCAACTAAATTCACCAAGACAGCAGATTGATGAATTGAATTTATTGTACAATATTTACGCTAACACGAGCAAAACGACTTCGATTCCTGTTTCGATACTTATCACAAAAATTGAAATGCAGATACTGCTGACTGTCCACCTAAAGCCTCCATCTACAAGTAGAGATTTTTGGTAGAGATTTCAGATTAGTAGTCAGCGGAGGCAGCTGTTGTATAATACACATCTCATTAAAGGAAGAAAACTTAAGAAAACTAAAAGCACTTTTATAATAAATAAATGAAGCAGTAAAATAACAAGCAATATTGTCCTCTGATATGCATTGGCTATTTTGCTCGAGTAAAATAACACGAAAACTTAAAAATCCAATAAATCATCAAGAATAATGCACTTCATTCATGAACAAATTAATAATTCATTTGCCGATCAAAGATAATATCAAATTAAATTTATATTCTCATCCATCAATGGAAAAATAAATTCATGCATTATGCAGTAATATATGCATATTATATTCGTCAAAAGATACAAGCAATATGGAATTTCGTTATATATGAAATATTCCACGTACAAATATGGAATAGTAAAATAATGTAATGTAAGGCTGAGTAAAATATAATTGCATAATAAATGCAGGCTAAGATGATTTAAAGAGAATAAGAAATTTAAAAAGTGACGAAAATAAAAGGAGAAATAAAAATTAGGTATTTATGAAATTAATGAAATTTACTATTCAAATCTAAATAAAATAAAGATAAAAAACAAAGAAGTTTCTTTGTTTTTATGAGATGAATAAACAAAAAAAGGATAAGAAAAATAAAATATGGAAAGATCAAACAATTTGATAAACTTAAGAATAACAGCTGAATAATAATTAAAATATCACTAAAATATCAAAATGGTTCAGTATTTTTATTAACGAAACTATGTGTTGCCCGAATTCCTTCTGGTGAACCGCATACGCCCTGCAAAAAATAAATAAATAGTTCATATTTCCGAAAAAATATTTCCATAGATTAGACAATAAAATAACAAACATATTTTTCGGCTGATATTAGAATATTCATCGGTGATGGAATCTTTATGCCTTCGATAAGATTATTCAACTGCCCGGAAGCAGCGCAAACCAAACCAAAAAATGGTGGACTCGGTTTAAGTGGATGCGACAAATATTCGGGATGAAATTGAACACCAACGTAATACGGATGCCCTACAAAATTGAATAGTTCAAATATCTCAATAATAATAATAAAATATTACGGCAAATAGTCAAATTCATCCTTGTCTAATCATTATAACTTATTAATTTTCAGATTATTTTAAATTTAAAAAAAAATTTAGTAGTTCTAAATTTGGATATTTTAAAGCATCGACGCAATTTTATTACATAAAGCTGCTTTTATATCTGACATGAATTATTTCTCTTTAACGAAGAACAAAGAATCTTTATTAACAGCACCTTCTAATTCGAACATTTCCATTCGAAGTTTAGTATGGGAAGAATCGAAAGACTTTTGCTGATAGAATGTATTTATTTCTTTGATTAAATATCCCTGAAATAATAGACAGAAAAGTTAATACCAAAGTTTACTGTAAATTATGATGTGAAACCTTGAAAAAAATGACGATAAGAGAAAAATACAGTGAAAACGAATTAATAATCTGCTAATATTCTTATTATAAAAGAAAAGCTCTAAAATTCGAAATAAAATTAGGAAATCATGAAATGTGATATTTTCCAAACATTTTGAAATGCTGATAAACTTACATGTGAATATATACCAAAAAAGAAAGCCCAATATAATGTAATACGTTATAATGCCCAATGTAATACGTTATAATTTCAGCTCAGTAGGGGAATAAGAATATCCATTAATAAATAAATAAAGATGGGCTTAATCTTTCTCATGGCCAGGAAGAATAATGAAACACTAGCCTTTATGTTTTTATATTCATTTTCATTAGAGTTTGACTCATCATTCCCATTTTCTTGTTCAAATGCAACACCTCTGCATTCATAAACTGAGCTGTGTGCAGGTTTTTCATCAATTCCCATAGCTAATGAAACCAAAAAAAAATTTTATCAAATATAATATAATTTTATGGAATATAACAAAGTAGAAACTAAAAAATTAAAAAGAAAAACATACCGACAAAAAGCAATCCCGCACCACATAGTTTCCCCACAATATCCGGGTTAATTTCGTAGCGATGTCGATGACGTTCAGAAACTATTTTGGAACGATACAATTTCCCTGATAAAAAAAATAAAGATATGATGATAAGAACCAACTTTTTCTTAAATAAAAAATCAAATCAAATTTGAAAACTTTTAAAAAAATCATCAACCAATTATTTACCAAAATCTATTGAAATAAAGAAGATGAAAAATCTTAAAATCTTAAAATCTTAGAATTCTTAAAATTTTAGTGTTTTAGCACATCACAAAAATAAAATTCAAATATAGAAGCCTACATGAAACCTACTTAAAATAGATCGACTGGTGAGAAATATGCTTTGTCTTAAGCCGAGACGCATTGTGCCACCCATTCCTTTTTCAGGATCGTTATGTTCTGGCATCTCAATCACAATCTTAAAAAGAGGGTATGTGATTCATATTATAAAATTTTAGTGAAAAAACTGATAGAAATGGTCAACAAAAAATATATTTGAAAATGCAAAATAAATCCAAACGCTTTGTAATAGAGATAAACGATTCTTTGATATCCAATAATTTTAGAGTTTGGAAGGCACCATATTCGACGACAGCAATATTTTTGGAGATTCTTTTTTATTGTTTCAACTTAATGCACCGTTTTCACATCTCAGATTCAACCAAGTTCCAGTTCACGCAAACCGTAATCAAAACTTACTTTTTGTTCACCTTGAAGTTCTTTGTCAATTTCAGTAGAATTCGCACCTTTGATTCCGCAAACATTCCTTGCAAATTCGATAGCAGCACATTGCATACCCAAGCATATCCCTGTTTTCCATAAATAATAAAAAAACGAAGTCCTCTATTTTGCCTTCACACTCTTATAAGGATAAAACCAAATAAAACTTCAAAATCTAAATGCTGTATCGTACTTAAGTCTTCAGCAAATTAAGCAATAAGATTTAAGGATATAAATCGCAAATGAGTAATAAAAAAGTTTTGAGACTAAACTAACCTAAAAATGGTATTTTATTTTCTCTGGCATATTTGCATGCAGCTATTTTACCTTCCATTCCACGTTGACCAAATCCACCGGGGACTACTATACCACTTAAAATAATTTTGCTTTTCATTTCATTAAACTTTAATTCATTTTAACTTTAATTTTTAATTAATAAATGAAATGAATCTCATAAAGCAAGAAATAAAATGGAAAATAAATAACGGGGATAAGCATTCAATTCGAAATTAATCTAAGTTATTATCAAGAAAAAAAGACGTAAAAATCTTACTCTGCTCTCTTTAAACGCGTCCATGCTTCAGTATAATCAGTAATTGAAGAACTGGATTGGATTAAATTTTCCGAATCGATGTACTGCAATTTACAAATTAAAAAAATCCACTTACATTGCGGTCATAATCAGTATGAAAAGAAAAAAAAATTTATTATTAATAGAAAAAGCAAAAATTGATTAAAATTTCCTGAAATCAAAGCTAAGTACCACCAAACCCACTTGAGCTCTTCCTTAGTATATGTCCTAAATTCATTATAAATTAACAAATTACATCAATAATAATTTTTCTTCTTGCATGTATAGCTGAATGTCGTAAAGCTTTATTTACTGAAGCGTAGGCATCAACAATTTGTACATATTTTCCAACCATTGCAATGAGCACTTCCTCTTCATATTTATCGCACCTAAGTTAAAAATAACAAAAAATGTTAAAAAAATAAACAATGAAAAAAGTATAGTTATTCTATTCGCGATTGTAAAAATCGCAAACGGCAGCGAGAATGCAATTTTTTGATTCTAACTGCCTAAAGCGATAAAGGGAAAACGAAGAAAGTCGAATAATAACAAAAAATAAAAAAAAAAGTATGAAAAAAATTTATCGGTAACTTCATGAATATTAAAAAATTTTTTTTTACAAAATTATCTAGGAAAATTACTAATAACTAACAAATTGGAAAGATGAGTCCACTGAAACATATTGGGCATAGACAAGAGATCTGTTCCGTTACAATGACCTGATAATTTCAATCTGCTCATAATTATTTCGAGAGCATTTTGTTGATGTAGCAACAATGGCACCTTATAAATATTTGAAACATCGTGCACTCCAATTACCTGGAAATAGAAGCCACCAAGGAACATGATAAAATAAAATCTTTCCCAATTTATGGAAGACGGAATGCGAACATAATTTTTTTAATTTAATTTTTTAATTTTTGTTTTTAATTCCAAATATAACAATTTAAATCTCTCAAAGTCTTCAATAAAATAAAAATAACGCGCTTATATAACTTTCGCTACGGATTGTGCACAATAAATTGATGTATAAAGGTCAAAAGCTGAATGGAATATTACAAGTAAAATATAATATAAGACTACCTGCTCCGGTTCAACAATAGCGAAGTTTGCAATTTTTACTCGCAAGCTATCGCTTAAAGGTTTTTCACTTCTACATACAAGAAGATCAGGTATAAGGCCACTTGCTCGCAAATTTCTAATGCTATTTTGCATCGGTTTTGTTTTTGGCTCGCCTGTACTTTTTGGGTCCAGAATCAGGGAAACATGCACTGAAAAAAAGAAAAAATATTTAAGGAAAAATGAACTAAAATTATATAATTCAATCCAATTCTATAAGAAAAACTTGTTCTACTCCATTTTTTAAAGCTAAAAGAAAAATATTGAATACTTTTATCATATTATAAAACTAAGTTAAAATTAAGCCTTTAAAAATCAATTATTAACTTATTAGCATTAAATCATAATTACCGGTCATTAAATGGTCACGAAATGCAGGTCTTTGGAACCGTTCAAAGGCAGCTATATATGGCATCCCTTCGATATCCCCAATAGTACCACCAAGCTGGATAACAGTAAATTATTTTGATAGTTTTATTGCGAGAAACGCATATTTTTATTTTATATATTATTATTATTTAATTCATTAGATTTTAAAAAGTTTTTTAAAATCTAATTATTTATTTTCAGCTATTTTTTTGAATTCTCGAACTGGAAAGAATCCAACAAGTTTTACTGTTAAAATTTATTCTACTACATGACTACTGAACTAAGATAGAAACTCATGCAACATCCGCAAAATTTTAAATGCTTATTACTTCAATTATACACACGTCAGGACGATGATTTGTACCGTCAACAGGTATTGCTGCAACTCTCTGCACCCATTCTGATATAGCTCCAGTAACGTGTGGGATTGTTTGAACTGTTTTGCCCAAATAATCGCCTCTCCTTTCACGCTCAATAACCTGTTAAATATCTATTCAAAGTAATATTCAACATCGAAAAAAATTCAAAAATTAAAATATGATAATCGAAATTCGCTAAAAAAAAGTCGAACGAATGAAAGCAAACATGCTTATAGATTTTCCCAGTTGTGATACTGTTATCACTCGTTAATCGAACATTTAAAAATCGTTCATAATTTCCGAGATCAACGTCCACTTCACCTCCATCATCCAACACAAAAACTTCACCTATTTAATGAACAACCTATAGCCTTTTTTTTTCATTTTTCCATTAAAACAAATAAGCAGTTCTGAATAATAACAAAACTATTCCCATGACTTCCCATTATGATAAAATATGATAAAAACTTTATAGCCATTGATTTTCAAATTTTTTTGAGAAAGAAGAATGATCTCTTAGAAATCAAAAAGCTTACAGCTTTCAAAATCCAACTGCTCTATTCCCCTCTATTCCCCTCAGTAGCAAACCTGTCCGAAAAATTCGAGTGATGCTGGCGACTCACCCATATTTCTATCGTCAAGGGATTCTTCCTCGTTGATTTAAAAGAAGAAAACATGCGAAGTGATTTTTTTGCCAACCGAAGATTTTGGAATTCAGCTTCCATATAAAACCCGACTTTCTTTAAAGAACTTCCCACTAATCTCCACAAAATCTTCACATCATTTTTATTTCTTAAAAAATTTATAATTTGTAAATACCAAAGTATACTGAAAAAACCTAATCAGAAAAAGGTCGTAAAAATTCTTTACCATGCTCGAATGGCGAAAATGTTCCAGCATCCAGGTTGATATATGGGTCGATTTTAATGATCGAAACGTGAAATCCATGAGCCTTGAGTAGCACTCCTAAACTCGATGAGATGATACCCTTGCCAACACCACTAATAACGCCACCCGTGACAAGTATCATCTTTACGGGCGAACCATCTATTACAGCATTCGTCATACCAATAACTGACTTTACTAAAAGGATGTTTCCAACAAATTTACAGATAAAAACTTTGTTACAAATCTCCAACCATCATAATAATCCGTCTTGCAAAGTTAATATCAACAACTCACCTTCCTTTATCACTACTTAAATGCGAACTCATCGAATAGACCGAATCCCGCACAACTATCCCACCTACCTTCGCAACAATCCTACGCTAGTAATGGTACCACAAAATCCTCTACGGTAATCAATCACATTCCTCTGTTGCCAATAACTGTTGCATAGCTAGCTGCACAAATTTCCGCTACAGCGTTGCCTGCGCGAAGACACACCATTCGGATCGATATGGCTATTAAAAAATTTTGAACTCATAAGCCCAGCCAAACATGGATGATGCAAAAGCAATGGTTTTTAATTACTATTAAATCTAATTTGCCAACTCAACCTTGTAATCAACGAATAGAGCGCAGTCAAACCAAAAATGAAGCACATTCTTAGATGAAGAAATAAATCGGCAACAATAAAACACTATTGCAACACAAATAAAATGGTTCTTAATAATAATATCTGCGATTCTTTATAATTTATTGTCTGAAACCATCACTGCTAACAATACAATCAATCGATCAAAGTTTTCAAAACTAATTATTAATTATAATTTTAACATATACAATATAAATATACACATAATATAAACAATATATATATATATATATATATAAACTCTGATTACGAAAACCAGTTTTAAAACTGAATTTGAACTTCAATTATATTTCAAAGCATTCACTTTCTTTGCGTGTTTCCATTTATCTTCGATAGTTTCAGCGGGTCCAGCAGACCACGCTTCAACTTTCGTTGGCAGCTCGTTTCCATATAAGTCTAACCACACTTTGGGATCCACTTCATCATATATGGAATTAGACTTTTGAGAAGGTTCCACCTGAATTTCATATTATCACTTCAAATACAAAATAAAGAATAAAATAGAAGAAAAATATTATAAAATCCCCACTACTACAGCTCTATACCAGAGATGTCGATTCTATTTAATAAGTGGGAAAAATTTATGAAAAAAATTATTTTTAGCAATTTCAAATTAATTATCTGTAACTTTACCATGAAAATTTTATATTTTATAATCTTATAATCTTATATCTAACAAATATTTTCGCATCACTATTTTTCCATCGTACTTTACTATAATTTATATAATGTATTTAAGAAAATTACTTGAGGAAATTCATAAAAGGTTTATCTTCTACTTTGCAAGTATTCCAATAATACTAATTGTCTATCGTCAAAACTAGTGTTCATTAATCCCATTAAAACATACTTGAATTATATAATCGCGCAGCATAGCGAATTCACAGTCAACTGAAATATCTAATTTTGCTCGCGATGGTACTTTTGATAAATCAAGATTATGTTTAACGGCAAATTTTTTGGCCAAAAATTGCTAGAATTTTAAAACTATTAAATTACGAAATCATAGAATACATTTAATTTGTCTTAAAATATGATATTGACCTTTTCAATAAATTATAAAATAATATTTTCTAATTTGATAATGATAATCAGACGATAATCTTCATCCAAAAATTGTTCTTAACAAAAAAATCCTAAAAATTTCTCTTTGATTTTTAAATTTAATCCTAAAATTGTTCTGAATTTCTTTAAGTAAACTTTTTTTGAAACACCTATTGCCTAAGAATCGCATCATTGATAAGTATATAATTTGGTAATAGAAAAGTGAAAGAAGGTAAAGCGAAACGGATAAATTATATAAATTGTAACTTATGACAATTATAAAGGATATTAACTAGTTCTGGGGAATATTATCGAAAAATTTTTCATTATTATTAAATACAATTATTTTTTATAAAAAATTTTACTTATTTTTTTATTATCGTGCAGCAGTAGAGGGTACAGTAAGACTGTTACGCGAATATAACGAGTTCTGATGAAATGTTTTTGGAGGTTTTGTCCTATTGAAGATTATATCAGTAAGATGTTCCAAATGAAGTGAACAATTCTTCTAACGGCATTCAAAACTTATAGGTCAACTTATAGATTTTTCAAAAAGACATATGAGAAAACAAGTACAGATATATATTCTGCACCTTCCGGATTCCACTTCTAATGAAAATTTATCATTAAGTGATAGAAATCGAACCAATGGTGTTTTGCCTGACCTCAGTCGAAGTACCACCGAAACACCACTTAACCGTTTCCATTTTCAAAAATAATCCCAAAACTTACTTGCAGAGGAGGTAACGGGAAGGTATCAGGTACTTCAAATCCTTTAAAAGGATCGCTGCACTGGGTAAATTCTTCTTCTTCATGTTTGTGAATTAAACGCCAGTCTGCAAAAAAATTAAAAAAAATGAGCGCTAGATTAAAGACACAACACTAGATTAAAGATTAAAAAAAAATTTTTTACACTACATATATATATACTCTGGCAGATGACCCGAGGTTGAAGACGATTTTACCACTCACAGACGATAAGATGGCAATATTTTCTTTTACAAAAATATTCTCCACATTTTTCAAATTACAAAAGTATATTACTATCAAATGAGAATCATCAAAACTTGAAATCTAAAATCTAAGGAAAATTCGCTTTATCAATAACAAAAAATATAAGACCTGAGCGATTGAGATCTGAATTGAATTCGTAAAGACCCAATTTTAATCCACGATATGTCCAATCTGCCCAAACACTTCCCATCTGAAGCCATCTATCCATAGCTGGGACAGCCTGAATAATGTAAAATCAAACTGTATAATAATAAAAGTGTAGCAATATGGAGGCAAATCAGGCAGGAAGGGACCAATAAAAAAACAAATAGCATTTTTTATCTTCTTTAGAACAGCGATTTGATGATTCTCATTTGTGCCAACTGCCTCTCAAATGTTTTGAAGAAAGATAAGACTGCGTTGGCTATCCAATGTCTGAGAAAAGCGAATTCCATTAAGAACACAATGAAAATTAAGGAACTCTACAGACAGAATTTAGAAAAAGCTATGAATTTCCAGAAATCTGGTAAAAATCTCTGAGCATATGGTGAATACAATAGATTGTTTTTAAGACTGGTGAACACTAAAACATAAAATTTCCGAATTTTCCTTTTCCTGAAAACCATTCAAGGATTCATGAAATAATTATGTGGCGCAGACTAAGAAGAAACAACTGTACAATAATTGATTATATATCATTATGAAAATCGACGATGAATAACGAAAACAATAATAACAAACTTTAACGATGCGAAGATAAGATGGTTGTTTAGGCCATTTCCTCATCCATTCATTTTTCGTAACAATTCGACCAACTCCAAGTGAACGCAACTGACAGAGTATTTCCCAGAGAAATTTACCTTCAGCTGATACATCGTAATTCCCAATAAACTTGATTTTAGTTGACATCTCTAAACAAAAAAAAAAGTTTCCTGCCAAAAACATTCTTATATTAATCTAATAAAACAGAGATGTCGAGACATGATAGCCGAGTGGTCGTCTGTTATTCACATTAGCTTGATCGTTATTCGGATTCTATAATCCTTCGACAAATAGTAAGCCTGGCACTAAAAAATCCCAATGCTGTTGGGAATCAATCTGCACCTCAGTCCCTAAGCGCTCCGCAGGAAAAAAATCTCCATGGTACCAACAAACGCCACTTCGGCCTGAAATAACAACCACCGCTTAACTACCAACAAAAAACCATCCACTTCTACAATAATGCAATAATTTAAAATGCTATTATTTTTTAAAACTACCGTAAAAGAAGAAATTCTCGTCGATACTCGTAGATTGAGTTTCATATCTTAACAGCACAATAGTTTACACTTCTACACAATTACTGGTTAGACTATTTCTCCTGGCTGCAAATCTACCTATGCTTTGTCATGCATGAAAATAGCCCATCTTTATTCCAGTACATGGGTTCTTATATCTCTGGGTCACGTGTACATTCGAAATCTCTGGCGACTATATCATTCCCAATCTTTACTATAAAGGTGTCCAAGTTTCAAGATAAGGTGAACCTGAAGATCGAAAATCTAACATTCAACAAATTAGCAGAGGGATGTCATTCAACGCTTTCTATCAAGTCCCGCTAGCTTTGAAAACAAAAGATCTGTTAACTTTCAAACACGAAATATTAAGTAAGTAACTTTCCAACAAGGCTTATCGTACTGCTTGATAGTAAGAAAATCTACTAAAAATTTTTTCGGTAATCATAAGGAGTTAGTATAAATGGCTGATCGTTTTTTTTTTCAGCAACAAAGCTATAGAGTCCGAAATAGAATGGTCAAGTAACAAGTTGCTTCGAGCTAGTTCAAGCATCATGAGCATGATTTGCCTGTCTCTCAACGGAGCTGTCATTGCAAGCGAAATCGTTGCGATACTGTCGATCTATCGAATCTTTTCCATTTTCAAAGTATTCCCTAGCCAAAGGCTTTTTTTCTATTAGCCAGTAGGCCAAAGCGAGGCGTTGATTAAGTGAACAATGGTTGTTGCTGACAGTAAACGATAAATACAATGGTACCATTTTTTAATTTTTTTTGCTTTTCACTTCCTTTTGATTAATTGCACTCGATAGGACGAAATTTGAATAAGTCACTCGACCATATTTTTTTTTTCTTCTTATTTTCCCACTGAATTTTATTGGTGCAATAAAATGGTTGCCAATCCAAAAAGTTCCCCATACGGTTTTATGTAGTCGTTTCTGGCTTATCGCAAGCTTGTGTTGTTAGGCCAAGTTCGCTGCTTCGCGTTCCATGCATTTCTTTTCTTTTCTTTATGCTATTTTTTACTTTCTCTCTATAGTTGGAATATGCGACGATCGCCATTAATCGTTCGCTAATTCGCAGTCAATCTAAAATCGAGTTCCAAGCGAGAAACCGAGTCCAACCGAAGTCCAAGCGAGAAACCGAGTCTCCAACCGAGGTCCAAGCGAGAAACCGAGTCTCCAACCGAGGTCCAAGCGAGAAACCGAGTCCAACCGAGGTCCTCGAACCGAGATCTTTTCATGAAAACCTGTAACTAAATAATCTCGCATCATCTCAGCCTTTCATCGATTTTAAACTTAATTTCAGTTAATGGAACTCAAATATTTCTTCAAGGTCGGCCTTTCTTTTACTTTTTCTTTTTGCATGCCTAGCTTTATGTCATATTTCTAACCGCACTAAAAATTTTAAGCTGCTAAGAATTTGAGAATATTCGCTGATATGGGCCAAAACATTTTCCCGCCAAAAATTTCAAATTTTTGAATTTCGGGAATTTTTATTTTTTCTAGTTGAATTTAATTGCTAGATTTAGGTGAATTAGGTGAAATTTTAAATCATTAATTTGAGTACCATTGGCCCTTTGGAGTGAAGGGAACCAACTAGGCTTTGCAGAAATATGGCTAACCATTATGGCTTGGGTTTGCTCGAAAAGCTATTAGTGCACTCAGAAATTTTTACCGCAGAATCGGTTCGCGATGGAAATTTAGATGGGTCGTCGGAAGTCACCACCGGTTTTTTAATTATGGATTCGTCTACTTTATATTTAGAAAATTTGACATGGTGGCGCTACTACTAATAATTCAATCTTATAATAAATATATCTTTTAGTAATATTTGTATCTAATTTTTTGCGGAGATTAAGGCGAATAATTGATAAATTATTTAAATGACGTTGATAATTCTTTTTAAAATTTTATTGTATTTTGTTTATTTGTGATTATATTTGAGAAAGTGGAAATAGTTCGATGAAAGAATTAGAAGAACTGTTACAAACATTTGAATATTTTATAAGTGTTTGCAATGAACTAAGCGATGAATGGACTTCGCTTTGGTGAATTTTTCATTTATGCTTTATTTAAATGAATTTCTAATAATAAGTTTAACCAGTTAAACTTGGAATAAATGTTGTTGCTGCGTGCACGAATAAACTTCACTTTCAAAAATTCGGCTGATGTTGCCAATTTATCAGTACCAACTAATTCCGTAACGAGGGGGGCTCTTAGAAAATAAACTAGGAATTAATAGCAAAATATTAATAAATGTACGGTTGCGGCTGACTCTACTTACCATGATTTTATCGGTGAATGTCTTAAGGATTTGAGGACATAAGCGAGTCCTCAGCAGCACTCCACTCTATAATAATGGGTTAGAAACAAGGAACTGCTTGGGGTGCTAGGGGCTTAAATAACAACTATGTTTATCCTCAGAAATAAACAGGAAAAGATGAGCAAAAAATCTTACTTTATGCGACAGTATGTTGACTTCTCACCTGAAGTTTTTCTATTTCAATTAGATTTAATTAGATTAGATTAGATTTAGATTTATGCTTATAAAAGTTTCTTTTTAGTTATGAAACGAATTTTTCGGATTTCGATTCGTTTTCTGAAGCGATTCAGTTTTCGATTTTGCTGTCATCTGATTTATTTTTGAAGCTTATTGACCGTAAGTTTTTTCAAATTTCATTCTTCAGATTCTTCTTTTTCATTTTTTTTCATTTTTTGTTTTCTTGGTGTTTGAAATGGTTTTTTGCTTTTTTTAATAAATTTGGCTTTAAATCATCGTTTATATTTAGGAAGAGATCATCGTATGACTATATGAAGACTTTTGAGAAAACTTATGGATTTATAAGGATCAGATAATGCTTAATATTATTTGAATAATTGAAAATACTCCGTTTAAGTGAGTGGAATCATATTGTTATATGAACAGAAAGCGCAAATAACGGACGAAATTTGGGATGAATTATTAAAACTTGGAATGAAAGGACAAAAATTGACAGTCTTTCTTTGGTATTTAATGGAGCGTGGACTGAGAACTAATTCGTCAGTCACTGTTTTTTTCCCCCATTCTTATTTCTATAGTTGTTTAATCCTTTTTCAGTCCAGAATTATGTTAAATATTAGAAATATTAATTACTTGATAATTTTAATTATAGAGCAGTGGACGATCAATTTATGTGTTTATCAGCAGCTCGGGCTTATATGGCGTTATCATCTTTAAACGGCTCTCAAGCTTTCAGTATCTTTCATCCATCTGTCTTTCAGGTTCTCTGTTTTCTTCTTTCAATATATTGCCATTTTGCTCTATTAAATTATAATTTTTTCATGAATTATTTTAGAGGGCTTTGGACTCTATGCGTTTGGTATATCGATTGTTGATTCTCGATGGTTTTCGTGGTACAGGTCTTGGAACAACTACAAAAGCATTCAAATTTAAAAGTAAAGGAAAACGTAATGCGATTAGGAAACAAAAAGAGCAATCTTCATGTATTGAACGAACAGGTTTATCAGTTGCTTTTGGAAATTTTTGGTAATATTCAAATTTTCAACGTTTACTGAATTCAAAGGAAAAAGAAAATAAATAAATTTGGCATATTTAAAATATTTTTCAAAAAATTTAGCGTTTTAATATTCTTGATTTAAGTGATTGAACTGTCTGCTGATGATCGATCTCAATTTAAAATGCTGCTTTTCGATACTACTGAATCTTTCTTTGTTCTACTTAATAAAGGTTTTTTAGTTTCTTATGAATTTGAATAGTTGTATTTCATGGATTACATTTTTTTTTCAATTTCAGTCTCTCTTTCCCAATATAATATTATTCTAATGAATGTGACGGATCTTTTGCGCGATTTTTTAATAATAGATCTTTCCGATCAAGTTTTAGTGGGCAAAATTCGTCGACTTTCTGAATTTCAGGTTAGTACCTCTGTTATATATGTATATACGTTTAATATATGTATATATACGTATTTAATATAATATATTATAATTTTTTGTTTATTTACAAAATATAGAAATTTTCATTTTCATTTTTTCAAAAATTCATTTTGCAGCAGTTGAACAAAATTTCTAACCGTTCATTCGCTTTAATGCATCGCTTGATTGATTGTCGTCATTGTGCTGCACAGATTTTATTTTGTCGAATTGCAATGCCAAGAATATTATACTATACTTTTGAGAATATGGTCTTGCCATCAGGCACGCATCCTTCAAAGACAATGATTGAACACAAGAATGCAATCGTTCGATTTCTTAAATGTAGAATTCAGGTTCTGCGTTTTTATATATTTAATTTCTTAATTTATTTTTTTTCTTAATTTTCGAATTCAGGTTCTGCGTTTTTATATATTTAATTTCTTAATTTTCGAATTTTTTTCTTTTTATGATCCTACTCATTGAATTTTTTAGGAAAATATGAAAGATGAATTAGACGCATTACTTATCATTCTAAAGACTGTTTGTTATCGTTGCCCTGATCGATTAGATTATAGAACTAAAGTAGCTAATGTCTTAATGGAAATCCTTATATTATTGCCAGTGAGCTATCACCATGTATGTTTTGTATTTATTAGTTAAATATTGTGCATTTTTCAAATATTTTTATTTATTTTCATGACTCTCATGATTTTAAGGATTTTGCAAATTTTTTGCGAATTTTTGGTTCCTATGCAAAAATATTTTGTCGTGCGTTTGCGGTTGAAATTGCTTCAATATTTCTTCAACAAATAGGTCCATTATTTTTTGCTTTCGAAGAATTCCAACTTATTTTCTTTATAAAAGTTCATTTAGATATTTGGATATAAAAATTTCTAGCTATTTGAATTTTTAGAATTCTCTGCTTCCGTATAATTCAGAATGCAGGTATCCTTAATGTGATATAAATAAAAATGCGGGATAAAAAAAAAATTTGAAGCATAATGAAAGCATAATTTCGTTTTGGATTATATTTTTTATTATTTCCTAGATTTCACTGGCTCTGAACAGAATATGATTAATAATTACATGGCATGTGATGAATTAATAAACAAATGTGAGCTTGAAAATCAGAGAGATCAAACACTTCCATCTTTTGTAGTAATTATTTGATATAAATTCTTTAAAAATATTTCTCTTTGGTTCTATTTCATTTTATTTTATTTTTAATAAGTTTTATATAATAATCCTTAATTTTGAAATACATAAACTGCTGGATTTTTTTTTTTCGTTTTAATGAGATTTGATATCAAAATTTATTCTTGAGAGCAATTTAGAGAAAAACATTTTTCATATTACATGCATCTAGGTTTTGAAAAATATCGTGGAATTAATAAAACATTAAAGTAGCATTATACATCATTATCATCATAAAGTAGCAAATAAGTTCATAAATGTACTAAAGAAATTAGATCATATAAAATTTTATAAATTTTATAAATCATCGAAAATTTTCTCCATAATATTTTTTGCAGAACGATGAAGAAGACAAGTTGGAAGAAGAGAGGAAGAATAATGTTTCAAGGCAAAAGGGTATGAGATTTTTTCTCCGTTGAAATTTCGATCATTTTTTTCTGCAGTAGGAATAATTATCTATTCAACCATATTTTATTTCAGAATTTTCGGTAAAAAAGAATGTTGGTTTCAATATCAAAAGGTTAAATTTTATTTTAATTTGATTATTCTTTTAACTGACTAGAATTCCTTGTGGTTGTTTTACTAATTCATCAGTAATTTAAATTCCGCAAAGAAGAAAATAAATAAATAATTGGATGTGCGCTTTGAAATTGTTATTTTAAATTTTGAAATTGATAGATTTTTACTCTAAATAGTTTCTCAAAAATTGTTATAATTTTAAAAATTATTATATTTAATTTTTTAGTAATTTGTTGCCAGCAAAAAGTTTTGAGCCTCGATCTGCATTATTGACATTTCTTCTTCAAGCTTGTATGGATAAAGCTCCAACTGTCCGATCTCGAGCAATTCACCACTTATCTCAATTGTTGATTAAGGACGATTTTCGCAATGACCTAATATATTTGATGGAACAGGTAAATAAAATTTATTCATATTATAATCGATCATATTATGCAGAGATATTGTCGATAAATTTATTTTATTTATTGAAAACCAACCAAGCAATGGGGCAAGCGCCATATGCTTGTATTAATAACAACAGATAGAAAAACAACAAAAACTAATAAAAAAAAAACGACAAAAACTAATAAAGTAAAGAGGAAATGAAGAGGAGTTACAAAATAGCACAGTTTGAAGTGAATCTATTATGAATATATTACTTATACGTAATCAAATGGTAAATCAAAAATCAAAACTTTCAAACTTCCTGCATGATGTGAACTTTTTAATTATAAATGATATTATCTAACCTTTTTTTAAAAAAAAAGCCAAGGAAGAAAACTACGGACTACATCGTTTGGTAATTTATTCCAGTAATTAATAGTGCGGATAAAAAAGTCATGAGTCCTTATTTTAGTTTTGCATTTAGGTTTTAGTAATTTTAACACATAAATCTTGTTGGTTTTCAAATTTCAAATTTAATCTAAAATTCTAATATTTTGGACAGTCTCAATCCCATGATATAACATAACCATAGAGAATTTTATAAGCATAAATTAAATCTTATTTAATTCAGCGAATTGAGAGGAAATCCAGATATTATTGAAGCTATAATTTTATAATTATTGATATAATTTATAATAATTGATGTTAGGAGGGAAGCGTCGTATAAATATTTTTGGAGTCCTTCAATTATTTTACTTGATTTGCGATATCTCCGAGAATAGCAGATAGTATTGTAGTTAAGAAGAAGCCGAACGAATTCTTTGTACTTTTTTATAAGAAAACCTTCAGTTCTGTTCTTAAACAAACAAATAAAATTTAGTATCTTTGAGGATTTCTTTACTATAATTCTACAGTGAAAGTGTCGAATTCAAAATTTTCATCCATGGCTATGGCAAGATTTCTGAAATATGCGAAACCCGACTGATTGTTCTTAATAAGAAAATCGAACTACATTTTTTAAAAAAAGAGTAATTTGTCATATAGCCAGTTGGGAATTCTATTGAGACCACTCTGTAGTAGAGACAGGTTATTCGAGAATAATAAATTTTACAGTCATCAGCATAAAGATAAATGGTAGAGTTTGGTACCAGTTTTACATCATCGTCATAATATAATATTATCGTCTTGAAAAATTTTGATTATGCTTGGAATATCGATATTAGAGATGATCTTATTATCATTGTGTTGCAGAATTATTTATTTACGTGGATATGCAAATGTCCTTTTAATATAAATGCAGAAAGAATAAAATATTTGTTATAGATCGCTGTCGAACTGAAAAATGAAAACTTCGATGTATTCGAAGAGAAAACTAATACAGCTTTGTTGAACTTAATTATTTGCCGCTGTGAAGATGAAAGGGTTTGTGAATTGTTCAAGATATTTGTATTCAATTTTCAATCAGGATAGGTTTATTTTAGTTGTTGCTATTTTTTTAGGTTTCTTCACGTAAAACTGCCATTTCTGCTTTAGAAGCATTATTTCCATATTTGTCTAAGGAAGATTCGTTTTTTGCTATCCAGTGCTTCAAGGTAATTCTTTAATAAGATTCTTTTCGGCGTGTTAATTTTAATTCTCTGGTATTTTTTGCTTCAGTGGATTATTTATAATAATTTGCTTTATTAGTTTCTTTATGGTTATTCGGAAAGCCATTTTCTCGGATTCTCAGGGATCCTTTTGTTTTCCTTTAAGATATTAAATATCTTCTATTTTAATTTTTATCTCAATATTCTAGCATCTTAAATTATATATATATATGTATATAATCTTAGATTGACATTAAAAAGTAGATTATGCTCTAATCGTGCTGAAACGAGTGATTAGATATTCGCACTAAAAATGATGTTGGGACTTTAAATTAGCAGTCCATTTTTGCTTTCATTGGTGGTTTGCCTCTGTCTTTGATTCGACAAATAGAATAACGTTTTGGAAGGTCTTAATGCAGGGAAAAAGGAAGATCAAAAAAGATCATCCGATGCATTAAATATTTTACTAACCAATTCAGGAAAAGCCTTTCTGTATCAAAAACTGGCTCATCCTTCCGAAATAAAAAAAGCTACTTGCGTTTTCAAGTATTACATAATGGTGCATTACTGAGTCGTAGTTGGTTTCCTACTTGCATTTTCAAGTATTACATAATGGTGCATTACTGAGTCGTAGTTGGTGTCGATGGGTTAATTACAGCCATTTTATTCGTGATTATATTTAAGTTTAGAGATGCCTTTCTGTATTTTTATTAGTATATTTTAATATGTTAATATTTATTAATATTAAATTAATATTTTAATAATATTTTAATAATGTTAATATTTTATTAATAATATTTTAATATTAATATATATATATATTTATAATATATAGGATCGCTGTCGTGACTTATCTCTAGTTGTTCGCAAACAAGCAGCAGAATCATTAAGTAGACTATTTGCTTCATCTGCAACAACTACGGATATTTTGGATGAAGTCTGGTTGACTGCAGTTTTACCTCTTGTTATAGATCGGGAGCAATCAGTTAGTCAATGCGCTTGTGAACTTATTTTTGTAAGCAGTTTTTCTCTTTATATTTGCTACAAATATTTATTAAGATGAAAGAAAGTTAATAGAAAGTATAGATTATGGAATATATTTCCTCATAATTTTTTGTATATACTGAAGCCCAATCATGCTTTACGAAGAGTGTTATCAATTTTTTCAGAACATTGTCATTCTTCCTATATTAAATAATTCTGATATAGCTATGCGAATTCTGAAAATTGTGGAACAGAAGGCCAATTATAGGTTGCTGTTTATATTCATGAATTTTAGCATGTAATTGTTGTAAAATTGTAATTGATGGATACTTGACAGAAATATATGGTTTCTGATAAATCTTATTTCTGTTGATAATATTTTTAAATTATGATATGCCATAATTTCCAGAAGATTTATTATACGAGTCCTTTCTCAACAATCAAATGAAGGCAAATTGACTCGAGACTTTGCTGAAGCTCTTTTATCCAGATACGGGGATCATGTTGAAAAGTGCGTAATTTGGATGCTATTGAAAGATCTAAGTACCATTTTCAAGGTATATTTTTCAATAATACAATGGCATAATTTTTTTTAAATTGAAGATTTTCATTTTTAACAACTTAACATTTCCAATTATTAATAAATCATAGATAAATTGCAATTTTGCTGTAAAAGCGTGGTTTGAACTGGAGGAAGATCATGAAAGTAACGTGGTTGCATATATTGCTCATGTTCTTGCCCGATGTGGAAAGGAACTAAATATTAATGAAAGGCGTAAATTAAAAGATGATATCTCCAAAAAACTGCTAGGATTTAGGTACATTTTTATTTCTGTGCTACTGCAGCTGCATTATTTTATTTTTTGAATATATTGTTTTATCCTTTATTTATTTCCAGAAAAGGAACTTTGGATAATTATAAAATTTTTGCTGAAATTTTGGTAAAAATTTTTTTTGAACAGATCAAAAATATTAATATATTTGATGAAAAAATTTCGAAAGATTTTTAGAAATAGTTTTAATTAATGAATCGGTAACGGATTAATTGGCAGTTGATTACCGAATTAAGTTACAGGATTCACGAGTCGTTTTTATCAACAGTTTATTTTGCTTTTTCGCAGATTCTTAAAGAGGACGACGAAGATTTGTCTAATTGTAAAAATTTTCTGGAATTCAATCGATCATTTCTTGATAATTGTTATCAGTGTTTACATAGCACCATTTATCGCTCAAATGAATATGTGAGCGACTTGCTCTCTTCGCAGAATGGGTATTTTTATTTTTCTTATTTTGAGAATGTATGACCAGTGAAATATGATTTTAATAGTCATTTCAAAAGTTTTCAGTCCAGACAATAAATCTATACAGCGTCTTGTTCGTATCATCGTTTCAATTGGTGAAGCTATGCAATACGATTCTTCGCTAATTAATAATAAAATTTTCGATTTATTGCAATTAATTATTGCGTCTGATACTATATACCAACAAATGTCACAAAGTAAGTTGTTTTTTCATCAATTTCAGTTGTTTAATCCTATTTTATTCTTCTTGTAATATATTTATTTCATTGTTCATTACTCTTCTTGAAAAGATTTTTATTGATTCTTATTTTGTTCTTATTGATATCGATGGTTTCCTTTTATGCAAATTTATCTTTGTTCTATTAATGGTAATCTTTGAATTTTTTAGGTATTAAAACAATTTCTTCTCACTGTATAGATAATATAAACTACAAAGAAAAGTGTTTGACGCAGTATTCATCAAGGGTGAGCGTTTTTGGCTTGAGTTAAATTTAAGAATTAAATTCAAGTAGTGTTGTGATAGGTTCGTGAAACAAGTGATCATCTGAAAATTTGTTAAGTAAAGAAAATGAAGAAAAAAAGAGAAAACGGGAAAAAGTCTAAGGTGCGTTAATCTTTTACTTTATAATTCAATGGACTTTTATTCAATGGACTTTGAATAAATAATTACGTAATGATCTAGTTTTTTCATCGCTAATCGATTCCAGAGAGAGGCTAATGATAAGGAAGAAGCGACTTTCAAAATTCGTCAAGCATCGAACGATCATTTGCCAGGATCTCAAAAATTTTCGCAAGGTACTGCTATTAGTTTACCTGGGTCTATTCAATGTAGCGTCAATATGGAAGCTTTAACATCTAGTGTGCGTGCATATGCAATACTCGCACTGGGAAAGATGTGCATTCTTGTGAGTGATTTAATTAGCTAATAAATAAACATTTGGTCTTTTCATTTTTGTAGAGCTATTTCAATTTTTACGCATTTTTATGTTCATTTTATTCGTATAAAGGTTTCATAAACCATAATCTGCTGTATTAAATATTTATTTTAACCTTATTAATTTCATTTCCTTGTTATATTAGAAATTTTATTAATTTTCAAGTTTTCGACATTTTTCAGGACGAAAATCTTGCAAAAATATGTATCCCTGTTTTCGCAAAACAACTTACCATTAATCCCGACCATATAATCCGTAATAATATTATATGTGTGATGTGTGATCTTTTCATGAGGTAAAGTTCGTTCGTTTGTCGAAAAAGTTCGTTTTTTTTCAAGAAATGTTGAACAAGAATGAAAGAATAGACAAGCATTTGTTGCTGAGATTCCGTTAATATGAGATTTGAATATGTTACAAAGCCATAAGGAAAATCTGGTTCTTGCCTGTATTTCTTTCTCCAAATGACAATTCATTGACTCCCTGATCAAAAATTCATTTTTTTAACCAATGTAACGACCCTAATCAAGAAATATGAATTAAGAATATATTAAACAGTCGTTTTTTAATGATTTAACAGTAATATTTTTTTAAAATTTATTTCTTATCTCTATTTGATGCATAGTAACTGTAAATATTTCTATATTCTCATTGTGTTCCTGAAAACAATAGATTTTTCAATTCTATTAAGAATAATGCGAATAAAAAAGGAAATCGCAGAAGGCTGAGAAGAGAGGAAAGGAAAATTAGTTTAGCTTCAGTCGTGCCCAGAGGTTTGTACGAGAATCTAGCCATTGTATCTTTCTATTTTTTATAAGGAATGATTCATTTGAACTTATCGTTCAACAATTTAGATATGAGTCCTGCAATTTTTGCTCCAAGGTTTTTTTTCTGTCGTAGAATTATTGAATGTCCTTTAGGTTTGCGCTTTTGGTTGATTGTCACGCTGCAGTAGTTGCATCTTGTCTGAAAGATTCATCTACTTTCATACGCAAGCAGATATTAATGCTTCTCACAAAATTGATTAAAGAGCAATTTATTCGATGGGAAGGACAGGTTCATTTTTTTTTTATTTTACATGTTGTATCTGGCGAATATTTTTTTAAACTTTTCTTATTCGTTCACCATGATTTTTAGATAATGTATCACTTCGTATCGACATTACTTGATGAAAATGAAGAAATTCGAAATTATGCTGAAATGTGCTTGGCAAGTTATAGAGCATTTATTTTCGTTGATTTATTTTTCATATTTTTAAAAATTTCGTTTTTTTTTCAATTGTTTTTAATTTCTCCAAACAGTTTATCTTCAACATCTTAAATTTTAAGGTTTCAGATTGATGTACTATTGGTGCAATTTCCCAGCATGTTTGTTAATCATTTTATAGAATGCATATTTTATTTCAATTCAGTTGTGCACGGTTCATGGATTACAATAAATAAAGGTGAATATTTTATTATTATTTATGATTTTATTATTAAAACTGATGTTTTTGTATTTTTTTTGTATTACAGCTCTTGATGAAGATGTGGAACAAAGAAATCTAAAATGTGCTCTAAGTGGGGCAAAAAATAAAGTGGCTCGCATGAAGTTATACAAATTTATGGTTAATTTTTTATTTTAAAAAGAACTGAATTTTTGAAGAATTGTTTGAAGAATTTTTAAAACAATTTTTACAACATTTGGATTAATATGTGGAATAATTTGTAAATTTTGGTGTTGTTTAGTTTTTCTTCCTTAAAAAGGGCATTCTGTTTCAGGTGATTAAATAGTTTTCCCAGATATAGTACCGATTAATTACCGACGAAATTTGCATTTAAAAAATTAAGAATTTGCTCATTTCTTTTGAAACTTCAAGTCTTATTATTTCCTCAGTCTATCTCTTGTTAAGAATGGGCTTTAGCTCAAACTTAATTTTAATAGTAATTTTTAATAGTAATAGTAATTATCATTTTTGCTAGTTTTTCCACTTGTAAATATAATATATTTATTATATATACTTGTAAATATAATATATTTTTAAATCTTTACTGCACCATATTTTTCTAGGTTCTGTGGATATGGAATTTTTTTTGAAGTGCTTAGGTGAAAATAATAAAATCGAACTTTCAGATGAAAACTTTTGACGATCAAAATAAATTCACAGTAATGGTCCGAATTGGTCAAGAAGTGTATTTGGCTGTTGTTGATGGTGTGTTGGATTTCAATGATCGCAAAATTCAAATGTTGCTGGTCGATTGTAACGAAGTTTGTTATTACTTTTTATCATTCAGTTGTGTATTATTTGTAAATGGTTTCCGAATAAAATTTTTTTTTCTATATTTATTTCTTATACGTATTTTTATCCGTATACTTCACCCTTAAATTTATTTTGATATTCAATATGTAAAGCTGTAAAATTGTATAAATTATGCTCTATATTATAAGTTATATTATAAATTAAATTATATTAAATTATGCTCTATAAATTCTTCTATAAAGAGCTGGAATTTATCGCAAAAGTTGAAGCATTATGACGAAGTCAAAACTATGAAGGCTTTGTCATGACTAATCTGATGCTGTCAGAAGATTGCATAGGCGCCTAACTGATCTGTGGGCTTAGAATTTCAAATCGGGAGGTTTTGGAACACCTAAGTACACTAAGTAACGGGTCCAATTAGCAGAATCGGAAATGGTGTTCGAAGAAGAAAAAAATTTGGTATAAATTTCTTGGCTTAATTTGATTTTTTTTTTTTAGATAATGTGCTCAAATGAAATCAAACTTTCAATGAATTTAGGCCAGTGCAATTCGAAAACAGATGATGATGATGAACCTCCTTTAGCTGTTCAAGTTTGTTTCACAAATATTATTTTTCTTATACTCTCATAAATATTACATTTTTATAACTTCCGAACTCTGAAATTAATTTTTATTAATTCTATTATATTTATTCGTTTTATTTATTTGTTTTTCAGGACGTAGCCAAAAAAATTGTATCATCAGCCTTTCGCAGAGGAATTATTGAGGCTATTTTACCACACATTATTCAACTTAAATATTTTTTGCAAGAATATAAACAACCGGAATTAGAAAAAGGAATTATTTTTGTACTGAGGTACTAGTTGTTTTCTTTAATTTTTATTTTTCAATATTCTCGAAATATTAATTTGTTTGTCTATTTTCGCCTTTAATGGATAAAATTTCGTTCATTAGGTAATAATCCTTCTTATTGGCGAACCATTTTTGATATTATTAATTTTATTGCTATATCATAGAGAACTTTGCAAAGATCATCGAGAACAATTAGATGAATTTCTTGCTAGTGATCGGCAATTAATGGCTGAAATCCAATTCGATTTGAAAAAGCTAGAAGAAGTAACTGTTTTTTTGTTATATTTTAGATCTTATATCAAATTGCTTGGTTGTGCATTTGTTTAATATTTGATTATTAATTATATAAAATATATCAATCATTTTTCTAAATTTAAATTTTCTAGGAAGAAAAAAATAAAAGATTAACTGTTTCGAAAATTAATGATATTAATCCTCATAAAGTTAAATCGCAAGCAAATGAGGTACCTAGCAATAATTCAATTAACAATAATGTTGAACTCATACCTGTATCAGCTTCTATTTGTTCACAAAACCAAAAAAGTGCTATAAAAGAAATTAATTCCGATGAATATAATGGTATGTACTTTTATACTTTTCAAAAAACTATTTGTCAGTCCGTGAATATTTTGTTCTTTTTTATATTTTAGTATCAATTGTTGCTAAACAAACAGCTTTTATGTCTTCTGGAACTGATGGCGACAGAAACTCTTCAAACCCCTCTGCGCTAATGCATAATAATGAATCGTGTGAGTTCAATTCGAAATTTTTTTCATTTTTCGCTCTTATATGAACAAATTATATTTATAATTTTTCAGATCGAACAGCGAAAAACGTAAGTATTTCAGCGGCGAATGTCGCAAATGTTCAAAACAAAAATAATGAAAAGGTAGATGCAAATTTTTTTGATTTCGAAAAAATTTTTCTTAATAGTCTCAAATTTTCGTTTTGGTAATATTTCAGAAACCTTGATTATTCGTTCTGAGAGTATATTTTATTTATAAATTATTGTTAGCACATTTATGGCTTAGAATTTAAAAACATATTACTTTAATTTAGCGAGATATTCTCAATTTGACCATAGATTTTCGAAATTTGAATTCGAGACTTAATTTCATAGTTTTTAGCGTATAGAAGTAGATAGAGCAGAAGAAGATAGAGCAGATAATATATCAAAAAAGACTCTCTTGGATCCAGAAGATGTCATATCAAAAAAAACAAATATTGCTACAAGAGCTATTTCTACTCCTGAACGCACATTTGCTGAGGTTCTTTTTGTTATGGCAGAAAACTTAATGTATTTAAAAATTTTATACTTTGTAATGAAAATTTAAAATTTTTAATTTAGATAGGTATTTTTCTATAAATACGTTATTTTAATTAATCTTTAGCTGACTTTTCGGTTCGCAGATGTATCTATTATACAAAAAACTGGACCTTCTTCAGATAATAAATGAGGTTTCTTATTATTCTTTGAGAATTTATTGTTAATTTTCACGATGGTTATTTTCTTCTTTCTGAAAACGAATTTAATATAAAAGAAATTTCATTTTCATACAATTTAGTTATTATTAGATTTTGCTTATTAAATTTAATTCAGAATCGAAGAACTTCTACTAAAATGTCATGTCCAGACCAAAACAAATTCGTTTTCAAACAAAAGACAAAAAAAGTTAATGGCTAGTAGCTTCTTTTGAAATAAAATTCTTTTAAAAGTTGCTGTTGAATTGAATTGAATTTGCTCGCCATTCTTAATTTGACCAAAGTTATTGCAGTATTCTTCTGCATACTTTCAAGAATTTTTAAGATTTTTTTTGATTTTATGTCTTATTTGGTTGCAACTATTTTCGTCTAAAAGTATTTGCTGTTTATATTATATATTATACAACTGCATAAATCAGGGTACTGCTTTCATTATTTCATCTTTCAAATATTCCGTAATATTATTTGATAATGGTCTCTAAAGAAGAATTATGAATTGAGAATAAAATTTTCCATCAATCTTTTAATCCACAAATATAAAAGATTTCGAAATAAATTTCGTGAAGGTGGAAAGTTTTATTGAAGAAAAAGTATACAGCCTTTATGTATTGTTTTACTTCCTATCCACAGAAATTTTCTATCACGAAATGAGGGAAAATCATAATTTTTAGCCAAAATATATTATATTCTAACTTATAAATATATTCTAACTTTGCCTTTAAATTATACATTTTCCATGTATGATAATCGCATTAATGATAAATTTACCAAGGATTTTCTCGATATTACCGATTTTTCTGACATATTTTTCCGTTTCTTCGCTGACCTAGTCATGTAACATCTCAGTGACTCAATCATAAAAAAAAACATGAAAAAACCTAAGATTGAACAACATTTCAATTAATAAAAGTATTGGAGACACTAATTTCGATTATCAAATTTTTAGCTTCAGTTCATTTTGTTTATCAACGGCTGGGCTGACGAATGGAAAAAGACAACTGGGCTACTTTTTGTCAAGAGTAGCATTGGAGTGGTATCTCCATGATGATCATTTTTATTAGCTGCTTTATTTATTTCAAGGGATAAGAATCGGTAATTAACGGAAGCGATACTTCCACTCATTCACCCACTTTACCCTTTAATTTCAAGGATAAAATCGGTAGACAGGAAGATATTTAAATATGAAAAAATTTAAACATGAAAAACATGATCGGGAAAAAGAAGTCAAAAAAAGCCATAAAAATAAATTTGCGTGCTAGTGCTGCTTTAATCGGACTCTCTTCGCCTTATGGATTACTACTTTATTAAAATTATATGAGTTTAAAATGAGATTGAGAAGCAAATAGAAAAGGGACAAACGAGAATTTGGTGAAAATTTGGTAATCACCACTGCTGGCTATCTAGGATGATTTCGTGTGGATGTGGTGTGCTTCCTGTGCCTCCGGAAAGAATTCCATTTGAAACCCAAATTCCAAGAGGGTTTTTTCAAGGGAATATGATGAGTTCTGGTATGTTTTGCCCATCAGGAGGCGAGTAAACACAATAAAGTGGGCTGGATAGCTCGCAGTTGAATGAGGGAGAGGATCCTTTCAAATAAGTCCCCTCTCAATTACACTTGGCCTTGATCCCCCTTCAGCTGGTCCCTACCTTTTCAGAGTTCATACAATTCCAACTCATCCAATAATAATACATAAATCCACCACTCCAACCAGAAACCTTAACGCTTCACGGATGCTTTGCCAAATTTTTCTTTCTTAATCTTCAGTATCGTTCACCAACCGGAAAGGGCTAAGCTGCATTTTAAACGTCGAAATGTCAGTCGACGTTTCGATTTAAATTGTTCGGGAATTTCGACTTTGATTGCTGTTTTCTTGGTATGGTACTTCATGAGTGGCGTTGGTACCAGTGAGAGGACGGAGGGGTCGGAGGTCGTTGCGGAGGGTGTTAGTGCTGTTTCTGTTGATGGCCATGGTTTAGAAAGACACCTTTGTTCACCTAAGAAAATTGATGAGGAAGCCTTCATTTCTTCCGAAACTGCTATCCAATCAGCAAGTTCGTTATCATCCAGCAATTTTCCCTCATCAATTATTCTCGATATTCCGCCATTATTCGCACCGATCGTCGTTGAATATGTCAATTCGCAATATATATTTTATGATGCAAACGGTACATACATTTTTTTTATAAAAAAAGACTGCATGAATTTCTTGATTTTGCTCAAAAGCGAAAAAAAACAACGAAAATATTGTCACGCATTTAATGGTAGGCTAACGCTACCAGAAAGCAAAAGCACTATTGGACCTATGGTGCTCGTTTTCGGTCCGTCGCAAAACTATTGGCCATATTTTTATTAAAATGTGCGAAGTGATAATAATGGCAAATTATTGGGCGCAGTTAGCAGTTCGGTTGAATTTTTTCCATACTCCAAGCAGTTATTAAAGTTAATAGGTTTCATACTTATAGTTTGAAATTTTTTTAAATATTATTTGTCCAATTATTATTATTATTATAGAAATGGAAAGGGTAGTCGGCGAACTTCGTATAGTTCCAGAGGCAGTTGGTACATCACCACGAAATCCTTCGGATCATCATCGCAAAGGACCGCCTTTTGTCCTAATGCCAGAACAAGTCGCTGTCCTCGTTGAATATGGTATAAATTTTTTCATATATTTTTTATATTTTCTATATTTTTGTTGAATTGTTCATCATTTTTATTTAATATTTTTCTTCATTTTTGGGCTTGCAAAAGTTGTACGTTTGAAACCTGAAAAAAGATTCGTTGGAAATTCATCGCCGATAGAAGGCCAATATGATGAAGCGGGTGGTTCTCAATCGAAACGTAATCCAACGCAAGAAGAAAAAGCTATTCTAATTGCCAGAGGACGAAAAGTAAAGCTTTTGAAAAGGAAGGAAAAAATTGCTTCGTCAGTTGCTCTTAAGGTATTTGGCTTTGTAAAGCTTATTTTATCATTTTGTTTTATTCAATTTTTCCTAGAGCCTATTGTTTTAAGAAGATGAAATTGAAAGTATAGTTGCTGATAGGTGCGAAGAATCGATCTAGAACGTGTTGAAGTAACGACAGAAGAAATTCGCAGCGTTCTCGAAGAATTAAAAATGAAAAAGGAACGAAAAGCCAATACAAGATCGACTATTCATTTTTGTAAGCAATTTTAATTTTACTCAAATTTTATATTTCAGTTTTTGCATGTATATTTTCTTTTTACATTCATATATATTTTTTCATTTATTTCATTTAATTGCTCAGGAATTCTTAAAATATTTTAAGAATCGTAAAGAATAAATTTTTTGGTGAGATTTATCGATTTTGAATTTTATTAGGAGTTTTGTTGGGGAAAGTGGAAAATAAAAGTTATGAAAATTTGATAAAAAGTTCGACGAAAAAATAATCTTATTTTTTAATAAATTTTAGTCATTAAAGATGAAAGTGCTTATGATACAATAGAATTTCCTGATTTTCCAACTGATACTGCATTTCGACTTCGCTTAACTACTTTTCGAGATCTTTGGAGGCGTGGATATTATTTAACTAATGGATTAAAATTTGGATGTGATTATTTGTTGTACGTTAATAAGCCTGAAAAAGTATGTTTGTAAAGATTAAAAATTTTTTTTTTTTCTCAACTAAACTAATTTATTATTTTATTGAAATAAGTTGTTGAAATAAGAAGTAATTGGTAACAAACTATTAGAAATCTAGTCGATGTGTTTCACTATGGGCTATGAGGAAAAAAATTAAGAAAAAATCAGGTTTTCCTCTTGTAATTTTATTTCTTTGTTAAATCTATATTTTGGGATCGTAAATTTGGATTTGAGTTTATTTATAAAAAATTTTTGTAAGTCACCAATTTTTTAGGTTCATTCAAATTGGCTTGTACATTGTATTGATTCATTATCAACTATTGAACCTCTTACATTGATAGCTTCATGTAGAACAGCAACACAGGTCAAGAAACAATCTGTCTTAGCCATTGTAGCACCAGATTCTTTTACACCATATTATATTCAGTGTTGTTGGTGGAAAAGTCATGAAAAAGTGAAGACAAATTTGTAGGTCCATCATTTTGCTGCTGCTATGCGAATTTTTTTTTTTTTTGTTTTCGCTTTTCATTCTTTTCTATTTCTATTTTTTTTAATTTGATTACTCCATATATAATAAATATGTTACTCAAATATGCTAAATATTGCTAATCAAATAAATATTATCTGAATTTATTTATTTTTTGAATGGTTCACAATCCTATAACTTTATTCAAATCATTAGACGATTTGTTGAAAGTAGATCTGAATACTTTGAATTGAGGTGAAACTTCTTGGTTTAGAACCAATTTTCCAGCTTTATCTTTCGAAACAACAACTTGTGGCTTCAAGCTCAATTTGGATTCAAAGAACTGGTTAAGAATTGAACGATTTTTTGATGGTTTGTTTTTTCGGTATCCTTTTTAATTTTTGTAAAAAAGTTTTTTTGTTGCGTGGTGGCAGTAGGGCTTAATGAGCGATTTTTTATTTATTTTATTATAGATCCAGTTTTTCAGTTATTTTATTCATTTTTCAAGTCGTTGGTAGGAAAGGATGTGGTCGTTGAACTAAAGAACGATCTTAGGTACCCTTTTTTAATTAATAAATGGAAATAAATTTTTCATTAACCATGAAGTATATGTCAGAGATTCTACACCTTTTGTGCACTTAAGTTTTTTAAATTCTTTCATCTTTATCCGTTAAATAGCTTTTGCAATTAATTAGTCAGTCATGCCATAGACTTAGGGTCAAATACTAGAAAGAATTTCAAGAAAAAAATTAGATATTACATTTTTTAATAATTTAAATTTTTTGCAAACTATTTTTCGTTATTGTTTTTGCGCGTGTCTTTTTATTTGCTTCTGATTGAATAAATCGCTTTATTTAACATCGTATGGTTTTAATATGATTTTTGTAGGAATGATTCCGGCTTTTATTCTTTTATTTGATCAATTTCAGTTTCAATTAGTTCCATTATCACTCGCACTTGGTTCTAAATTTTCGTTTCCAGCATATGTGGTACATTGCATTCAGTCGATCAATATTTGAATATGAAATTGACAGATATAACAGTTACCGATTCAGAGCGATATCCGCATATGTTGTCTGTAAAGAATTGTTTTATTCGCGGATCGGTAGTACGTTACGTACAATTACCAGCTGATCAAGTGGACACTCAGTTGTTGCAAGATGCTAGCAGAAAAGAAGTGATGCAAGCTAAACGGCCATAATAGTTTTTCGATAAGAAAAAAGGTGGAAATGTTCGTAATTATTTTTATTTTCTTATTTTTTTCTTATATTTATAATAAAAGCATTGTTTTAAAAATGCATTTATTGTAATAAATTTGTTGAATTAATGGTCTCATTTTAAAAATTGCATTATTTCATTCGTTTTTGTGAAAAGTTGAAATTATCAATCTCGAATTATTATCAAATTATTATAATTGTCAAAATCATCGATAAATGCTTGTGTTGGACAATTTCGAAATTTGAAATTTTTTGTACTTATGCTATATTTCAAATTAGCGACAGATGCTTTAAGTTAATTTTGTGACTTTACGATTCTTTACTTTAGTTACTTTAGTTTACTTTCTGAGAAATGAAAAATGAACTTCTAATCAAAGGAAACGGGAAAATATTTTTTCAATCGAGGGGAAATCATTAGAAAGTTCAATTTTTGCGAAATTCTTTTAATATTCATTTTGAGAATCAGAATGAAGAATCAGGATTATAACCATGTACATAAATCTTTGGTGAATGCAGCAATTATTCCATTCTTTTATTCCCATTTGATTAAATTTCTATAGATACAACAGTGGATACAATAGAACGCGATAACCCCATAATATAATATATAATCCGTTTCTAAATAATCCGTTTCTATGCAATCCGTTTTTAGGGTATTTCAATAGGTTGGCCTAATTTTAGGATAAAGTATTGTAAAAAAGTAATTGAAGATCATCAGAACCATTATCACCGATCAGTCGCACTTTGCTTTTCTATTTTGGAGCATCACATGAATTCGATAAAGAGAACTAATAATTGTCCATGTTGAGAACAACGAAATGCCAACCCAATGCCCACCACTCCAATCATCCGTATAGGCATATTGTGACCATATTTGAGCAATAAGAACTGTTATGCATAACTGAAATTTATTTTTTTATGAAAATATCCACTTTATTTGGTCAAATTTTAATGAAGAAATTTCGAAGAGACTTATACTTTAAGAAATTTTGAGTCCATAAAATCTGTAGAAAATGATAATAAAATAAAAGGAAATTTGCAAAAATAAAACAAAAAAATGCTTGAAAATGCTTTGTATTTAGACGTTCAATTGTGAAAAGATGATAAAGAATGATAATGACAAGAATGATAAAAAATACAATAGTTCGGCAGTCGATCGCAACAACTCGATCCGTATCTTTTTTGAAATTTAAGGCTCGAGTACTAATAATATGTGATGTCAAAAAGTAGGCACCCATTATTCGAGCGCAAAATTCGTGCGATTCGTCCAATATCACATTCACCTAAAACGGTAACATTTCGTTATATTTTTTGGTATTAGATGAACAAGGTACCTATAGATTTGGAGTTTATAGTACTGGTGGTATTGATAAGTACCCAGCAGTATTTCACTTGTAATCACAAGCTACTCCTATTAGAAAACGTGAAAACGTAGAAGAAATGCTGTTTCGGCATCTGCAGAAGTATTACTATCTGCCGCAATCTTGTAATTAAGAATATTATCCTATCTTCTTTATATTTATAGTAGATTAAACTATAAAAGCACTGGTAAAGTTCTGACCTGACGATTTAGAAGCCATTTCGGGAAAGCGAGCCAAGCGGCACCGATTGATATTGATGTTATGGAATCCAGCTGATACAAGACGTTTTCAAGATCGGTCAATACATTTGTTGTATGTCCAACAACCCAATTCACCCTTATTTGTTGAGTTATACTGATTACAAGCCATATGAACCACCAATATTTTAAAAATCTGGCACACTAAAAATTCAGTAAAATCTATAATTATTATAAGATCATCTGAATTTCAGATGAAATATTATGGCAAAATCAAAGTACTTGGGAAACTATGATAATGGAAAAGTAAAATTTGATTTAAATACAATTATGCAATAACTTACTGGATAGTAGATAAGATCATTTATCATCATAGAGTGAAACAAGATAAGTAGAGAAAGTATCAATCCCTGAAATAATTCGGGAAGATATTTAAATTTCCTTTTATGGTAGTAAAGCATTTTGGATACAAATAAGGGAAAGGCTCGAAATGAAGTATAAAGAAATACTATTATTAGGAATGGTTGGCCTCCAATGGTACTAGTAAAATAAGACGATTCTGGTAGAATCATTTTGCCAAATAGTGACAAAAGTGACATTTGTGGCTTCTTAGCACCATCCGGATCAAGGTTTGTTTCTGCTAGAGTCAGAGCTCCGTACCATGGTGCATAAAAATATGATTCAAATAATACGCCACTCGACCATATTGCACTTTTTACTTACATTTATCAGTAGAATAAGAAAATTCCACAATAAATGGAATAAGGAAAGACGGATTCATTAATATTACTGGTAATGTTTTGTTACGAAATGCTCTATAATTTGGAGTTTGGGAAAGCAATGGTTAAATAATATGGTTTTATTTCTGCTGATAACGCGAGAGACGACTCTTTAACTGGAACAAACCTATCATTGAAAATAAATCCAAATGACCTACCCGAACCTCTCTCTGGTGAAAGGGTACCTATTTGACCTTACGTAATACTCACTAATAAATGGAAATAAATGACAAACCAAAATTCGCAGCAAATAGTACGCTGATAAAGTTTCCAAATTAGATTTTCGAAATGAGAAAAACATAAATGCTGCGGTCATAAATTGACCACCGACACAGCGCATTAAATGCCAATGGACACCATCCGAATTACCAAAGCCCTAAAGAAAATTTTATATTTCATTGTTCATGAAAATCACTTCTGACTGCTCCACTAATTTATATTTATTTACATGAAAGCTTTAATTTTCAACTTTAAAATTTAAAAATTTTCCAAACAATCTAAATTTTTCCTGATTCCATCTGAGGAGAATCCTTATAGACGGAACAATTCATTGGCTAGTGGCTAATGTTTCGACTGGGCTCAAGCAAGCATCATGAGCTCGATTATCGTAGCTTGAAGATAACGAAACGTGTCACTGGAAGTAAAATGCGAATGAGGCTGAGGACTTATCTCTGTCGATCCACTGTCCCTCTCATTTCAAGCTGAATTTACCAAAACAAATCGAAAAATAACGATGGCTTACTTCTTACTACTATTCTCATTTGTAGTCTCACTAGCAATGCGATAAGCGTTACGGTGAAAATATTAAATACAACTTGAGATCATATTTAAATAATCACCATAGGACAATATTTAAATCAAACATACGAATATAAAATCGGCCAATAGATGGGGTACGAAATAAAGTGCTAAGCCAAGCGTCAAACAGCCCAATGCATCTAAAATAGCCAATAAAGCGAACATTCTATAGTTTTCAGATGATTTTTATGTTGTTACTTTCTTCCACCACGTTTCTTTCCACCAATTCTTTTGTTCTCCTGGAATAAAATCACTGAAAATGAAAATCGTAAAGTAATTACCGGAAAGAAGTTTTCTCAACGACAGTAATACGAATTAAATATGGGATAATGGATTCATGAAAAAGAGAATAGAGATATGGGAAAAATTGGGGTTCTTGCATTCTTGCAAGGTGCACTAATCATCAGTGAAAGCTACTGTGATATAATAGAAACCATTGCCTTAAATTAAAAATTCATTAGGCCTACTTCGCAAATTATCAACAAGCTAAATGATTTGACATAGTAGAATTCCTTATTTTGTTTTCTCTGTTGGTAATATGGATCTTTTCTTCTTAGGTCAGTAACCTTCTCTAAACATTACTGTACACAAATATGCTGTTAATGATAAATTCATAGCATGAAATTATTATCGGAGCTTATTTTCGACTATTAGAATGCCAAATTTAAGTCGCAGAGGTAAAATAGAAATGCATAATAATAAAATAATAGAAACAGAAAAATAGAAATGCAAGCTTCTTCCTATCAGAGTGCGTTGAATTTCTAAGATTTTTGCATGTATGCTTGTTATGAACAATTACTACTAAGGGGTGATAAAAAAGATATGATATAAAGATAAAAAAAGGAGAGATAAGAAATGATAGCGATCAAATTACGCATTACATTTATGAGAATGTGCAATTTTTCGCACTGTAATTTATCCTTTTCTTTAAAAGAAAATTAGGAAATGTGATATTTGCCGATCATCTGATCCACTAAAGACAAAATATTCAAGTGGCTTTTGTTAAGAATATTGCCTTGCGAATCGGACCTCCGAAACGAATAAACTTAAACTTGTCACGATAAATATTGCTGGAGATTTGTGACCATATGGCTCCACGGCAAAAGTTTCTCATCGTACTGATAGCCAGGCCAGTCGAGTAAACCTAAACCAAAAGAGGTGAATGGTTAACTAACCTAAAAACAGTTCCATGGATTAGAGAAATGGAAAGAAATGAAAAAAACTATAAGGAAGAGAGGAATCTATTCAAAAAAAGCAAAATGTGTAAGATTTCAAAAAACATTTATTAGAATTTTTTTTAAACGGAGAGTGAAAAAAAAGTTGAATAAAAATGCTTTCTTGCTGAAAATGGCGACGTATAATTTGATCGCAAAACTGAAACAAGTTCTCTGATTTGATCGATCGATGATCGCTTGAGGAGATATGAATTACAATATATATTATATTATGTGTATATATATTATAGGGGGAAAGTATAGCGGGCGGGCGGTGAATTAGCATTCAGCATTTGTCACCTGTCACCTGTCTTTCCTCTCGTTCCGCATGCAATCTTCTTTCCTTAATTCGCTAAATATTTCGCCTTCTGTACGATAAACTATTTTATTCATTAACTATACAATTTTTATATGAAATTGCGTTATAAAATTCATTCGACAAATAAACTTCTTTATATTCATTTTATATAAAAATTATTTTTTGCTATTTTTTTAAACTCATTTCTTTCGCTTTTAAAATATTTTTTAAAGTTTTTGTTTCGATTTGCAGAATTTTTACTTATAATTATAATTATTATAATTATAATTTTTACTTATAATTTTTATTATTTATTTTTTTAAATTGATATTTGAATTAAAAAATAGACTGGTCAGTCGGTTTATCAGTTAGTTATTCGGTTTTGATCAGTCGGTCGGTTGTTCGGTTGGCTGGTCGGTTGGTTGGTTGGTCGGTCAGTCTGTCGCTCGGTTGTTCGATTTTGGTCGGTCGGTCAGTTAGCATAAATTTTTGTGTTAAAATGAAGAAATGTACAGTAAGATTATCGTTTTGTTTTATAAAACATCTATTTATTATTATTATTTATTATTTATTATTACTATTATTATTAAAAAATTTATTATTATTAAAAATTATTTATTATTTGTTATCTATTTATTATTGTTATTATTTATTTAATATCAATAAATTATTGCTTAATTATTTATAATTAATTGTTTATAATTAATTCCACTTAATGATTATCATATTATCATTTATTATCATTATTTTTATTATATTATCATTATTATTATTAATTATTAATTATCATTATTCTTATTGCTTATTTATAATTATTATTTAGCCTTACGCTTTTTACATTGAAAATTTCAAAACCAGCGCTTATAAATTAAAATAACAACGAACTGGTTAAACGGGTTGAAATAAATACTTATCATTTGATATAGCATTTTAGGGTTTTTTGAGATTCTGTAAATTTAAATTCAGCAATTTTTTAGAGTGATGCTTACTGCTAAAAAATCACAAATTTTACTAAATGCAGCTTCTGCAACTAATTAAATTCCCAAATTTTTTGAGCAATTTTTCTGTTATATCCCGTTTATTATATTTTAAGTTCTATTTATATGCATTCAAACACTGTTCTGAAATAAACTTTTTAAAAAGGAGCCCAAGGAGAACCAAAAAGCGAAGAAAGGAAGTCCTCACTGGTCCAAAAGCCAAAAGATTCACGGTGCATAAAAGGTTAAGCGCTAACGGGCATCAGCTAAAAATTTTCAAATTTTAAATCTAATAAAGTTTGAAACTTTAGTTGACAAAATTGATAAATAATTTATGAGTACCATAGAAGAACGAGAGAATTCAAGCTTATAAATTGCATTATTTAGGAAATATTAGCAATAAACACGTTTTTATCAATAAATGAATTTTTAAAATGAGATGCAGTATGAGTACCGACTCGGAACATTTCAATGACATGCTTGCTTATGATATGATAGAGAAGTAGTCCGAACCTCGTGACCTGGACGATGACCGCAGCAATAACCAATTGTATATTTCGCACCGCATCTCTCCCCCTCACCCACGCCCTCGCCACTATATACATATAAACTATCTTAAAAACAAAAAAATTCGAATTTTTAAAAACCTCAGAAAAATTTATGCAAAATTTATCGGAAAATAAACAAAATATATCATTTCGTTGCTAAAAAAAATAAATAAAATATATCGTATAAACAATTTATAAAAATGAATTTTATTTCCAGAAAAAATACGTCAAAAAATTAAAAAAAAAAGATGAAATTTGAAAATTAAATTTTTTACGAGAAAACAAAAAGAAGCTAAAATAAAGAAATTCGAGAAATCGCATGCTGAATAGTAGTGAAGTCGATGATGAAGTAAATCGTTTAAAGCTAATACAGTGCACACAAAAGAAGAAGCATTCAATCCAGAAGAAAAAGGAATTTTATCTCTATCCAGGAAAAAACGGCATGGACAGAAGGAATTCCATTTACATCCAGAAAAAGTGGTGTTTGACAATGAAATAAAGTTCTTCATTCATATAGGTTTTTTAACAAAATTAGAACGAGTTAATAGATGATCACAATCTTCATAATTATCATTATCATAATTATCATCACAGAGTAATTCATGATGATAAATCAATTAAAAATGCTATTCTGGAAATTCACAAAAATAAATAAAATTTCACCACAGTTTTGGATATTTCATAAATAAAATTTCGTAAATATATCTCATATTTCATAAAAATTTTTTTTGGCAAAAAATCTAGCGATGACGAATTTTTTTATTTTTACTGATCAGGAAAAAACGAAAAAACAAATGAGCAAATCGCATAAAACAAAAATCTTCCTGAATAAAAAAGAAATAATATGGCACTATATGATAAGAAACACTTCACTGCAGAGCTTTATCAATTGCCTTTTGAATATTTTCGAATGCATCAACGCCCAAATAATCCGGATGACCAATTTCCCATGCTCTTATGCGTTCCTCATCTGATAAATAAGCTGCTGGATTCGATCCACTCGTCGACTTAAATAGAAATAGTAAAAAATTAGACAAAACGAAAAGTTTATGACAGAAAGGATCATTCATTGCTTGAGTTACCTTTAAAATCACTTTTTATGACCTATGGGAATCTAATTTTTTAAGAGAAAAAAAGGATAAAATGGGAATTATTGGCCACAAACAAACAATAAATTTTGAAGGTCAAAAGCTCCATTTTAATTACATTTGTTAATATAACATTTATAAATAAATATCTTAGTATTATTTAAAAAAATGTTTGAAAAATTGTTTAAAGCCTTTATCAGATCAGATAAGCAAAAACAGTCTTTAACTGATTATAGCATTTTTTTGTCTCAACAAAATCATAAATCTCAATTAAAACATCTAAAAAATATTAATGGTTATATTTAAACCTTCCATGCAATTAGATAATATTCACCGAATAACAGATTTGTTAAATTTAATGAAGATTTTTTGATCCACTTATAATTCTTAAATATCATCAGATTAATCACTCAGTTGTGATTATTTACCATAATAAAAAAGTAGGAGACGGATTCGCTTCTTGGTTGATAAAAATAGAAATAAACTTGTTATGAAAAAATCAAGACGGTGTCAATCTTCTGTCGCTAATTGATTTTTTGACAAAAATTTCGAATCGTACTAAGCCGAACCAATCTACTCAGAATGCCATAACACTAATCCATAAAGACCTAAGTCCATGAAATGGCAAGAGGAACTCAAATATACTAAATTTCAAATTTTCAAGAAACAAATTTCAGGAAAGAAATCAAATTATCAATTTTCAATCTGTTATCACCATGTAATAAAATGAGTATTCTCTTTTCTATTATAATTTTTCCATTTTCATAATAACTATTAATAACTATCGAGAAAAAAAAAAGGCTAACTGTTGACGACAAATTCGTTCCTTCCAATGCTCCTCTTGCATCTTCACCCTTAAGCACAAATAAGTATTAAAAAAAGCATGAAAAAGCTAAAATCATGCATTTATTTAATTTATTTCATTTATTCAAAAATTTTGGCAAACGAATGAAAAAATTTCATTTTTCCAAATCGACGTTAAATTCATAATTTAATTATAAATTATAACAAAAATTATCTTAAAAACAAAGAAATCAACCTTTAAAAAATTTTGTAAGAAATTCTCACAGTTATTGATAAAGACAAGTAATTTCAATGGAGCGAGTACCATTAACTCAAAATTCAAGAAAAAAAATTTGAAAAAATCAAATCAGCAGACTTGGAAAATTATAAAATTATCGACTCAACTAGTAGTGCAGAATAATTAAAATATTATTATAATTAATAAATGCACAAATGAAGACCACGAAATGAAGCCGTCCTTTCTATTTGTACGAATCGTTTTATCCACAATTTTTTCTTAGTAATAACCAATATTGCAACTTTATGCACCTTATAAATAAGAAAAAATCCAACATGCTTCCATAGTTTAATGGTCGTTTATGATTATCTCTCTTGGATGAAAAAATTTAGAAAAATATTTGGTTTTTTTGCCAAAAAAACTATTTCAAAAAAGCGTTCAAAATATTAGAGCAATATTGTGCATTAGCGTTATTCTGCAGGCGAGCTGAGAAAATCATAATCATGCACTTAAGCGCGGAAAAAGAAAGAGCACTCACACGTGAAAAAGCAGCCATCTGTTTCGCTAGATGAATAGGTACATATCGAAGCGGCCTCCAGCTATGAGTTTGATAAACTGGTGGTAGACAACGAAAAACGCGCATGCAAGGTCCACGGGGTCCACTCACACCATCGCTAGAGTTAGATGGTTCATTCGAGTCATCAGCTGAGCTGATGTATAATGAAGAATCCAAAAGGGTTTCGTTCATACTAATATTTGAGGGCATATCAGTAAGAAGACCCGTAAAATTATGTGGATCATAAGAAAATGTGGAATAAAAGGGTATTGTGCGATCAAAAGATATTGGCGTTGATGACGACGAACTCACATGTGTTGGTGGAAAATCTGCGGCCAGATTCTTCATATACAGTGACCACCAGTAGGTGAGATGTTCAGAATAATGAACGTTATCCGGTGAATGTTGCCATGGCTTTATCGCACCAATGAAGTGTACAATTTTAACCTAAATTAAAAATAATGAAATAAATTTAAGAAAATAAGAAATAAACATGGATAAACGATCGTCAATGTTAAAAAGAGAGTTAATTAGTTTTTATTAATATACATATTAATATTAATATAGTTGTTAGAAATAACAGTGAAATATGGACTGCTATTGAGAATCCTACGGTGCTTCCATAAGCCAGTCAAAATGATAGTTTTAAGTTTATACCCAATTAAAACCAACAAACCTCTCTAAGAATTTGATTTAAAAATTTAAATTGGATTAAAAAAGAAAAGCCCTTATACAATAAAATATGTAATATGTTAGCCTCGAAGGTTTGAAAATAAAAAAATTCCTTAGAAGATCAAATACCTCCGCACCAAATTTTTTAAAAGCAGCTGCATAGGTATAAATTGCACCAGCGGTCATATTGTAAATGAAAGGTAATCGAAAAGCTGCAGGTTTATCGCGCCAGCCTTGGAAAAACATATTCAGCAAGCCTTGATCACCTCCTTAAAAAATTTTAGTGTGATCGAAGGCTTAGAAAAAAGTTGGCAAAAAAAATAATTTCAAAGGTTCGAGAGACAATAAAAAATAATATTTCACACTTGTAGAAGAAACTTACCGTCAAATGAGCCATGTTCTAGGGCAAAGTTCAATATTTTTGTATAAGTTTCGATCGATGGCACAAAAACAAACACTCCTGAATTGAAACAATCAGGCCAACCAATATCAGCCACTGCCGAAAATTCATCATGATCAAATAGTTCATCACAGTTTTTCAGTATCTACAATTTTAAATGAATAAATAATTAAATAGTTTAAAAAATTTTTCCAACATTTTTCCAATTATGCGCTTTTATTTTACCAAGTTAGATCGTGGCGATCGGCTCTTTCTAAACAAATTACGGAATTTTAAAATTCTAAAATTTATTTTGGTTCAACTTTCCACAAGTTCTTCTTATTGCTAAATTTTTTATTTAACCAACTTATTTGGAATGATTAAGAGATTTGGAATGGTTTCACTGAATGAAATTTATAGAAACAGATAGAATTTATTCGAATAACTGAATCAATTAATTTGATTAATTCTCTAAATTCTTTGGTATGAGCCATGCTACAGATCTACTTTCGCTTTTATTTCTATGCGACTCTTTGGCAATTATCATTTTAATTATCAAAATTATCATCATTATCATTATCTTATCATTATCATAATAACCAATATAACAAGATATCGTCACGCTTATTATGTGAATTTTGAAATTTAAAAAAGTAAAAATGCAGAAATAGAAAAATAAACCAAACAGTCGGCGTCAAGAAAAACACATTTGGTGTATTGTGTTAGCCTCCAGCAGTTAATTTTCGTGAATGTTACGCCAAGATCAGGCCTTCCAATCAAACGCAAATTAACCTCATCTCCACTGTCAAAAATATTCACTTCACTTACTTCATCAAATATCGCATTTAATTTATCTCTGAAAAAAGAATATATCAAAATATATGAGAGAAAATATTGCAAATTTCAAATTATTTCAAAGAACATAAATATTTTAATGTAATTTTTTCAAATACTTTTTTTTTTTTAGGAACCCTCACCATTAATGGTTAGATCCGCTACCTTGTTGCACTAGACAAATATGCCAGGGAGACCCTAGCGTTAGAAATAGAAACACAACATTAGCCGGATTTTTGGACAAATCAACTCCTGCAGGGAAGAAAACCTTAGCATCGGCGCCCCGAATTAAACATAACCCACTGAGCCATTCTACGCTAAAATTCTAAAATTTTAACTTCATTTTTTTTTAAAATACTTTTCTATTGAATTTTTTGCCAGAAATTTTCGACTAATATGTTCAGAACAAGATTTTAGACAGTATTTTTTTTACTGCAATACAATGGCCGATTAAGGGGCTTGGAAGAGGCTGTTTCTATCCAAAAGCGCATGCAACCTATGAAAAACTAAAGTTGCCGGAGAATTTAAGAAATATTTAGAAATTTTTACAATTTTCATTCGACAAAACCCTATTTTAAACACTTTAAAAAAGCCAAGCGATTGAAATTAAGGAGATAAAATCAAATTAAATAATTTATGCTCAGTTTTTCCAAAAAAAAAATCAACTTCATAATATAAAAAGGAGGAAAAGCCTGTTCACCAATTGGCCGTATTTTTCAAATATTTTTTTAAACTGCTATAAAATATGAGAAGCAATGAAAAAGTAGCTTTTAGATGTAATTTAGTGTTGATTATTCTTCTTCTTCTAATAGCTCTCACCATTACTAGTTAGGCTGGCTCCAACGGCTACAAGGGTAAGACGTAAGCCCACCTCGCTTTTGACGCCAACCATCACATGGTTTAGCAAATAACGAAATATGCGTCAACTCCTGTGGTGGACGACGGAGAATGTGCCCTAACCAGCGAAGGCGGCGCTCTGTGATAACATTATTCATGCATGTGGTATTTGAACGAAGATGGATGCAATCATGTGATATCTTATCCGCTTGATGGATCCGTAATATGTACCTTAGATAAAAGTGGTCAAAGGCAGATAACTTCTTAATATCCTCCACTCTCGCTGGCCATGTGTTGGTTATTCACGTTTCGAAAAAATTATTTTTGCAAAAAATAAATAATATTGGATAAAAAATTTTTTAGAATGAGGAATTTTAAATAAATACATTTAAAAAATTCGTCTAACTGAACTGAACGCTATTATACTGAAAAAAATTCAATGGTATGTGCAGAATGGTCAGATAATGGAAAAATCTCTTTATCAGCTGATGGATGCAAAATCGGATGAATGGAATGGTGAATGATTTTAGAAAATCCCGATCCCAGAAAGTAGCAATATTATGTAAAACAATACAAATGAATATTGAACCTGAGGGGCTGTGAAATGTTTGGAGTGACCATGCAATGCAACTGTCGAGTGGTTTCAGATTCCCGTAGAGAATAAGCCAACACGAGTGCACCAATAGCATATCCATCTGTTGTTGCTAATGTAACCCAGGCCTCTGTCATCTTTGTATAACTAAAATTTTCCAATATTAGAAAGGAAGATTTTAAGATTAAGAGTGGCATATTTCTACGATTTCGAGCTCAAATATCACAAGTTTGGCCTCTCGACGGGAAATAAAAATTGTCACCAAAGGTTTTATTTTATTTAAATTTTATAACTATTAAGAAAATTTGTAATTATTAAATGCAAAAAAATTGTAGGTTAAAGTAGGCATTGTTCTGATTATTTCATTATAGTCAATTTCTTTATAGAAAACTAATTTTCTGATAGTTGTTTCTTTCTTCTTCTCCATTCGTCGTTTAATAATACTTCTAATTTGGCTGGTCTATTACTACTAACTATTTGAGTCTTCAAAAGCCTCAATTCAGACTTCACTTTCAATTTGAAGTATATTTGCGTCAATGGAGCGAAACCCATGGACGATATTGGAATGACAATAATAACTCGAACGTTTCGATATAACTGATTCATGGGTGGAAATAAAAATGAACTAAAACAACAATATTTTACTGAGATAAAATAAAATGCAATGATTATTCAAAAGATTATCAAAAGATTATCACCAAAGATGTAATAAGAATGGTGCTGGAGATTCACCTATGTTTTTAGGCACCAAACGTTAATTCAAAATAAACAGCAACTAAATGGTTATCATTTCTGGTTTGGGCTAATTTCGCTGAGTGGAAATCTTAGTACGGCTGGAAATTTTTGTTATAGAGCGATTTGGTGAAAAATGATGGCTCACCAAGATATCATCGAGTGGACCACTTGGACCACTTAATGACAATAATAATTTAATTGTGACAGAGAAGAAAGCCACTTTCGCCTCTCAACACCATTATCTGAACCAATCACTCAACATGCCCCACTAAATTATATAAAATAATAAAGTAATTAATAAAATCATTAAAATTAATAATCGAAATTTGAAGTTTGCTCTGCAAAAAATTAAAATATTTTCAACAAACTCCATCAATATTTTTATTATTACACTTATATAAAACTTTTTTTTCGTGCAAATAATAAAAAAAAGGAAGCGAAAATAGTCGTTAGCGCTATTAGAAAAAAAAATATCGATGGATTATTCTAAAATATTATAAATATTTTAAATATTTTAGAAATAAATTTGCCTAAAAATGCCTTAAAAAATTATAAAAATAAATTTTTCGATCCAATTTTTAAGTTCTAAAAAATTTTCGAATTTCTATAAATTTTTTTCTAATGAATTTGTGAATTTGAATAAAAAAATTTTTTTGCAAAATTTTTGCAAAATATTTTCTTTCATTTATAAATGAATTATAAATGCAACAAAAATTTCTATTAATAGTCAGCGATCCGAATCAGAAATGATAAAACTGCCAGCCGCACATTTCTTTTAATTATAGTAAAATCTTTTCATTCGGGGGAATTTAGCAAGATTTGTCAAAAACATTATCCGTTTAACAGATCCATTAGACTGTCAAAGTGATACAAAGGAAGTAAAAGCTGTTCACAAGCGCCTGGCCCAACTGATTATGCCTGGCCCAGCTGATTAGGCCTGGCCGAGCTCATTATGCCTAGTCCAACTGATTAGGCCTTATGATAATAATTTGCTTTCTCTTAGAGCTGGAACGACTTGTCATTTGTCAACTACGATAAGTATAATAGTTATCTTCAAAACATGAATACGGTACTCGTACAGTTAAAAATAACGAGTGACATTTTTGCATATTTTAACATTTCGTGAATAGCGATTTCCTTAAATAATTGGGAAAAAAAACTTTCTATAAAATAATTATTAAAATTTCAATTTTCAAATATTTAAATGATTAAATGAAAGAGAAAAATGAAAATCGAAATTTCCGCGAAATTTTCGTTTCAAAAAAATTTAAACGATTAAAAAAAATAGATTTAAAGAAGCAAAAAAATTCTCGGATTTTTATTTTATTTTTCGCTTAGATTAAATAAATTTTCGGGAAAATAGTATTGAAGAAAAGTGACAACGAAATGCGCACTTTTATCACTTTTAGGTGAAAGGTCAATTAAAAAATCGATTCTGCCACAATTCATTTACCATCGTTTATAGGGAAATATCTCAAAAAAAAATTCCCCGTTTCCTAAGGTAGGCAAATAAGCGCTTAGCATTCCTTTCGGTGCTTAATTAATTGCGGTGAGAAAAACGATTTTATAGGAGAGCGAAGCAACAGGCGAAGCGAAGTACAGTCGCGCGCTCAGCTGATTTATTTTTATATTTTTATTATTTGCTATTTATTTAAAAAAAAAAAGGCAAGAAAGGTAGAAGATTGTTAAAAAAATATTTTGGAAAAATATAACTGATGAAAAGCAAAAGTTTAATAAATAAATAAGAAACGAGCAAACGTGGTCGCCGCGAATTTCAAGTTGACGTTCGGCAATCGTTTATTTTACAGTAAAAAAAATCAGTCGAGTCGATTTGATTTGATATGAATGAAGTTGATAACTCTTCGTTATCTTTTAATTAAATAGCTTTCATATATTCTTCGCTGTCGAAGACAACTAACGCATTCGCTCATTTTCCGATCGTTCATAGAAAGAAACTGATAATTTCCTTACTATTCATGCAAAGAAGCCTCATGCAATTATTAGATAAAAGATAAATATATAATATATAAAAGATAAAAAGATAAAAGATAAATAGCAAAGGCAACATTTAAGCTTTATTTAATGGATTTATATTTTGTGAAGAAGAAATTTACTAAATAACTAGTTTTGATTAAATTTAACGGAAAACAAATATTTCGTGCTAAAAATCAGCGAAGTAAGCCGAAGAACTAAAAATGGTTAGAAGAAGAAGATTTTGGATGAGAAATTAAAATAGAATCCTTGGAGGAATTGAGAAAAAGAAGGAAAGCGCATAGGAAGGACTTGAAGAGTAGCCAATAGCCAATATGAAATAAAGGAATTTAAAATGAATTTCGCAAAAATTTATAAGATTTTCCCTGATGAATGGATTATGAATGAAGAATTCGCCGGGAATAGAAATCCTGAAAATTGTCCTGAAATCCCGAAATCCTGAAAATATCAACCATCCTATCGTAGTAATCTTTTCTCTGAGAATTAAGAGAATAAATAAAGGCGGACGAGCGGTGAATAAAATCAGAGACGAAGTGACTTCACTCGACTTTGAGCAGCAACGAAAGGTTCTTTTTCGTTGCAGCCAGAGGAGCAACGCGGTGAGAGGTGTCAGAAGAAACGAGAAAATAGCCAAATCGCTAAATTTACAAATATTTGAATTAATTTATTGGCAAAAGCGGATCAGTGAAACGAAACGAAAGAAATGAAACGAGCCATCAGAAAAGCTGTTTAAACAATTTTCTTCTCCAAAAATTTTCCTCCCCTCTCGTTGTTGTTATTTTTTTTTTGAAAAACAAAATACTTTTATAGACAGCGACACTCGAAAACTAACTGAAATTGAAACTGAAATTATTTACCATTCGTTTCGATAAACACAATAATGCATAGAACTTTCCTGTCTCTTCCTCCTTTCTCTTCCTCCTTTCTCTTCCTCTTTTCTCTTCCTCCTTTCTCTCACGTCAATTCTGCCTCCAGCAACTGAAATTGTGACGAGCCTTCGCAGCGGAACACACCTGCAGGTGAGTAGCAAGCACTAAGGCTCAGCTTCAACATTCCAATCCGTCACCATTCTCACCAAAATTAGAATGAACACGACAAAGATATATGCAGTTTCGGGCTACTAGAAAGGAAGATGAAAACCACATTAGCATCGGTCGTTCAGTGGTAAAATGTTCGTTTGCGAGGCGGTCGGTCCGAGTTCGATTCACGTCCGATGCACCATGTACTGGAAAGAAGGCTGAATTATAGATATATTTGAGAGACGGCTGAAGACCATCGAACAATTACAAAACCTAAACTTAAGAGGTGATGGACTGGAGCGGGTGGAAGGAGGTGATTCTCGTGAGCGGTGAGCTATCTGGTGACAGCCTCGTGCATCCGAGGCATATAGGTGACTCGTGATGGTGACAAATATTCAAATAAATCAGATAAGTCGATGAGAATTGATTAATATGCAAACACGAAGCGTCCCTTACGGTGGTCGCTTCGATGCGATTTATTATTTTCATCGTTATTGCCGATAATTTTTATTGCCATCGCAGCAATCGAACGAATAAATTATAGGAATAAAGGAATAAAATTCTAAAATTTAGATAATTGACGCACGAACGAATGCTTGAAGTCCGTCCGAATGATCCGAAGAAGAAGATTTCTGCACGACACACTCTCTCTCTCTCTCTCTCAAAAATAAACGTCAAGCAATTTTTCTGGCAGTCCATTTACGACTCCGTAAATCTGCCGCCATTCGGATGAAACGCTTGAGCGCCTCGATTCCAGAAAATCGGTTCCAGAAATCTGTTGAAAAACACTTATAAAAATAGTTCTCTCTTTAATAACTGCAAGAATTTAGAGATAAAAACCATCTAAGAATTAGAATTGCAAGAAATTTCAATGAGAATTTCGAACATGACGATTAAATGAATTTCAAAATTATAAGCGAACAACTGTTCTTGCAAAATGATGCTTTAATGCGCTATAATGAAGGCGATAAACTTAGAGAGGGGCAAGAAATAGAGAAGAAGAAATTCAACATTTAATGCCCCGCTGCAAGTTATTTCCACCTTTTCTACCAGATTGGCAAATTGGCAAATATTTATTATCATCTAATGCAAACTTTTATTAAACTTTTGCATTTTGTATTTCTACGACGACTATTTGAATTTGATTGAATTCATTCTGCAAATTTTTTAAATTTCTATAGAGAATTTTTCAATTTATTTTCATCGTTCAAGGAATTTAATGGAAAAAATAATAAATTAACAACTTAATTGTTAATAATAATAATAATTATCACTAAATTAAATAACGGTAACGGTAATCACCAAAAACCAGTTTTTTACTCGAAATTCACTTTGTTTATCGATAATTTTTATTATCGATGAAATTTGAGCGATTTTTTCAAAATAATCTG